TATTCCAGTTTCGGTAGGAAAACTCGGCCTGAATCGTTTGAGCAGAACCAAAATACATTCCACGAACGGTGACCAATCGACCTCCACTAAACAAATCTTTATAGAAACCCACAATGAATCTCTATCTGCACTCACCTTGCAAAACTATTAATCGGATTGATATCTTGCACAATCGGGTTCGGTGTGATTTTCAAATAAATTCCATTGTTTAAAATAGTCTTTCTATCGATAATAACCGTCACATTGTAAAATCCCGATGATAACGAAGGTAAACGACACGTTAGAGCGTTTAAATTTGTTTGTTTCATTGTCAGACATTGAGAATTTCCAATGAAAATTTGTTGCGAATTGCCGATGAGAAGATTATTTCCAAGAATTTGAAACATTTGTCCACCAAATTCGTAAACAATCACCGGATGAAATGAATTGATTGTCGGTCGGCGATATTCGATAAACTCTTTCGAGAAAATCGTAATCAAACTTTCGAATTGAATTTTAATTAGACCTTGTCGAGAAGAATTCGATGGGTTTGCTCGACATTCAATTCGATTGGAAATCGTCGTGATCAAGCACGGAATATCTGCAAGTGTAATTTCGAGGATTTTCTTATGAAGATCTTCATTTAAATCAATCGTAACGATTGTTTCGCCATTTAAAGGAAGAACTTTCGGAGAGAAATCCCGGATTTTCAGTGATGTACATGCAGAATCTTGGAAACATTGAGTTTCTTTGTTCGAAAAACATTTTCCTTGACACCAAGAACACGTTGAACGTGACTGACATTGATCACATGATTCATAAAGATCACAACGATAAACAAACATTTTGATTGGAATACCGATCGGAATATTATTTTCGTAAATTGATAAAGATAACAACTGCTCATTCTTCTTGTCGATTATCTCCGGAACTTTTGCAATTCGACACACCTGTCGTTCATTAATCACGCCCAAAATTGTTTCATTCAAACGACAATCCAATCTTGTTTGAATTGTATTTGCAAATTTCAAAAAAATATCAATCGATTGACCTGCTTCGATAAATCTTTCAGAGGAATTCATCAGACTGAATGTTGGACATTGATTCGAGAGAATTTCGTTACAAAATGACGAACATCGATCTGAACACCATTGGCAGTTCGATTTCGATCGGCATGTTTCACATGACAAGTGAGACGTGCAGTCGTAAAACGTAAAATTATTAATCGTCGCGATACTTGTGTTCGATGGCCATTTAATCACCGAAAAACGAACTTGAAACTCATTTTCTATCAGAAAGAAAAGACTCAATTAATCTCCAGACGGAATTAACTATCTGTTACATCATCAATCTCTCGATGAAGTTACTTACCGATTTGTTGATTTCTTTTGATATTATTCAACGGCGTAGGACAAGACAATCGATTTGCATCTAATTTAATCGCTTGACTATTCGCAGAGAAAAATTCATTCGAAAAAATACATTGATAAATTTCATTATGTTCCAATTGCGGTAATTTTGATAGAGTTATGTTAATCTAAACGAACAGACGTATCAAGACACAGAAATTTCCTTTCACTCAAAACAAACCCATTGACTTTGATCAAGCGAAGCTTTCAATGGTTGAACGTTAAGCATTTGTATACATTGATTAGTCTCTTGTTGCCAGGAATTCTTCGGACAATCATTTAACACGGTACATCTACATAATAAAAACGGAAATTTATCTTTCCAGTCTAGACAGCTATATTCCTCGAAATTATCGATCTATCAAGGAACAGATGGTTCATTTCATCTCGCTTTTTTTAGATTATATAAAATACACTGAAGCGGAATTAACCCATTGAGCAATTAGGATCGGTACCTTCCCGCTGACACTCAATGTGATCGTTTAGTTTTTTTTAATGCTGAACAATGTCACAACGGGTGTCGAAAAAATAATCATGACCACCTCGTGTTAATTGCTAACTTACCGTTCACTTGATGTACACCAGCCACAAAAGAGATTAGTTGATGATGACAAACACTCGTCACATGACAAGCGCGATGAACAATCAGTAGAGAATGATAAATGATAGATCTAAATAAACATTGTTTCAATTTAACACAAGTCAAACAGTTGTCTTCATTCACCTTCGATTCAGATGATAAAATGAAACTTCCAGTGCGATTATCAAATATCATTTCGGGTAAAATTGCTGATTGAGTTGGTAAATCATAGGAATAAATCCACTTAATATTTAATAAAAAGTCCAATATCCCCTAAAAAATATAAATATCGTGTCAATTTTTCCTTCACCTCTTTGTTTAAGACAAATGTCATGTCCCCAATCACGTCATTTGACCCATTGTCAATAACATTTTCTCTCTCTCTCTGTGTCCATCCATTACTCAAAGTGAAACAAAAATGTCCTAAGGCGTTTTTCTCTTCTCCCTGCTCTTAATATTCAGACAATACAAATTGTATTGTAGACACCCTTAAGGAGAAATGAGTATGTATATCCATTTGAGCATCTCTTTATTAAAAAATGGAATGTGTTTGGATGTGATTGATGAAACACTTACCAATTTGAAAGTCCCATTGGTTAATCCTTGTAAGAAAAGAATTGATGAACCGAATGAATACAGCTGCATACCGTTGGAATTTTCAGCTGTATTCTCGTAGAATAATCGACCGATAATTGGATTTATTCCTCCAACGGGATAAGGTAAACGGTCACTAATGATCGATGGACATATATCATCAGTCATTCCAATTGACCAACTCTAAAAAAAAGAGATTCAACGATGAATTTGTTCTCTCGAAAGACAATTTACTTCGTCTTTTCGACAAGGTTCATTAGGTTTGATAAAACTTAATCCACGTTGTCCGATTCCGAATGAATAACAATTTCGATAATTGTCTTGAAAAGCTTGATCGATTTCATTGGAGATTTTCCATGAACAAACATTCGTTCCGCTCGAACCATCACGCTTTTGAAAAAGTCCGATTAAAATTAATTGATCGTTGTTGTCGACAATGGTTTGCGCTGATTTCAAGATCCAATCAGTGTTCGAGCAAACAAGAGGCATTTCGGAATACGAGCGAATAATTGACGTGGAAGTATTTCGACAAAAACGAACGATTTTTGTTATGATCGTCGTCTGATCAACATCAGTCGGTTGATTCGTAAGAAAATAAATATAATTCTTCTGATAAAACGAATAAATATACTGAACGATAAATGTCGTTTGCTGTCTGGGCATGAAACGAAGTGATAAATCATCTCGCGAGATTGTATCATCATCATTAACTGATAAAATTTTCATAAAATTCGTCAAATTCAGCGACCGGCCAGAAAGATTCGGGATCTGCCAACGATATAAACCTTCGCTTGTGTAAGTGACACCGAAGTAAACGAGATTTTTCTCGGGAATGATCAAAGCGATTGTACTATTGACTGGATCATTGGCAACAATGGGCAACGATGAATTGATGATCCAATGGAACTCTTTGTCAAGAATTTGACACGAACCTTGATTTGACGTTCCACATACAAGTAAATTTCCGTCGTGAATTGCAGACAAAACTTTGAAATGATAATCCAATGGGAAGTTTAATGACGATTGAAGTTTTGTGAAGTTGTTTATCGATAAATGATGAAGTGCATTGCCTGAGCCAACGAAGAGTTCATTTTCGATTAGAAGGACTTTCTCGATTGGGTTAATTAAATCTTTTTCGTTAAGATCAACTGTTAAACCATGAATTAAAAGAAAATATGAACTGATCAAGAGAATAATCAACATTCTAAACGAAATCATCGGTTGAATTCGAAAAGATTTGAATTCAGTTACATACTTGTCTACTTCAGCATCGATATATGAAGATATTCGAAGTTGTCAAAGAGAAAAGAAAAGAAAAGAAATGCTGATGCTGCCGTCGTCTTTTCTGTTCGTCCACTTTCTCTCTTCTCTCGGTCAGTGAAGAACGAAAGAAAGTGAACGACACTTTCATACAGAAGCCAATTAATGACAAACAAAATTAAGTTTATGTCATAAAATGATAGATGAAACAAATCTGGTCACGTTCCACATGATTTGACAATATTTTTCCCACGTGTCCAATCAATTCTACAGAAACAAAATCGATGTGAATATTCTCAATCTGTCTTTTCAAGATATAAAATATTCATTAATTTTCCCTTTGCGTCTGTTCAAATAGAAAATGAGCCGAAAAAACAATCTGCCGAATTCATGTCGGACATTGTCTTTAATGATTCGAGGGAAGATTCGTGTAATTAACAATGAATTGATAACATTTCTATCGAAATCATTTTCAGATAGAATAAACAGTTAACATGCAGATGAGAATCGAAGAAAAGCTGGCATGTAATCCATGTTGTTCAATCGAAAATAGCCTTTCGAGATCGATGCTTGAACCGTAATGGACAAAGGGAATGAAGTGTTAGCCATTTAAGAAGTAAACATATGGTTCAGAGCACTTATTGATCGAAAAAATAAGAATAATAAAAAACTTGTGTTGAAAATGAATGTGATCTACATCGAAGAATAGAGTATCTTCTATGTCAATCCCCACCGGAGGTTTACTTAGTCGAATAATCAACATCAAGGCATTTGTAACCATCGAAAATCGATTTCTTTTATATAACAATGCACGAAAAACACCTTCGATGGAAGTATTTTTCTTTTGTATTGACATCATCAATTGATGTAGTAGAGATATAAATCAATAGGATATCTTCTTGTAGTCGCTTTCAACATCTGTTGATTGACACTCATGTACATGAACAAATGTATATTGTTTTTGTAAGCGATATCTATCGCTGTGAGATGAGATACCAGAACACAAAGAAAACGAATCAGAGATTTTTCTCGTGTATTTTTAATGATACGAGAAAAAACAAGATGTGATCTTTAGGAGAAAAAAAGGCGAATATACAAAATTGCGATCGACAATTATTGTCACTTGTTGAGATACTCGGATAAGACGATTTGTCGATCTTGTTGAGGAAACAAACAAAATGAATGATGAAGTAACGTTGATAACATTGGTTAAATGGGATTTCACGGAAGTTTTTAGGGACGACCGTTGACGGAAGAAGAGAAGAAAGCACGAAAGAAAGCCGAACGTGAACGAAAACGTCAAGAAGCTCGAGATGCGGCGGAGAAAAAGAAACGTTTCGCGTTAACACCTGAAAAGAAACGTAAATTACGGGTTTGTTTCCCTCTTTCACCCGGTATTCGTCGAGGAAACCAGTGAAAATTCTATATTTTAGCTGTTGATTATGAAAATGGCCACAGAGAATATCAAAGATGCGGCAGATAAGCGTTCAACTGCTCGGAAAAAGTATGTTGACGAACGTGTTAAACCAGCTCCGGATGATTACAATGCGCTCAATGAAGCTCATCTTGTCTCATTAGTCAAAGAACTTTACAAACAGTTGTCGGATACCGAAGAGCAACGATATGATATGGAAATGAAGATTCGTAAACAAGATTATGATGTAAAACATGTCTTTTCTTTGATTTCCGAAGGTAAATTTCATAACTTGATTTAGATTAACGAATTAACAATCAAAGTCAATGATGCGAAAGGAAAATTTATCAAGCCGACATTGAAGAAAGTTTCTAAAGCAACGCAAAAGTAAGAAGAAACAATTGATTGATGGAGATGAGTTCGAACTTGATTTAGAATTCAAAAATTACAAAAACCAAAAGAAGAAGAAATCGATTTTCGCGCTCATCTTAAACAATCAACGAATAAATTTGCTTTAAAAGATGAACATGAAGATAAAGTCAATTTCCGCGATCAAGTTCAACTCAAATCGTCCAAAGAACATCATCACGAAGAGGAATAAACAGTATTTCTCCAAATCCCAGCAACCAAACTCTTTCTTATCTAGTTTTCACCATTATAGAACAAATCTTTCCTTTTCTATGTTGATTAAACATCTCTGTTCACAACATCCAATCGTTGACCGTTTATTTAGTCTACTCATAAACATGTGTTTATGCTTAACACAAGATGTAAGGTTTCTAATTTCCCTTTTTTCTGTCAGTTAACTTTGTCTTTGACCACGTAGGCGATAAGGCGCAAGTGTTGAGGTATTTATCATATCGATCGTCAAGGTTATCTTTGAAAAGATCTTTTTAAGACACTGCTGTGAGGATCAAATGAAAATATCGAATCTTTGTAATCGAAGATATATTTGCGCTTTCAGGAGAAGTTCTCCGTTGTAATTTATCATTCTGTAAGAATACAGAAAGATAAAAGAACGGAATATTTCTTTTCTTTTTCCATCGTCGTATTCCATATCGATCTGTACATTCTCAGATGTGTACTGGTTTACACAAAAAAGTGTACGACGGGAAAAGAACAATAACAAGCTTTTCTGTTATGTCGTTCGAGTGAATATACCAGGAGACTTTTCTTTTCTTTTCTTTCTTTCTCTCTCTCTCTCGCGTTCTGTTTTACCATTAATTCGGCATATATCTTCTCCGTACAGATATTTTGGGAACACGACCACATCCTCCTCCTACTGTTGATCTATCTTTTCTTTATCTCTCTGTCTTTTTCTGGCTTCTACGTAGGTTGATCTTACTAAGAAAAGCAAGAAATAAGTGTTTGTTTCTAACATCATCAACTATCCCGTATTGATCTCTCGTTCTTCTTTTCTGCTTTGCAAAATCAACAAAATACACCACAGCAGTCCCAGTTAATCAGAACATAAAAAATATGGCTGACGAGGTAAACAAAATCCATCCAAATATAGAAATTCATCGATATAAACATTCGAAATTGAATTTCTTGCATGATTTATCTTTAATCAATTCAACAAATGAATCTGCATGTTGATTCTTTGCATGAACAAAACATATTTCTCAATATATTCGCATGATATTGCATAAAACGACATATAAAAATTTCTACTGAAAACTATCTATGTCGAACAACAAAAATGATTATGTAATCAGACAACATGAACGAAGTTGTAAGAGATTGGCATGGCATGTTTTATTGAAGTCAAATGTTGATTTTACAGGTTGAAATTGACGAACTTATGGTTATTTTTTGTCGTAGGATCGATCATTGACGGAAGATGAGAAGAAGGCTCGCAAGAAAGCCGATCGTGAACGTAAACGTCAAGAGGCTCGTGATGCGGCGGAAAAAAAGAAGCGTTTTGGTTTAACACCCGAAAAAAAACGAAAACTTCGTGTTTGTATTTCTTCGCGTTTGATTTCTTTGAATATTATCTCGATTCTTCATTCAGCTTTTGATTATGAAAATGGCCACGGATAATCTTAAAGGTGAACAACAACGTCGTTTAGAGGCGCGAAAGAACTACATTGAACAACGTTTGAAACCTCTCGATGATGTTAGTTCAATGAGTGATGGTGAATACGAATGATTTTGCGTTTTATTTTTGGGAAACCTCGTTTGTTTTAGCTCAACTTAAATCACTCTGTCAAGAACTTCATAATCAATTGAAAACAACGGAAGAAAGTCGCTATGATTTAGAATTGCGCGTCCGAAAACAAGATTATGATGTAAGAGAATCGAAGTTTTCTCTTTGTAGTCCATTTTTATCTTTTAGATCAACGAATTAAACATCAAAATCAACGACATCAAAGGTAAATTCGTTAAACCATCGTTGAAGAAAGTCTCGAAAGCCGAGCAAAAGTAAGTGACATTGCTTGTCGATCAGCTAGAAATCGCTACAATTTCAATTGTAGATTAAACAAATTGAAGAAAGCGAAGGAAGACGAACCGAACTTCATCAACATGGCAAATCTCAAACAAGCAACAAATAAATTTGCTCTCAAAGAAGAACAAAAGGAAGAGGAAAAGATCAACTTTCGCGATCAAGTTCAATTGAAATCTGCTAAAGAACATAAAGACGAAGAATAGATTTTCAAGGAACGCTTCATTTTTTAATCAACATTTGTTTTCTTTTGTCAAACCCTTTATTCATCACATATTTCTACTCATAAAAAACATCTATATTTAAAAAAAAGTAATTTTAGCTTTGAATTGTAATTGGAACATAATCACCGTTTTTTCTGCTTTTCTTCTTCATTTCTATCGAAAGTGTCTTCCGATATTCCACATCTTTTCGTTTGAAATCTCGACGAAGTTTCAATGGAACACAGAACATCCAAATGCCAATGATCACATGAATCAGGAGATAAATTGTCACGGAAGTATAAAAGACATACTGATCTAGTTGAAAGTACCACGATTGAGGAGTCAGCCGAGAATCAGGTGTACCACGGAATATCAAAGCACCGATGATAGCGTGCCAAACCGAAAGAATAACAAGGATAAATAAACACATGATAGCGTATTTATCCATTGTTGTTAAATATGATATTGTAGGCTGAAATTATTCGTCAAGGAGAAAGATAAGAATGGAAAAGCTTGACGCTTACAAGAGATCGGTTTACTGTCCAACGGAATGTAATCGATGTTAACAGAAGAGTACAACTGATTTGGAGACGATTTGGACAAAGACTAGAGAACGAAATGGAACAAATGAGAAATTCAGGTGTTCATTCGTCGACTTACTTCGGTGGAATAGCAAAAACACAAAAAGAAACGATTGTGATTAACATTATTAGACAATAACCATTCCAATAGAAATAATTCGAACATCGAGCTGAAAATTACAAAGTCGACTCGTCTTCAAATCGAGCAAAACTTACCTGCATGACAGGTCACCGTGACGACTGATCGATTTCTCTCCTTATTTGTCAATGCATTTGAATCTTCATTATTACTATCCGCCTTTTCTTCTCCTTCTTCTTCTTCTTCTTCCTCTTCTTCGCCATTTCCACCTCGAAAAAGAAATTCTTTAATATACCTTTGTTTCGTATCAACATATTCATATAACGACCATTCTTGCTGATCAACAAATGCTTCTCGATTGACCCCACTTGAATGATAGGGATCAGTAGTTAACAGAACCTTATCATCATAGAGTAACGATGCAATTGATATAGACAAATCTTGAACATCTGATGGGAAATGATGTAATTCGAGTTTCTCCCAGAAAAGGCCTTTGATGTCGCGATGTTCACAAATATAAACTTGCGAATCAATTTTCGATTTCTTTGCGCTGTATCGAATTTGCTCTTTCAAATCACCGAGAGCGTTTTCGATGTACAATTGTGGATGCCAATGAGATTCCGCGTATTTGACTAACGAAACCGATTTGCCATCAATCAAACGTTTTTGTTCGTCGGCGGAAAGATTTGGAAGAAGTTTGTCTAATTCAATCGACCAACGTGATTCAATCGACGCTTGAGCTTGATATTTCTCATTCAATGTATCAATTTCACCGATTCGTAAAAACATCAATCGAATATAAACTTTCGTTGCTTTGTTTAAATTCATTGTTGATAAATCCTGAGTTTCTTGTATTGTTTTTTGAAATACTAATGACAAAAAAACAACCTATGCTTTGTTACTTTTCCCGTCCAGCGTCGCCTTACCTGTAAGTGCGCTACTCACAAATAATCCTTGTGAGGTTTGTCCCGCGCCACTTAAATAATCGTTCGTAAATGTCATGCATTTCAACATATTCTTTCATCTACGATAATCGCTGTTAACTGCTTCGTTGATTTACCTTTCTGTCAGTTTGATTAAAACAAGTCGGTGACAGATCGTACAAAGCGTACCTGTAGATCGATCAGGTTCAATTAATTGCTTCGTTTGCTGTATGACATATTTGCACGAGAAGAATTCTTTATACATAAGAAAAAGAAAAGAATTAATATACTTGATTGCAAGTTGATTGTTAATGAGTAAATAATCGGTTTTTCACAATGTTTTTCATCGTTAATTTCCTATTTTTACTCGATAATTTAGTTTCTCCTGAGAAAATATTTTCTCAATTTATTCGCTGCAAACATTATCAAAACGGAATTGAGCACAAAAAGTGAATGTAAATATTTTCTGAACAGATGTTGATGCTCTTTGCAAGAACACACTGACATTTGCCAAGGAACGAAACACGATGTTGTAAGGCAAATAATAATCGACTTGTCAAATCTATTTTAATCATTTGGTAAGAAGAGATGATTGTGTTTTAGAGCCCATCACAGGTAACTTACAAAAAAACACCATGTGAAAAAACGTATGCAAACAAGTTTAACGCGATCAACAGTGTTGATTTAGACAAGAAAAATGTTTTTATAAGCGAAATTCTTATCGATTCGTTGGAGACGAACGTTAATTCTATACATATTTGAAGCATATTTATAACTTTTACGATCGATGTATTTATTCTCTTAATTTCAATGAACTCGTGTTAAATCACTAATTCTCTGTCAAAGAACATTTCTATAAAAGAGTGTGTATCTGACATTTAATACAGGATGGAAACTCTGCGTTCTGTCATGGATCCGAACTTGATGAATTTAAGAGCATTAAGATTATTTCTTCAAGATTGATGATAGGGTAAAAATTAATTATCTTCTTCAATTGAGTAGATAGAAGTTGATACTTAAGGTAGAAGAAATGAACCTGGCGAGATAATCAGGATTAAGATTTGAAAGAGTTTTCTCGTGTAAATGTTTTGCAGAAGAAGTCGGATTTTTTCCAATAAGAAATTCTCTGATTCACCAAAAGAAAATGCAGAACTAAACTACAGTCAGATTTTGCTCGAAGAAGGAAGGTATTCTTCCTAATAGGCCATCATTAAGATTCTATTTGTAAATCTCTGCGATAGAAATTCTTGAAAAGTGAAAACATCACCAGGTCGATGAATCATTTTGGACAAAACTCAACTTGGATTATCAGTGTTTAGAAAAGAAAAACACGCGATGATATTGTTAATCAACATTTGTGAAATAAAATCAATAATATTCTCGTTGCTCACATTTCAAACAGTTCACTCGACTTTGAACGCGAATGGAAATGAGATCGTGAGAAAAATGAAAGAAACAATCACGTTATGCTCTGTGTGATGCTCATCGTGACCGAACGCATTTTACCTATTTGTAGAAACGTACGTCAGAGAAAAGGTGTTTAATAAGCGGAATAATGTTCTCATTACGTAGCCGTGCATTTTTAGAAAAGGTAAGTTTTCAAAAAGAGATGAAAATATTAATCATTGATATTTTTCTTTATACGTTAAATTACAATCGAAAACGAATTTTTGCTTCTTTGTTCAAAATAAATTGAAAAGAGAAAAGAAAAACAAATGTTCGTGAAGATTTTCGCTTAACGAAAAAATCGCCAGTCAAATGGTTCAACAGCTGCATGTTTTATCGGGGATATTGGAGGTTTTGTTGGTCGCCATGATCCATCGATCTGTTTTGCAATGCAATGCATCGAGAGAAAAGGAACACGTAAAACAAGGAATTTCAAATCATTAACACGTGGTTGACCACCCGTCAATTGTCGTGTACAAACTTCTATAGTCGGTGCCTGAGAAAATAATAAAAAGAAACAAGCAGATTTTTTAGTAAAAGTTCGTTTTTGTCTTACATGTCCAACAATGAGTAAATTTCCGGCATCCATCTCGTGATTTTTCAGAATCGATGTCATAATAAAATGACTTCGCGTGTAATACATCAACTCGTCTTCGTCTTTTCTTAAACTTTCCATTGGATAAAATGCTTTGTATGATTTATCAACATTAAATCCATTTCTTGCTAATTCATCATGATCAAGAAATGGCCATTTCACCGGTACAACAGGATACCATTTCAGAAATTCAAACAGACATGGTTCAATACGAATAGGTATTTCCTCACGCAATTTAAGACCTTCAAGAATTTTATCAGCTGTTTGAACGCAACGTAGCGCAGGTGAAGCATAAACATGATGAATTTCGATTCCTTGTGCAGCAAGTTCTTCACCAACCATCTTACATTCGTGTAAGCCTAATTCAGTTAACGGTGGATCAAATAAGAAGTCTTTCAAATCTCTTCTAGTGACCATTTTTTTCGGTAAATTTAAGTTAATTCGTCGATAGCCGCCTGTTGCTTTGTCGAAAACTTGATCGAGCCATCCGGCGCCGAATGTCGAATCGACACGTTCAGCATGACGAACGACTAAGATCTTCTGCGATTCGCGTTGAACTGGCTGCGAAGGTTGTTGATGAATTGTTTGAAGAATAAATGGTGGTTTGATAAAACGTAACGATCGTCGACGTGTTAATGTTAAATTACTTGATTCAGTGGGAAGCGTTGGATTAATTGGAACCAGTTGTTGCTGCTGTAAAAGCGAATGTGAATTGCCTTGTTGAGTGTTGATCAGTAATGGCGCCATCGAGGGAGGGGGACTCATAAAAACAGGATCGGAAAGACGTTTACGATTCTTGCGTGGATCATACGACTGATTGGGATTCTTTTCACGTAGAACAACGGTATTGTAAAGATTTTCAAGAAGAATCTGTTGAACTTGCGGATGCTTCAATGTCGAATATGTAAAGGTATTCGGTTGAGATGGTGATTGTTGCTGCTGCTGCTGTTGTTGTTGTTGTTGTTGTTGTTGCTGCTGTTGTTGCTGCTGCTGCTGCTGCTGTTGCTGTTGTTGGGATGTTGACAAAGATTCATTGATTTGAGATGGTGATTGTGCAGATTGTTGATTTGGATTGGAAGTTAAATTGTTATTTGTACTGATTGTTGACGTTGGCGAGATTAACCCAGCAGCGGCAGCAGCATTAAAGTTTAATAAATTGTAATGAAGTTGCTGTTGCTGTTGTTGCTGCTGTTGTTGAGCGGTGGCATTGATATCGGAAAATTGAACAGGAGTCGGAGCGAATGGTGTAGGTGCGGGTACACCCGTTGAATTTAAAAACATATTATCAGAAAATCCAATTGATTTAGTTAAATATTATCCCATGTTGATCTAAAAGAGAATGTAAAGGACAATTGTGATGAAAATGGAAAAGAAAAGGGACGAAATGTGTTATTCAACGAAACTCATGGTTATCTGTCTGCAGTGATAAAAGAAGGTCATCGAATAAATAAAAAAAAGAAAAGAAAAAGAGAAAGAAAGATGACAAATCATGTGTGAACTAAAGAACAGAAAGAATCAGTGAAGCCTGAGATAAGTTTTCTAGAAAAGTGTCATTTCGTTGATGTGCGCAGTAATTGCTCTAGTCACATTGATTACCGTGTATACACACCGTAAGTATATGCATGTTTTTTGGGTATAGAATCGATCAAAGCAGGCATATTACCTTTTACGCAGCCATTGAAATTACCTTCTTCACTTCTATTTGCGTCATCCGCCTCTACAATTAGTGATTCTTCGTCTTTGGGCGATCAAACACGTGAGCGGATGATTGAAACAAAAAAAAAGGAAAAGAAAAGACAAGACAAGAAACTTCTTCTACCAGTGATAACTGAAGGTTTTCACACATTTCTATCAAGTTCAAATGAAGAACAAGAACAATGTGTGATGCACATCCCTATCTATAAAAGCGAAGAAAAGGCACAAATTGTCTCGATTAATTGGATTCCTTGAAAAGTCACCTAACGAAGATGTATGTTAGATCAATATCGAGCAATAAAAATTTGTCATCTATTATCGAGTATACAAAAGATACACACGTGCGTTTGGCATGCAATTATCATTCGAAGGTAAAACATCGAAATGAAAAGAATCATATCTTTCAAACGATAATTACTGATTTCTAATGAATATCAATTAACAAAGTATCAAAATAAATCAATTCGATCAAATAAAGAAAAAACACCCACGCTGAATAGATATTTTCATCTCTCGTTCTAATTATAAACAATAAGTTCGATAAGTTGAATAAAATCATCTTCCAACACCACGAAACAACATTATTAATCTTGTCCTCAAACGAAACGATTCGATTTCAAAGAATTTTATTTGTCTAATCAAAAAGATAATGATCGGTTGTCTTTGCACAGACAAGGACATACTTTCATTCATGATTGTTATATCATTGATCGTATGAGAGAAAGAAAAAACGAAAGTTATTCATTAAGTGATATTTATCTTTAGAAAATATCTTCGATATCGAGAAAAAAAACATATTATCGTCTGTATCGAGTAAATATTTCAATGACCTCTGATCAATCGGGAAGGGTTAAATTGATCTCGGACAGAAATATTTATCAATATACTTTTCCTCTCTGATTTATTCCAATTAACGAAGACAATTTTCGACTTGTTTGATACCTTTGTGTAAACCATATGTTTTATCGACATTATCTAACTTCATATCACAGCAATTGGCCTTCAGTGGAAACGAAAATGTGCACATGATAAGAAAAATACGCCGATGTAACGAATAAAATCATCATAATTGATATTATACAATATCTTCTATTCGTAATATTAGTCGTAAGAAAATTCTGTTGCTTTGTCATTGAAAGAACGGAAAGTTTCCTTTGTGTAACGAGACTTTTTTCACTTAAATAAACATGGATGTTAAAAGAATTGTAAAAACATGTCAATCACTAACATTCCGTGCCGTTGCCATATGTCTATGGGTGTTTTATTCTCGTTTCTTTTCTTATTCACTCAACATTATTTAACCAGGTAACCATCACAATAGAACAGATGAATTCAAATCAAACTGAACATATTAATCGAATAATAGCCGAATTGAAAACTGGATCTTTCTTAACGAAACAGAAACGAAATGCTGAACAGTATTTACGACATTTTTATCTTGAAGAAAACGAAGAATTTCTTTCGTATCATCAATCAGAAAAGTTTTTTTCTCAAGCACATCGTTGTAAGTACAATTAAAACACGAAAAAAAGGGTGACTATTTGGGTTATATCTGAAAACTATAGATTATATCAAAGATATTGATGAAGTTCGAATTGGCTTCCATACATTAATATTCGATGGACTTGTTAAACAGCAAATCGTTGATTCACACAAAGTAAGTTACTAATAGTTTTCTACTAATGTCACGCTAACACCACGAACTTCGAATATTTCATCTTATGAAGAATTCCTTGATCGAGATTATTGCATTATGATGTACACACTGCTATTTCCTACACTCTCTTTCTTTATTGTGATTTCCGCGACGAAAAACAAATTGTTTTATTTAGGAAAATCTTGCTTTTTCGATATTCTATAATAACTATCGCGATGAACTTCATCTAATGGCAAATGATGCTGAAACACGAAATGTTTGGATATCAGGATTACAATATTTAATTGTTCGATGTGCACAAAACCAACAGCAACGACATACTATTCGCGATACTAAGTAAACAAAACATATATTGATTTAACCAGTAAATGATTTTCAATTGATGAATAGTTGGATTCTTAGTCAACTACGATTTGCCGACAAAGATAAATCGAGTACGATGGATAGAGCTGAATGTCAACATTTATTAGTCAATTCATTAAATGTTCAATTAGCTGAAGACGTTTTCGAAAATCTTTTCAATGTAGAAGTAATTTCGAATTTGCTACAAACGAATTTTATATTTCTTAGGCTGCAAATAAAAATGCTGATGGTCATTTGACTTCGGATGAATTTTTTGATTTTTTTCAAAATTTAACTCAACGAGAAGATCTTTTCGAACTTATGCAAAAGTAAATCGAATGGATCAGTTTCGTTTGATTTCAAATGAATTGTATAGATTCGTAGAAAATGGTGATGAACAATCAATTGATACGATCTTTATGAATGTCAACGAACTTCTGCATTTTCTTCAAACAGTTCAAAAAGTCAATTAATCTCTCTACGAATGAATTATACATTTTGTATTTCTTTGTAGCAAAAGATAATGGTCTATTCATCGAAAGATAATTTTACGATTGAATCAATAGCAACACGTGAACAAGCATTGAAGTTAATCGAAGAATACGAATTGGAAGTCGAATTAAAAGAACAAAAACTTCTTAGTCTTGATGGTTTGAATTTTCAATAAAAATTCGTTGTTCAAAAGTCAAACATTTTTCATTATAGGATTCCGTAATTTATTGTTATCCGACGAATTTTCCATCATGAAACCTTGGTGTTCCCGTCATCCATACCAAGACATGACTCGGTAATATTTTCATACTAAATCTTATCTACTTCTATTTAACTTGATGAATATGATTACTTCTAGACCATTAAGTGATTATTACATCAATGCGTCACATAACACGTAGATTTCTTTCGTTCAAAAGCGAATAGATCACATTTTTTTCTCGTTTAGTTATTTATTTAACAATCAAATTTATGGTGACAGCAATCCTGAAGCATATAATCGAGCACTACGTGCTGGTTGTCGAGTTCTGGAAATCGACTGTTATGATGGAGATGATGGTCAACCAATTGTGACACATGGACATACATTTGTACGATCGTGTTCGTTTGAATCGATTATTCGATTAATTCAACCAAATATGTTTAAAACATCGCCGTAGGTTTCAAATTTTGTGGAATTTGTTTCGTTATTCGTTTGTTTAATTAAAATAGATATCCAGTTATTCTTTCGATCGAAAATCATTGTTCGATAAAACAACAGAAAGAAATGGCACGAATTTTGCGTGAAATTCTCGGAAGTAAAACTAGTTTTATTTACTGATACTTTTCGCGAGTTTTCCCTTGATTTTTAGATCAATTGTTAACTCAATCTCCGTATATAAAACATTCGTGGTTATTACCATCACCTGAAGATCTCAAGTATAAAGTTCTTATTCGTGTAAGTCGTTGTATTTTTGATTAATTACTATGAAATTCACTATATACTAGAGCACGAAACAATCAACATGTGAATCATTTGAAAATGCTGATAGTGTCGATCCTTCGGATTTGTTTATTTATCTTGAAAATGTTCCATATCGTGAATATGATTATAGCAAAGAACATTGTAAGTCAAAAAGATTTTTTAAATGTTGTGAGTTGTTTTTGTAAAGATAATTGCTGTCAATCATCATCTCTTTCTGAAAATCAATGTGAACGAATTTGTCAATCGGATCCAATGGGTTTAATCAAACAAACTCATACATATTTACTTCGAATGTATCCGAATGGTTTACGACAAGATTCAAGTAATCCAAATCCAATCATTGGATGGAATTTCGGTTTACAAATGGTTGCACTCAATTATCAAAGTGATGATCGTAGTATGCAACTATGTTATGGAAAATTTCTCGATAATGGTTCATGTGGTTATGTACTTAAACCAAATTATCTTCTTCAGATTGAAAAATCGAAATTTAATCCATTGAATTATTCAATTAAATCATTGAATTCTAAAGACATATTCGATTGTCCTGTACGTTTAACAATTACGATCATCAGTGGACAATTTTTTGATCGAACAAGTGAAGATTCGGATGATATTCCTGATCCTTATGTTGTTGTTTCAACTCATGGAATTCCGTGTGATCAACAAACACAAAAAACAAACTTTATTGAAAATAATGGTTTTAATCCAAATTGGAATGAAACATTTCAATTTGATATTCAATTTCCTCAAATGTGTTTACTTCGTTTCGATGTTTGTGATTATGATATCTATAGTCACGATGATCATCTTGCTTATTTTTGCCTTCCTGTACTTACAATTCAACCTGGTAGTTCATTTTTCGCAAGATTTTAACTTCATTTTTCGATCTTCTGTCTTCTAGGTTATCGTCATGTTCATTTACGGGCGAAAGATCACGACAAAACTCATTCCACTCTATTTGTACATGTTACTATAGAAAATAAATCTTAATTCATAAATAAAATACTATTCGTATCAGAATATTTCAATCGTTTAACAAGCGCGAATGTTAAATATGCTCAAGTTGATCTTCGATAATATGAGGGTGAAATTCATCGAATACATTTTTAAATAGGTCAGTTCTTCGCAAAAAAACCTTGTTTGATAGTTAAGGGGAAAATCGGAGTTCTTCTATATGTGGATCGTTTAGCGGCGGGGCCCAAGTTTTCACTCCGGATGGGCTCACGATAGAAATCGTACTTTTTTATCGTCTAAATGTTAATTTTCTGTGGAAATTTTTCAAAGTTAGGGTGGGCTGAACTCATCCTTGGCGCTGTCACTAGGATAATTGAAAAATTGAATTCAACTTTCGATTTTGACACTACTGTGATCGTTGTACTTCTATTCACTTTCAAGAGTATTCTGCACTTCATTTACCACCATAATACCTCTACGTGTTGTTTCGTTAATCTGACAATGAAAATCATTAAGAATCAAAATACGTATTAGAATTAGATTCACAACAAAAACCAAAGAACAGTGAATATTTTATTATAAAAATCCTTTATAAACGTTTATCAATAATTTTCAATAATTTATTTGATGTTTCATTTCGCATTAATTGATTGAACTGAATTGCTTCAAATTGCAGAATCAAATTTTCGGAAAGACTTGTTAATTGTTTATCAAAAAAATTTTGCAAATAATTCTTTAAAATCATTTCTAAGTTTTCATTTGAACTTGTTTCAGATTTCACATATCGAAATAAAAGAAGTATTTGATCGGTTTTCGAAGATGAAACATAATCAATAATTAATTGCCATTCAATCAGATCAATTTGTTTCATTGTTTCTTCAATGTCTGATTTGGAAAGTACATTTTCACCAATCATAATCAATCTTTGACTACGAAAGACTTCAATTAAACCATATTTACTGTTTACATCCGTTGGAAGAATTCGTCCAAGATCACCAGAATCAAAACGAAACAATTGATTACGTTTCCGGATAAGATTTGTGACAATAATTTTCGAATTGATTATTTCAATGTGAACTAATTCTTTTGGATAAAGATAAATCTTTGTTGAAGAATATTTTCGTGATTGACATGCATAAACACCCGTTTCAGCTGAACCATAGAACCCAAGAAAAGTCGAACAATGAAATATTCGTTTGAAATAATCTTGTTTCACTTGATCGATCGCTTCACAAGCGAAATAAATTTTCTCGAAACATATTTCTTTCTTTTCTTGTTTTTCTAAATAAAATGCCAATTGCATTAGCCGATGTGGCGTACCCATAATGATACTTGGCTTAAAATATTCAATCATCTTCCAAATATCTTCATCACTTGTATTTGCGCCCATTGGAATCGATGTACAATTTGCCATTGTACAAAAATCATTGAAAATCTCCATCGATCGATAAACATGACCCGTTTGAAAGATGTTTAAACAAATATCTCGATCAGAAATGATCTCTTCATCGAGCATCATCTTGACGAGAATTTGTCGTTGAAGAAGATTCTGTTGAATATCACTTGAAAAATAGAGTTGTTTTCCTCCACTTCCACCAGATGATGAAATATAAACCGATCGATTCCATTGATTATCAAATAATTTCATTTTGATTAATTGTTCATGTAAAACTTCTTTTGACAAAATATCTCCGTTTTTCATCGAATGAACTGATTGTTGATGAACATATGGACGAATGTAATGACCTCCACGAGAGATATTTACAATTTTTTTCTCGGCCATTCGAATAATTCCCATATTAAAACAATATTCATTAAAACAAAACAACATTCCACATAAATTCATTGATTTATATGGAACATAATCGACATATTCTTGAATAATCCATTGATTATGACTGGAATCCAATAATTGTCTCGACCATTCATCGATTGACACATCAGCACCTATTCAAAAAACTTCATTTTATCATAAACTTAACAATGTTAACTGACCTATAGTAATATTTTCTCCTTTTCCGGCTGAATTTGGTTTGATACACCAATGTTGTTTGTTCTTAACAATCGAATCTTTGAGATAATTGGGTAATTTATCGATGACGAATGTTTTTGGAATGAATTGTAGGAATTTGTCGAATGGTGAGTTCAATAAAACATAAAGAAATGATTGATTTGATAAGAGTGAAAATAAACGTTTGTCATGTAAAAGAAAAATTGTTCGCAAATCGTTTATATAATTGATTTGCTTGTTTTGAATAAAAAATTCGAGAATTTCATCTGATAAATTAAGTATTTCATTTTGATGTAATTCAAGAATACATTGTTCTATGGAAATGTTTGACTTTCGATCAATTAATTTCTCATTTTCAACTTTTAAATCATTTGGATCAACAATTAAACATTGTTGAGTTGATTTTTTCGTCCAATATTGTTGAAATAGATGAATATCATAACCATGTTCTTGTAATTTCACAATAAACATTCGCTTTGTCAGATCAAATTTCGCTGATTCGATTATGGTTTCAATCATTTTCGAAGATTTCTGCGAATATCGATTTTGTCGATCAGTTGAACATAGAGCAGCTGAGAGAAAATATCCATTGAATGGAAATCTTGCATTAATTTCGCATATTTTTGGTTNCGTCCAATATTGTTGAAATAGATGAATATCATAACCATGTTCTTGTAATTTCACAATAAACATTCGCTTTGTCAGATCAAATTTCGCTGATTCGATTATGGTTTCAATCATTTTCGAAGATTTCTGCGAATATCGATTTTGTCGATCAGTTGAACATAGAGCAGCTGAGAGAAAATATCCATTGAATGGAAATCTTGCATTAATTTCGCATATTTTTGGTTGAAATGAATGTTTGCTATTGATTTCAAATAAATTTCCTTGACTAAACATCAAATCAGGTCGATACGAACCAATTTGGTAATTTGGTCGATACATATTCAATTGTCTGATGATTTTATCGACTTTCGGGTCAAATTGAAATGTTTGTCGAATTTTTTCACCTAAATTCGTCGGCTGATCATAGTGTTTCACGATTGAAAGCAAAATTTCATATAAAATTTCATGCTGACATTGTAAATAATCATAAAAATCGTTTGAAAAGGATAAATATTCAGGCAATAGTTTGTCTTTGTCATAAACGGAATGAACATCATATGGACATGTTCGATTGAATCGTATGCGAAGTAAATGACGTTGATGATCGAGAATTTTCGTTCTTCCATGAAGAAACTTTTGATTATTCAAAATAATCATTGTAAATTTCGTCAATTCTGGTTGAAATCGTTTCACTTGTTGAATAGTTGAATTCAATTCATTTAATTCTTCACAATTCTCCTCAGATAAAATATCATATCGATATCGAATTTTGTCTTCAGCCAATAAAATCGGTGCATTGATATGATCAACATCGATTGATTTACGAAATTCTAACGGAATATTTATCTGAAAGTTTTCATTCATTAATTTCTCTTGAGTTTTAATTGACAAAGATTTGAGTATATCGGACAATTGAATAATTTCTAATTTTCCTCCTCCAAGTTGATCCTGTTCGAGAACAAATAGTGCCATGTATTCCGGTGGATTGATTTCATATGAACAATCCGTATGAAATGAGAATTCATCATCAGTTTGAGATCGAGCGAGATGTCTCTTTTCAACGATGGAATCCGTTTCCATTGGCTGAACATGCCAAACAAATGAGTTTTGTTCTGCATTGTGAGTTAAACATTTTCCACTAAGTTTTTCAATGATATTTATGAAGAATTTCTCCATATTTCTAGGAAAATCATCGTCATTTGGCAGATATTCATCGGAAAATTGAATTCGGACATAACCATCGTCAACCATTGTCTTCTCGATTTCCAATAATCTCTTCGGATCATAATTATAACTTTTATAGGAACAATTCATTATCTACAAATAAAAATCAACATATCTCAATCTGTTGCAAAAGAATGTTATTTTGTTGTGAAATGAATACGCGTAAAAACTTTTTCTCAATATGACATCTACTCGGCATTCGTGTTTTTCTTTTTTCTACCAATCGATTCATTTATATGCGAAATTAAATTTCATAAATCTATAAACCAGAATAAATATTGTATTTGTATACTGACGTGGAATTACCAGTTGACAAAGGTTCTCAGTGAGTCAATATGCTTCCATCGTCATATGCGATATTATACTCGATGGGCTTATCTCAAATCAAATGGGAAGAGAACAAATAATTACATGACTCATACAGTATATCTTGGAAAATATTTGTACTGGTTGGACTATAACCAGGCATATATATATAACCTTTGATGCACTTTTAAGACCAGTTATGAAAGATTAAATTTCCGAAGAGATTCTTCTCAATAAATTTTTTATGATGTATTTTTTGGTTTTGTTGTGTATTAAAATAGAATATTTCTTTGAGATGGAAAATGACTGTGATCAGAGTAAATGTAAATTATTGTCCTATATATTTCAACAGAAACCACGAGAGTTGTATTAATGTGGTCAGTTATTTATCTTCATTCTCATATATGTATAGAACAATAGTGTTACGTATTTTAGTTTCTTCCATGTCAGAATCGTACTGAACAAGAATAAATTTACAATTTGTATCGCTACTAACAATGGTTCCATTGATTTGTTTTATTTCAGAAATATTTCAAATAAATAAAATCAAAAGAGTACGATCTGGTGTATTGATAAATGACTCGATTTTTGATTCCAATACCATCGATTCTGTTATTGAAAGAGAAAAAAGTAAAAATTAAACAGTGCAATCAATAATTTGATGTTCGTAGAAGAATCGAATATGTTGTTCATTTCTCAAAAATCGACGAGGTTTGATTTGAACGGGACTAACTTGATCGGTGACCAATTCCTTATTTAAGAAAGTGGAAAACGTTCCATACTGAACAAGAATACACATAAGTGGACCAAGTTTCCCAATCTGTCGATAACTTTCATACACTTGATTTTCTATACAAAGTTGCCGATCAATTTCGTTACTAGCAATATCTTGGAGCATTTTGAATTGATTATCAACGACTGTACAATTTGTATCATGACTTTTCTCATCTATCAGTTCGATAAATACGACGTAACAGACTGAAAGACCGTCAATCTTTGTATATGAAGTAAAATCATGAAGACTAACATGAAATCCTTGTTCTTTCCATTGTTGAATTACTTTCATAATAGCATTCAGCACATGTCGTTCACTCGTTTTCTCTCCATATATGTCTAAACATCCAATACGACATGCGATCGAGATAAGAGGAATTCGAGGTATTTCCTTTGGTTCAGCTGGTAGTGTGACTAGATCATTGCTGTGACTAAGAAATCTTGTACAATTAATCACATCGCCCATTCGATATCGAACAAGTCCTGCAGGAGTTGTACAAACCATTTCGTATCGATTTCCAGGTTCAATTTCTGACATAAGAAGAGTCTTCGGTTGTTCCTTAACGAAACGACATATTGAAATAATCAATATCAAAGAAATTATGAAGAAATTACGGATGGCATACCTTAGGTATGTCTTCTTCTTTGATGAATTCAAAGAATGCATAGGTTGGTAAGAGAAAATACTCGTCCGTATGATTACTTGCAGTGAATCCAAAACATCCTTCGCTTGCGAGGTAACAAGTAAAGTTGCTTAAAAGAAGTTTATCTCCACAATAAAATTGTATTTGTTCTTTATACATAGAATAGTTACTACCAATCGCAGTAGATGCACATAACAGAGATGGCCATAAACGATGAAGAAGACCAGGAACATCTTTTCTACAACATTCTTGTTGAATATGATATGTTCTTTTCATTTGATACTTTCGTCCTCCATATTCAATGATAATTTCATTCAATGCTTGATTTAAATCAGTTACAAGTTTAGCATCGTGTATATGATTTCGAACAAAGGAACTATCGTTGAAGTCGATCGAAGTGATACATCGATTGATTTCTTCATAATAATCTTCGATCATTTTGATGGTATGAATAAATGCTGGAGGAAACGTTACTGAATAAGAATATATATCGGAAACGGTCATGGCGAAAACAAGTTGAACAAATATATTCGTCTCGAAGTCTGTAATTGCTTCGACAAGATCGAGTCCTATGACATTGGCAACAGCTGTTATTGGTTTGTATTTCGAAAACGTTGAAATTGCAGAAAAACACTGACTGAAAGGACCGAGTGGAATGCCACTTTTCGTCTTTTCATACATTGACTCTCTCCTTCCACTCGATAACTGAAAATATCTTTGTTTAGCGTAGGGGAAGGATGAGGATGGTAACGATCTCCACATGCACGAGAGTCCAATACTAAACGCGTTCATTGTTTCTTTTAACATTGTCATTGTCATTGGAATCAGTTTAATCTTTCCCGTAGTTCCCGAACTAGTGTTAAAATAAACGATTTTATCAGTAGACAATAAGTTTTTTTCTCCGTCCTCAACCATTCGATCAATATAGTTGCGATAATCATCATACGTAGTCAACGGAACTTTTGCACGAAACTCATCAATTGTTGCGTAACCTTCATCGGCAGGCAAAGGAGAACGTGGACAATGCGAACGAATATATGAAATCGAATGATCTCGTGAGAAAGTAGATGGATAATTATTCTGAAGAATTGTTGCTAATTGTTTGTTATTGATCTCGTGCATATTGCAAAGAATATTTCGATAGTACGATGCAAACGGACCTTTATTAGAAGCTAGCTGCTTTGGACCCATTAGGCGTTTATAGATATGAATGTAGATAAATTTCTTCCAATCAAATTTCAAACATAACAATGAAGTGATGAGTCCCAGAAATAAAATAATAATCAAAACATTATTATGCGAAAGACCTAAGAAAACATCTTGATGAACGTAACTGTGCAATTTTGACAATAATGAATCCATGGCTCTCTACAATGAAATTTAAAAAATGTTAAAAAAACTCTTCTTTTCTATAACATGTTACCTTGAGAATGTATAAACAGTGAAGTATAGTTAACTAAAATAAATGTATTAAAAATTCAGTTGATATCCACAAGGAATGCATAGAAAAATTAAGTTTGAGTCAGCAAATTTGTTATATAACTACACCTTAAATAGTCTACGGTAAATCGCAAACGAACTGATGACTAACTTATCACATACAACGGTTAAAAATAGAATGATACTTTCTGCCTTTGAGATAAACAAATATATATCAAACGAAGTAGATGCTATTAATCGTGGACTATATATGCTAATAGTGATACAGAAATGAAACAGACTGTACTACGTACGTCTAGTAACGATTCATACTTGAGTATGATTTGAAACTTCAGAGATCAAAGGGGTGAGATGGTATAAACTATTTTTCGCCTGATCTAGTTATGTCACATATTTGTACTAAGTTTGTTCTTCTCCAAGTTAAGTGCCTTACCTGTAATCTCACTGTCAGTGCAGTTGATGATGACAGAAGATATGTGTGTAGAGAAAAGAAAGGAAAAGGGCGGATTGACATGTGCATATTTGTTTCAGATATTTTTGGCACTTGACTTATATTCGTTCGATGCATAAGATAACTTTACAAACAGCTTTTCAAAGCTTTACAAAATTCCCAAGGTTTTAAAACTGCCCGAAAGAAATCTCAGTGATTTAAATCTTCCAGAATGTGTGCCTGATTATTTTGTTTCGATTGATTAATTAAAATAAACCGAAATTGATATTAAAGATGAGGAAAAGTCTCATGGTCACTGATAAAAAAAGCACATGAATATTTGGTATTTGTTTGTATAAAAAACAACATGTAACGGAGATTGATCTTCCTTATCAATTCTGTTATTAAAAGAAAAGGTTATTATCGATGAGATTGAAAGAAAAACAAAATACATTGATTAATTGGATGATGTTTAATAGTCTGAAAAGTCGTTTTTCATCGAAAAAGAAATCTTTACAAGCGGTTGAAGTAAATCGAATTGAAAGATTCTCAATCATATGAGAAGGAAATTTTCTAGGAGAATAAACTGGAAAATAAGGAAGAAGAACGTGAAGAATGGGATCGACCTATTGAATTTTTCCTTTCGTTAATTGGTTGTTCTATCGGTAAGGTTTCGAAGAGAAAAGAAGACTTCGCATTTTTTAATTTTTCGATATTAAAAAGGTCTTGGTAATGTGTGGAGATATCCATATATTGGTATGTTATTATCTACAGAAAAGGAAAGTCTCGTTCGTTTGTTCTTTTTTGTTTAGCGTTCAAAAACGGCGGAGGTAAAATTTGCTCTTTCAAAACATATCGTTTGATGAATATTCATGGAATAAGGTGCTTTTATTATTCCATATTTTTGTATTTATTTTCTTATTGGTACACCACTTTTCTTTCTTGAAATGTCGCTTGGTCAATTTACAAGTAGTGGATCAGCAGCTGCTTTTAAAATGTCTCGAATGTTCAAAGGTGAATATAAGAGGTTTCTTTTTCTCGAAGATCTGCAGAAGTTCTTTTAGGACTCGGTTGGGCAACGGCAATAAATTCGTTTCTCGTCTCGATCTATTATAATGTTATTATTGCTTGGTGTCTCTTCTATTTTTTCGCTTCATTTCGACGTCAATTGCCATGGAGCGATTGTGGAAATTGGTGGAATACAGAACGATGTGTTAATCCAGGTGAAAACATGCTTTTTCTTTTGCAGCTTTGGTTGACTGTTTGTTTACATATAGAAACAGAAAATCTCTCGAATTCAACATCTTTCTGCAATCTTTATCGTCAGACGAATTGTACAATTCCAATTCTTCCACCTGAGGAATATTTCGAGTGAGATAATATAGAATATTTTTTGAGTATTATTTACTCGAATTTCTGTTTAGTAATTATGTGTTACGGCGGAGTGATTCACTTGACCATCTAGGTGTACCAAGCTGGTCTTTGACTCTATGTTTATTATTAGCTTGGATTCTCGTTGGTCTTTGTATCATTCAAGGAATTAAATCATCTGGCAAGGTAAGATTATTTATCTCTTTCATATAATAATCTAATCACTATTGTAGGTTGTTTATTTTACAGCATTATTTCCATATGTTGTCATTTTTGCATTGATCATTCGTGGTGTTACATTACCAGGTTAACCATGGAGTTGATTTGTAGAGAATAATCGATGTCAAAAAATGTGTTTTTAGGTGCTCGAGCAGGTCTGACGTTCTATCTGAAACCCAACTGGAAGAAAATTCAAGAATTTGACGTGAGAGAATACAACTAATTCAAATGAATATTGTGATGTGACAAAAAACCTTTTTTTTGACAGGTTTGGATTGCTGCTGCATCTCAGGTATGTATCACGGATACACTATCAACTGTATTCAGTCCGAACGATCTCTAGGTGACATTTTCTCTGTCTGTTGCATTTGGGCCTCTTCTTGGCTACGCAAGTTTCAATAAATTTCATGCAAACTATCTCAGGTAACTCAATCTGATTGAACAACTTCTCTTATTCATGAATCGATTTCAGAGATTGTATTTTTGTAACTGTATGTGATTGTTTCACATCGGTAAGTACTTTCTTTCTATTAGCTTAAATAATAGTTCGATAATGATCAATAGGTTTTTGCTGGTTTTGCCATCTTTTCTGTGATTGGTTATATGTCATTTAAAACAGGTTTACCGATTGAACAAGTGGCTAAAGCAGGACCTGGTTTAGCTTTTATTGCTTATCCTCAAGCTTTGTCAAGTATGCCCGGTGGACCTTTCTGGGCAGTTATTTTCTTCTTTATGCTTTTAACACTTGGACTTGATTCTCAAGTAAAAGATTTCTTGATGAATTTCGATTTCTATGAGAGACTTCGTCTAGTTCGCTTTTGCTGATGTAATTATATCTGGTCTATTGGACACATTCAAACGTCTTCGTCGTCATAAGATGTTTGTTACAATCGGTTATTGTGGTCTTTGTTTTCTGTTAGCGTTGCCAATTTGTGCACCGGTAAGGCTAGAATCGAAAGATTTTTGCCATTAGAAGAGGTGACTTTTGTCTTTTTTAGGGTGGAATTTATTTATTCGTATGTATTAAAGAAATATTCACTCCTCCGTTTTGTGATAAATTTCAATGGATTATAGATTTTAATGAATGAATATGCGGCTAATCTATCGGTTTATGTTTGCGGATTTTTTGAATTTATTCTCATTGGTTATATTTATGGTCATTTTGATAAGGATACTTTTTTTCACGACCATATTTCTTTTTCTTTTCTGTAGGATTTAATAACTTCATGGAAGATATTCGAATGATGTTAGGTAAAAGGCCATTAGAAGCATTTTGGTTCGCCACTTGGTGTATCACTGGTCCAATTATCACAATAGTAATCTTCAATTTATCGTTTATTTTGTATTGTAAATTTCAACAATTAGGTTGTTTTCTTTTCATCGATTGTTCGATTTCGAACACCAACTGCTGGCAACTACGAATATCCAGCATATGCAAACATACTTGGATGGTTAATGGTTTGTTCGTCATTGATATTTATTCCTTTAATTATGATCTACGAATTCTACAAAGGATGGAAAATGACCAATGAAGTAAAACTTTTTCAATTCATCAATCAAGTTCACCTAATTTTTATTAAAGAGTGATGGAAGAATGCCCCATTACCTACGAATGTTGACTTATGTAAGTAAACCTGATGATCAATGGGGACCAGCAAAGAATGTGAATCGTTGGGGACGCTATCAACCAAAGATTGACGAAACCATTCCTATTGATGAAACAAATTATTCGAAAAGTAACGAAAACGATTATTTCTATTCTGAAAATATTCATCGAACACGATTCTAAATACAAACCAATGACTTTGTCAATAATGAAGATGAAAGTCACTGTAGTTCTAGATCATTTACATACAAGAATAAACATTGTCATTGTTCCGAAAAGATGTTGTTAAAGATATGATTACACTTTCTCCTATGTTCAGTCACAGTTGAAAATAAATCTCTCAATTCATTATTTGAAATCCCTTTAGATAAAGTAAAGTAAAAATAAAGTGTCACTCCTCAAACGACATAACGCTGATTGTCTAATGAAGTTTTCTTTTAATATTAACACAAAATTCAACATGTAATGATTAGATTGAGAAGTGTTTAGCGTAACATGTGTTTATAGTAATCGATGATCGTAAGACAAAGGATACGTAAGTTAATCTTGTTGATAATCAGTCCATAGTTGATATTGAATTTCCAATTGACCAGTTATTTGTTTATTTCGATCAAACTGATGAATAACAGCATAAACTTGTTCATTTTCATTAAGAATAAGTCCAAATTGATTTCTTTTAAATGTTGCTGAATATCCTAATGTTCCAACAAAACCACGTTCGTGTGAAATAATATGAATTTTCGTATTATTGATTTTATCTCTATAAACAATATGATTATGAATACCTTGATCATTACATTGTTGATATCTTTGACTTGTCACTTGTTCTACAATTGATAAATAATTCCTCATTGCTTTCCATGAACCAAGAATTGTTCCAGCACAAATGATTTTCTGATCTCCAATAAGATTAAGTTCTGTTTCACCATAACAATCTTTAATCCATTTCGAATTATAACTACATTTTCTTATATTCATTTTTGTAGTTTCTTGAAATACAAAGAGACCATCTTCATATTCGTTAACATAATCAAAAATATTTCGCTGAAATATAACATCACGTGAATCACATATAAAAACATATTTGTATGGAGACTTTATATCATCTAAACGTTTTAAATATTGACTTATAATAATCCATCGTAATGAAACAGTTGGAATGGACGACAAACGAATATTTAAATGTGAAGATATCCATGTGTCATATGGAATAAAGATAATCGAATAGAAAAGAGCGAGTTGACGAAAATCTTCTTCTGCAATTATTTTACTATGTAGAAATATGATTATATGACAATTATTACAACTTTTGCGAGCTGAACGTACGAATCGATAAACAATTTTCAAAGGCATGTTGAGAGAAACAGTAATTATAAGATTATTTTGAGAAAGAGAACCAGATATAGTTGAAGGATATGGTAAATATAATGTTCTGGGAGTTATTCCAAAGGAATATATTCTTGATCCTATGAAATAACCCAGGGTAAACATAAACAATAAACTAAGTACAAAAGTCGATAAAAAATGAGTTTGTAATTTGTTATAAAAGCGCATATCTGTTAATCTTGGATATTTTGATAAAATGGAATAATCTAAAAGTAAATAGTGTATGCGTGAAAAAAGAGCAAAAGACATTTTCTTCGTGAAATGTTCAAGAGGAAACAGTCACTTTTGTGATATTAGGGGTCCTCTACACTTTGCCGACAGATCTCTTTGTCAAAAATTTCAATAGATACAATTCTTTTCGAGAGAACCGATGCAACAACCATTTTTGAGCAAATTCTGTCATAGCTACGATATCCTCATCTGAACCTTTTCCCACATTCTCACCTATACTCTGATCCTCAAAATAACGGTAATCATAGAAAATCAGACAAAATGTATTTGTCGGCGATATGATTGCGACCCGATATTAGATATCGAAATCCATTTGTTTCCATTTTGCAAACTCGTCATAGATTAGTGACAAAGATTTGATCATAAGATCAGAAAAGAAAATGGCGAATATTTGAAAAGATCACTTCTCTCACTTTTCAATCTTCATTTAATTGAAAATGAAATCATAAAGTATTGACAGACGTTCTCCATGATAGATCAATTCTTCTCGCTTTTATCTCTCGATCTTACTTTGACTTAGTTTTAATGTATAAATCAGTTCATTAAAGAAGATTTAAGTAACAAGAAAGAAAAAGGTTCTGTCAGTAGAACTTGTTCGATTTTTCTTTTTCTATCGTTTTTTGTTCGATAAGAAGATTGTTTTAATAGAAAATTGATATGTTTCATTGAAAATAGGAGACACAATTTTCTTAATACCAATACTCATTGTTTGACAAAAGAACAAGAAAAAAACGCGACTCGTGCATATTTGAAGACGTGTATTTCGATGTTGACCTTTGGAACAACAAATTTTGTCTTTCTGATGAAACAACGAAATTAATACTTTCGATTCTCTTCATTTTTGCTCTTTGCAAGTTGTAGAATTTGTCGTCATCAGAGTGAATCTTAATCAAATTTGTCACGCTTTCAAAGATCGATGGTATTGCAAAATATCGTACCGCCAGGTTAAATTTTGTCCAAAGTACTTTAATCTATTTGCTTTCATAGATAGACAATTTTTTGAGAAATGTTCATAAGAAAGTATTGAAAAACTGATGAGAACATGCATAAGAAGAAATTTGAAAAGAAAGAATTACTTATCCTCGTATACGACAACCCCAAATTTCAATATACAAGTGTCTGTGCACGATAACTTTAATTTTGAGTTAAGAATGACAAATATATTTCTAGAGTGAATAAACACCAAAGATCGGCATCGAGGATAAACTTTTTATTGGAATTCAGTCAAATCAAATAACTTGACTTTGAAGATTTTTAGACGTGAATAGATTCACCCTATATCGAAGATTTGATGCTGTTCTCAGGTTACAGGTGACTAGGAATCAGTTTTTGAGAAAAACAATGATGTCTAAGATGAAATTAAGATGTGACAGTTGATTGATTAGAGGATTGAACTTGAGTGATTTGAGAAGTATGTCAATTATTGGCGAACTTCCAACAATCCATGATTACACTCTCATCTGTTCACTTATCCTCACCAACATCTTCTAACTTGGTGTGTATATTGAAGTAAATGTATACTTTAGAGAAAGTCGAGTCCATGTGTTGAATATTCTACGTACACATATGCATTTCTCAATATTGTTTGTTATTCATTATAATAATCAACCTATTTGATATGTTAAAGCAGATTGTTAAATAAAAATGTTCATATTTTAAACAGTTGCTGATACCTTCTTGTCCATTGCATCAACATTCTGCAAGGAGAGAATTGTGATCTATGGTGTTATAGATTTGAATATATTTCGAAATAAAATAAATACTAACAACGACAACTTCCGTAGAATCGATTAAAACTGCTCTTTACTCGCCATACAATTCAATTGAAAAGAGCAAACAAACGTCAATCTGATAATGAATGAGGATAGTCATTGTTGCGCATAGGTGTAGCAAAAGCTGTAATCACACTTTTATTTATTCAATTATCTTCATCCTCAAGATTCATATTGTTTTATTTATTGAGAAAATATTCAAATAAAGATGAACATGATTAAGATGAAAGTCAAATAGAAACTTTTCTCTTATATCTTCTGATAAACGTTTCATTCGTAGCTAATATTCTTTTTAAAATGCCGATTTCCGTTTTCAAATTCTCCATTTCTATTGAAATACTTGACTTATCTCCATCGATGAATTGATAAAACCAACAATTAGATGAAGACACTTTGATAATCATAAGTTTCAGAATTGGTTTCAACCATAATTTAATCAAAAGAAATATCGTACACACTAAATCCAAACACATACAAATGAATAAAATTGTACTGAAAATAATCTCCGGACTTCGTGCAATGGGTTTTTGTCGATTTTGGATAAAAAATGACGTTTCAAAAAATTTCAATGATACTTTTGTTGAATCTTTGTCAAATTCTTGATTTGTTTCGACAAATAATCGATCACGATCAAAATGAAATATCACCGACCATAAACCGCTGTAAATTGTCAAATCTGAATCAGTCAAACCTTCGGTGATATTAATTATCTTTGTTAATTGTAAATCAATCGAATGAACCATTTGCATCGATATGGTTCGATTTGTATAATAAAATACTTTGGAAAAATTGACTTTTTGAACGTAATTATTCATTTGATGAATTTCTGATCCAATAAAACCAATACGCATCGCTTCTATGATTCCTTTTCCTTGAAGTGTTAAAGATATTGGTACTTTATGTGATGATAAATTAGTCGATGCATATAAATTAAAATCACGTGTATAACAAGACACTGAATTATGAGAATTAATGAATAATCGTCCGCAATGAAATGTTGTGTTGATCAATTCGATGTTCATTAAAAATTCTTGTGAATCTAAGAGACGAAATATCTCTTCAAGTTGTCCGTATGGTTTTGTTAAGTATTGAAGATTGCTTTCAAATTTTGCATTCAAATGAAGATTTGTTGAACAAGAATTTTCATTGATTAAATGTTGATTTTCAATTGGATAAAGATAATGATAAGAATAACTAAATTTAATTGCAAATGCAAGCAGTACAAACAATACAATACTAACTAATCCTCCAAACCATGATTGACCTTGTTTAATCAAATCAAGATATCGGAAACCTTTTATGAAAGGTTCGTTTTTCGATGCTAATCGTTTACTGAATTTTAAAAAGCCGATAATTATTGATAGAATTAATATCACCAACAAAGTAATTATCATAATAAGAAAAGGCGATGTTCGAAGACATTTAGTACGAAACATATTACGTATAAGAATATCACTAAAAACATCAATTTCTGGTGTTTCAGGATAACCATAATACTGTTCAATATCAAACAAATTCGCTGAAAACGTTGCAAATTCAAGTGGACAGAATAACTCGTTATTACATTCGGGACATGTCATATCAACATCATATTGAGATGAATTCGTTTGACATTTACGACATGGCCACGGTCCAGTATCGTTTTTGTATGTATGAAGTGGACATTGAGCACTGTTTGATAAGAAGATATGTCGACGATGTCCATGTGTGATATATTCAGTTACAAAAACCTGATCAACAGATAAATATCCTGGTTTAGATGATGGAATAATCAAAAGATGTTCATCGTCATTCATTGCATAAAGTATAGATGATGTTGTTGTTAAAACAATCAGATGATATTTAGAAAATTCATGACTGTAGCGATCGGTTTGATCGATGGTTGGAAATACTGCGAATGGAATACTTTTGTCATTGAAAACTTCGTCATCATATATATCATAATATTCAATATAAGGATTTGAATTTTTAATAATGTTACTTTCGTAATCAACAGTCACAATAATCGCTTTATTACTGTCATGAAACCAATCAACAATCCATCCGTATCCAGTAATTATTCTAAAGAGTTTCTTTTTCATTTTAGAACTAAGTGGTATAAGACGATTCGATGTTTTGTTGGTAATAAATGAATAGACAGTATTTATCGATGGTATGCCAAGTAAAACACGGTCATTATTCAAATTAACACGAAGAGACAATTTCATTATGAGATTACTGGTGAATTCATTGAATTTCCATTGATCATAAAATTGAATTTGATGTTTTTCTTCATCAATCGATAATAAATATATTCTCGTCTGAATATAAATCATATCTTCACGTATATTCTCAACCAAACGTTTCATTTCAATATATCCTGCAATATAAATCCGATTCTCACTTATATCAATTGATAAAGGTAGAAATTCTTTCAAATCTGGCCAAGTTACATCATACGAAAAATGTTGTAAATCATTCAAATTATAATAGAGAAGAGATGTATTGGAAACACCAACAGCAAATTGACCATGAGGATCAACACTGACAATCATAGATGACATGTAATGATTTTCAAAGAACACCGTCTCTTTGTGCAACACTGTACTGTTTTCTTGATAACATTGAACGGTAATTTTGGTCATATAGAAATTCGACTTATTGGTGTTACCAGAAACGATAAAATAAAGTTGAGATTGGTTTTGTCGACGACCAATGGATACCGAGTGAATAGATTGAAAATCAAAATCTACTTTAAACACTCGATTTCCTAACATTGCGCATTGATAATGAATAAAACCATCCGAATTAACATATTTTGTTACATAAAAAACAAAAAGATAATCATTTGCTGCTAATTGAANCATATAGAAATTCGACTTATTGGTGTTACCAGAAACGATAAAATAAAGTTGAGATTGGTTTTGTCGACGACCAATGGATACCGAGTGAATAGATTGAAAATCAAAATCTACTTTAAACACTCGATTTCCTAACATTGCGCATTGATAATGAATAAAACCATCCGAATTAACATATTTTGTTACATAAAAAACAAAAAGATAATCATTTGCTGCTAATTGAACTCTGTCATAATCAGTTGACGAAGTTTTACGCAATAGATATACAAAGATTGTAAAGGTTAAAACAGCAGTAATTCGCATAATTATTGAAAGAATAAAAGAATCGTTTATTATAAAAGCTTTTTCATAGTTTGAAAATTTAAGAAAAAAGATTTCTTGTGTTTATGTATGACTTAGTGATCGAGAAGATATTTGATTACATATACGACGTAATAAATGCGATAGATTTTGCAGGTACTTCCTTTTTATTTGACTAAAGATTAACTGAGTTTGAAGATACATAATATGTGTATTTGTAAATAAGAAGGTGTCGGAATTTTGGAATATATTCATCTCTGATGACGTATATGATTTATTATCAGCGAAAAATTGTGTGCAATCGACTTTGAATCGCGATACTTAACGGTTTTTAACAAACTTTGTTCTTTAAGATACGATCAAATCCAGGTAAGTGATTCATGATGTTAAATTCGACCAAAACTGTTTAAATATGAAAAATATACCAAAAAAAAGATATTTTTTTAAAATTAAGATTAGAAAACAGAAAAATGATCAAAAAAGTAGCTCTATGCTATTGATATCTTAAATACTTAAGAGCAACAGCAATGATATATGTATTGTATTTTACTGCTAGAAAGATTGCTGATAGTGTGTGATAGAAATAGTTTTCCATATCAATAATAATGAGTTTTGATAAGTTCTCAAAGAGGAACCAATTTCGATGTATGTCGATAATTTACAGTGAAGATTCTTCTTTCTCATAATACAACAGAGTGAATCAATTATGTACTCCAATGAGATTTTAAAGAAGTTATCGTCTCTCATGTCTGATGAAAAAGCAAAGACAGTTGATGAACCGATAAAGAATAAAAATTTATTCGTAAGACATTGATATTCATCTTTGTATTTCTTTTCCCTTAGATCTTCAACGTATTATCAAAAACAACATGAGTAAAGAGAAATATTCCATTGAAATGAAGTGGTGAGACGTTCGTTGGTAGCAAGTGCATTACGTCAATGGGTACGTAACATCTATAATTATCAATTATTGAAAAAGATCAGAGGAATGAAAATATTTTCTCTTGAATTTTTCTAATAGAAGAAGTCAATCTATCGAACAAATGTATGATGATGCTGAAGCTGAGAGAATGAAGTGTCCATACAATCGTTACTGGTACTTCGAGAAAGTATACCGATGCTGCCTTTTTCTCGAACAGTATCTGAACATTTTCACAATCCATCGATTCATCAAAGAAAAGAATGAAATTATACAACTAAAGTGCATGGAATTCATACATGTAATATTTCAAACTTGAATCCAAATTTCGTATTTAACATAACTATCCGATTCGATTGCTTTTTATTGCATGTTACACATTGTTTGTCTGTATATAACTTATCTTATACCTTCTATTCTGTTCCATGCTTAGTCGATAAGTGAACGTATTGTGGTAGTTATAGACAACACATTAAGTAAAACCATAGAAGATGACTTAATTAATGGAATCTTGTTGTTTTCGATCAATTTTATGTTCAATAGATACACAACTGTCTATGTTTCCGTTGCTTATATTTTACAAAATCGAATATCATTATACTCAATATCTAAATTCTTCAAATTCACATAACTTCGTGCACATATGCTACTTGTTTATCGATTTGCATGCCATTTATATTTATTTCTTTAGCCAAAGAATAACCTTGAATAATCAAACAACTTTCAATTCAAATAGAAATGAAAACACATGATTTTATCAGTAGTAAAGGTTAAAATCGCGGTAGCTGTAAGATCGTCGACGTAGAAGAATAAATATTCCAAGCAACAGATATTTATAAATGCATATATTTTAAAAAGCATGCACAAAATTTGTTCGAATTCTGATTGTTGTTCTCTGTGTTTTGTTTTGCAGTACTTTTGTCTCTTCATGCAAATACTTAGTCTTCAAATGCATGATTTTCAATGTTTTATGTATGAGTCAAGAAATGTGCAGAATGAAAAAGAACAATAACAAAATGCGATAGGTAGTGCAGAGCAGTGTGGAAAAAAACATACATTTCATTTTCAGAATTTACAATGCAGGAGAGGCCAAGCGCTGTAGAAAAGTTCATCCGCCATTTCCGAAAAAGTAAACACGATTTTCGAACTATAATTTAGAGAAAACGCTTTGTTAAATAGAACAGCCAAATTGTGATATAGAATGTCAGTTCACCACCGGTAGGAATTTCTTTTCTATATAGGATAAATGTGAACATAATTCTCTATTAGAGAAAGTTTGGTTTGATCTTCAATATGATGATTATAAAAAGATAAAAAAGCCTGGTGACCTTATATTTGACATGCAATACGCGCCTGTTACAGCCAACGAAGACATGCTGGATAAAATCCAAGGATCTATGTGTGGAATGGCTCTAGGCGATGCACTAGGAGCCCATGTCGAGTTTCGCTCTCATACATATTTGCAAGAAAATCCAGTGAGCGATCTTAGAGGAGGTGGCACATGGGGTCTTAAGGAAGGACAGGTACTGTGTTATCGCAAATATGAAAAAGTTTTGTAAGAAATTGTTATTAGAAAGCAAAAACATAATATTTGAGAAGTTTATTTACGTCTGCCGTTTTTAAGGTTAGAAACAGACAAATGTATGTCAACATACGTGATTGTGTAGAGATTATCATACCAAGTGATGTTCTCATTTGTCTCTTTTATCAAATGCCATGAACTCGATAATCGTGCGACTTCATTCAAAAGAGTTGTAGACTTCAATAATAATACAGAAGCAACGAATAATAAATAAATATTATCTTTATGAAAAAACGATTAAGGAAAAAAACTGTTTATGGACGGTAGGAACTAAAAGATAATAGACAACTGATAGTATCAATGTGAAAATATTTTAAAAATAAAAACATTGTTCTGAATTTCATTTATATTTTAGTTTACTGATGATACTTCTATGGCACTTTGTTTGGCAATATCATTGATTACACGTCATGATTTTGTACCATATGATCAATTAGTTCGATATAAATGGTGGTATCAAAAAGGATATATGTCATCGACTGGACACTGTTTTGATATCGGCGCAGGCACTCGAGAATCTCTCCAAGTGTTCTATAATCGTCAGCGTAAATTGGCCGGTAAATCTAGAACTACTGTAGATAAACTAGATTATCTTTCGGATGCTCATTATCTCCGAAACTTTAATGTCTATTGCAGTGAAGATGGTGCCGCTGGTAATGGCGCTCTTATGCGTTTGGCACCAGTTCCGTTATTTTTTCGTAAGTCTTCTGCACATGCTATAGAATATTCTGGGATAAGTGGACAAATCACTCATGGAGATATAAAAGCGTATGATGCCTGTCGTTACTATGCAGCTTTGATATGTGCTGCTCTTAATGGCTGTACAAAAGAACAAATACTTGCCAACGACTTTTATAAAACTCAGCAAAGTTTTCATGATAAACAGCTTTGTCATGAAATTAGAAATGTTGCCGAAGGATCTTACAAGAAACCTGGTGGTTATACAGACGGAATACGAGGAAAAGGTTATATTGTTGATTCTCTTGAAGCTGCTTTATGGGCATTTTGGTCGGACGACGATAGCTTTAAAAAAGGTGTCCTTGCTGCAATTAATTTGGGCGATGATACAGACACAACAGCTGCGATCTATGGACAATTAGCTGGTGCTTATTACGGCTACAAAGCACTCCCTCAAGAATGGATTAATAGGTTGTATGCAAGAGAATTTTTATTGAACATAAGTGGATGGCTCGAACGTGAAGGTGGTAAATGGGAACCAGCAAGTTCTTCATCAGCACTCCGTAGTCCTACTAATTATGAATCGCCTGACGATTATTTGACATCTTCCGATCGTGAACCGACTTCAACTGAAAAGTCGTCAAAATTATCCAAATTCCTGAATTTTATTGGTGTTCGAAAGCAACCGAAAGCTTCACCACACTCACGTATATTCAACAGTCCTCAACCTGAACGACGACCGAGAGCCCCTAGCAATGCGTCAGTTTAATAATATTCGTCCCATGGATATTATTCTTTCTATCTCACTTGCTTTCGAACTTAACGCAAGTTTCTTCATATTGTGCCAAACCTTCGATTTACAATCAGCCGAAAAAAAACTTTCATGATATTCTGATGCGAATATACAAATGAACATTGACTTGATACCTTTTATGGATATAACAGAATTCAAAGATATAGTTAGATATGTTTCAGAGAACCTTTATAGTTTTCAGAAGTATTTTGTTTGTCGACAGTGCTTAACGATATTCTATATTGATTCTATTTTGCGTGCATCGTCAGTCAATACACTATAAAAAAACACTCGAAGATCATATTTCTGCGACTTTTTATCAGAGCATTTTAACACAACCCGATTCGTTATCTAAATTCTAGCTTTCGTTTCTTTTCTTCCTTCCAACTATCAACGTCTTTCTTACATTACACAAGGCGTAGTGTTTCATTCTCGGACTGCAACTTTTCATATATTATCACGAACTGATTGCCACAGGTATAAATCGCGCTAGGATTATGTTCGATTCCAACTTCCTAACGCAGTATAATTTCTGAAAACAAACTTCTGATCTATAAGAATCTGCTATTCTGGTCATGGCGACATCTGTTATTCGTTCTACGCAATGGCTTTAACATTTCCTTTCATTTCAGATAGAAAAAAAACACACATATTATACAATAATGACAGCGTCTGCAGATTTCAAACAGACTATCGATCCTGAGATGAAGTCATTAGTTAGTCAAGCAGCCGAATTAGTCCTTAATTGCGAAGCAATTTTGTTTACAAGTGGTGCTGGCATGGGTGTTGGGAGTGGACTTGGAACGTTTCGAGGTGTTGCAGCCGGTGTCTGGCCACCTTTACTGAAACATCCGAATCTCGATTTTTCTGATATGAGCAATCCAAAATGGTTTGAGATAAAACAAGGGAATAGTAAAGATCATGATACAGCGAATTTCGGTTATGCATTTTGGGCATATCGATACAATGCTTACACATCAGCAACTCCTCATATCGGTTATGAAATCGCGAAGAAGTGGAATCATTTGAGTAATGTAAAACACGCATTTAGTTTTACCAGTAATATTGATGGTCATTGGATCAAATCTGGTTGGGATGAATCATTAACATTAGAATGCCATGGATCAATTCATTATATGCAATGTGTAAAACCATGTTGTCAGAGAATATGGGAAACAGATAACGCACTAAATCTCCAAGTTGATCCGAAAACTGATTGTGTCATCGATGCTCTACCAAAGTGTTCATTTTGTACAAGATTGGCACGACCCAATGTGCTGATGTTTGGTGACGGACTGTATGTTGACACAAGATCAAATGAACAAAGTGAAAATTATAATAAATTTCGAGCAAATATACAGGAAATGAAAGGAAGACTATTAATTATTGAATTAGGAGCAGGAACAGCTGTCCCGACGGTTCGAATGGAAAGTGAAGCAATGTACAAAGATCCAGAGTTGGCTGCAGATTTTATTCGGATTAATCCATTGAAAGAACATTTGTTTATGAATCATTTTTATGAAAACAGAAGTAAAGGACGGCTTTTGGGAATTCCTCTTGACGCATTGACAGCTTTGACGATGATTGACAACGAGATCGCAGATAAAGTCAAATAAAAATATCTTTTTTCTCAATAAAAAACTGATCAATATTCAATAATCATGACGTTCATGTTCATATGACTGAATTTGTTTTTGTAGAAAATCATACACACCATCTGTTAAGGAAATTTTTCCAACATACGCTCTTTCATAAATAGAATCAAACAGACTGCATTTTCACAGAACAATGTTTTGTAATTTCAATCACTTGTTTTTCTGTTCTCTGCTCTCAATTAAATTATTGAATGCAGTCCGTATTGTTGGACTATTTCCTCAATATGATAATACATCTGTCCGAATCTTAAGATACTACCCGAACGATGCTTGGACATTCCATGCACGAGCTCTATTTCGTGCAGCAATATCCCTTGCTAATCGATATGAAATCACTATTGACAAACAACCAATCACTGGCACTCTCATCGAAACAAGTGGCGAAGGAAATGGTTTCACTGAATTGGATTTGCTCTGTCGAGAAACAAAAAAAACCGGACAAGCGGATATTGTTGGCATTGTTGGACCATCTACATCAACCAAATCGCGTTTTCTTGGAACATTTGCTGCACATATTGGCATACCGATGATGTCGTACGCTGCAACAAACGCTGAACTGGACGATCCAATTTTTTATCCAACATTTTATCGGATTGTTCCATCGGATCTTCTCCTCGCTGAAGCAATTGTTGAATTGTTCGAAAATTTCAACTGGACAACATGTACATTGATTTTTACAAAAGATGATTATGGCTATGGTGGATTGAAAATTCTCTTGGAAAAGTACCATTTAAATATTTCGATCAAGGAGCGATTAATTTTCGATCCACGGTTTGATAAGTTTAACGCAAATATGAATGAAACGTTGCGAAAGAGTCAATCACAGATTATACTTGTCTGGGCGAATGAGAATCATTCAAGAAAAATTGTTCAACGCGCAATCGATGAAGGTCTTCTCGATAGTTCATTTGTTTGGTTAATGACCAACAAAGTAAATCAATTGAAATTCCTTTCAAACTGAAAGCATATATTTGAAGTTTTTTTAGGTCCATATCAATTTGCCTAGTGTGCAAGATGCTCAGAAGTTAGACGGTTTTCTCGCTGTTTTACCAATCATAGATCCGAGTTCCACTGGTGATATCAATGAAGATTTACAAAAGGAAGCATTTGACATTTGGCTTAATTCTTCGGAAGATGAAAGTTATTATCCACGTGACGATTCTTTGATCGATCCGTATGCAATTTACGCATTTGATGCAGTTTGGAGTTTAATCATTGCATTGAATAAATCGGCACACGATGGTCAGATTCCGTCGATGAATATGTCAACACATTGTTTTGACAATCAATTGATTAATAAAGACAAATATGAAATGTATTTGAAAAATTCAAAGCTTTGGGGTATTTCAGGAATGGTCGAATTCCGAAAGAACGAGTCGAATGATCGTATCAGTAGTGCATCTTATGAATTAGTCAATATACAATCCACGGAATATGTGCATATTGCAGTTTGGCGTTCAAATGATAAAAAATGGGTAGATTTCAATCGTAGTCGTATCATCTGGCGAATTAATGATTCAAGTTCGGTGCCAGTTGATTATCCACAATTGAAAGGTTTGTTTGAGTGTTTTCTTTTGAAAGACTAACGAATTGAATTGACGTAAAATTTGGTTTAGGTGAATTTGTACGTATTATGGTTATTGAAGCTCCTCCATTTGTGATCGTATGCGATAGAAATTCATCGTTACATAGTGACTGGTGTTTGAGACCATTGGAGACAATCAATCCGAATTTTTCCATTAGCGGATTTGTCGCTGACTTTATTCGTCGACTTCAAGAAACTAGCGAGTTTACCTTCAGTATCGAAATCGCTGAACCTTCTCAAAGTTATAATTCAGTTGTGTCATTACTATCAAGATCTAATAGAAATTATGATATGATCTTATCGAATGTTCGCATCACTTCAGAACGTTTGTTAAATGTCGCCTATTCCGTACCGTTTCATGAAGAGCCATTTCAAGTCATTACGCGATACAATTCCGAAATCCCAATCACACTTTTCTCATGCTTTTATCCGTTCACTTGGAGTGTTTGGATGACAATATTAGCGCTGATCGTCTATTCTGGCGTTCTAATTTATTTCTTCGAATATCCAAATCAAAAAATTGAAAATGGCGGATCGTGTGTGAAGTCAGTATTTCTTGGCGTTTGCCGCGCACTGTGTAGTGTGTTTAGTGTGAATACAGATATCCGTTTAACAACAAATCCAAGTCGATTAACTGTTTTAGGTTTGTATGCATTAGGAATTATTCTTATTGCCACTTACACAGCAAATCTTTCGTCTGTTCTCACATTAAACCGTGGACGACCGATTTCCGGTATAGATGACATAAAAAACGGTCGGGTGCCATTCAGTCGTGTCGGGATCGTTGCTAACTCTGCTGTACCTGATTACTATATACAAAATGTTCTAAGTGATTATCGTCCTTTATCGTCGCCCGAAGAAATCTATCCTCGTTTGTTGGATCGTACAATCGATGCAGCAATATGGGATGCATCGGTACTGAAATTTAAAATTGATAGGGAGTATTGTAATCAGTTGAGTGTTGTTGGAAGTGAATTTTTTAGATCTTCTATAGGAATTGTTATACCGGAAAAGTGGCCATTTAAAAAGGATTTAGATGTTCGTGTTTCGAAAATGCGTGAAGAAGGAAAACTGGACCAGTTGAGAGTAGATTGGTTAGAGTCTACACAATGTTCATCAAGCGACATAGCGGGAAAATTCAATAACCAGAACAAACAGCTTTCATTGGATATCGTGTCCGGATTGTTTCTTTCGTTTTTAATCCTCACCGCTATCGCTTTTATCATTCATTTATGGTATAATCGATCAACTATTATGCATATTTGTTGGCAAATAGTCAAACGATGCAAAGTATTTATTGAACCGATCACGAAAAAGACCTACAGAGTCCAATGATTGTAAATCTCTTCTATCGACATGACTTCTCTAAATTCTTTGTTTTTCTCTTCAATAAATTCAATTCGCGAGATTATATTCAACACTAACTGATAATCAAAAGAAAATAAAGGATTAGGACGATCTTATCAATGTATATCTTTGAAAATTATCCGATAAGAAAGCGTTGACGATCAATAGCAAAGACAAAAAAGACATTCATTTTCTGATTTTTCATCAAGATGAAAGTTGTTATTCTACTCATTTGTTGTGTCACTCTTACTATGGCGAACAATTCTACACGTAAGTATAGACTATTTAATTGAACATAACCCGATGAAGAATTTTGCTTTTATCAGAAGCAAGTTTATATGTGAGTTTCATCACACCTAAGATTGTTCCATTTTTACTCGGCACATTTCGTTTTGATACATTAGAAACTGTTGACTTTCCACTGGATGTTATATTTCCCTCAACAGCGCGTCGAGTTGATGTGATAGTTTTCATGCGAAGTGGAATGAATTCTTACGAAGCTTCTGTTAATCTTTGGTTATGGACAGAATGTCCTGAAAAGGGCACGTCTGATACAAAATTCAAGCGTGGTCATCGATACAATCAGGTTGCTTATGCATTCGATTCTGAATTACTCGAGTTTTCATATTGTTCATCGAAACCAACACTACATATCACTACAGACAATTATGCAAATAATGTTCTCGTCGAATTGTATGCTGCAGGTTATTCTCATGTTTAAGATCAATAAATGAATTTCTTACATCGATGTTGAGATTCGTTTAATGTAAAAGATTGATTTATTAAATTTTCAAATGAAAAAAATTAGTTTCAATAAATCGCGAATAATAAAGGATACAAATGCATAGATGCTAATCACAGAAATGCTCATTCATCGGTGAGTTGAATATCTAAAGAAAAGCAATTCTATCAAATCGAAAGCGTAGAAAAATCGTACCACTCGTTGTTATCGCTGATCGTAATCGTGGTTTTGGATCTTTCGACATCCTCACACGTTCCATTGCGTCCATCATCCATTGCATACATCGATTCATCTTTGAAGAGTAACTTACATAAAACAAATCACATATATTTTATTCATCTTACTTCTTCAGCATAAGTTCGAAGATCTCCCACAGCTTTTTTGATTGATGACATTTCTTCGGTGATTGACTTGATATCGAAATTCGGTGATATTTGAGGGAGATTGAGAGCATCTAATGTGACAGACGAAGCGTCTTGTCGTGCAGCTGATGAGACAAGAGCTGCAGTAGATGTCGACTGGCCACTAATAACTGATTGAGCATATGAATTCGTTGAATAACTTTCAAATTCCGACCATTCTTTTTCAATTTGTTCAGTGGCAGCGACCATTTCTAGAAAAACGAATGAAAAATCCGTTCGAAAAGCAATTCAACCTACTAAATGTCTTCGCTGGTCGTATTCTTGATGAAGGATGTTTTGCACACGGTAAGTGTCGAAGAACTAATTTGCATAATTCAATAAAATGTGTTATAAAAATAAATGGAGGAAAAAGTGGTGGACGATCGAAATATTCCCGAACAAATGAATATCGTTCATAGCGCCACACAAGATCTGTTTGAGTTTGAACCGATTCAAATGTAAAACTAAAAAGCTCAAAAAGTTTTCCACATTCTGAACTTTCACGAAACTTACCTAAACATGGCAATGAGAAGATTAATAAGTAAAATATTCACGAATAACATATGAAAGGCTAATAAAACATGTGTAGCAATAGATGTAGACGCATTCGGATTTTCTAAAAAGAAAAATATCTCGAAACTATCAATCAGAAAAGGAAGTCCATACGATCAAGTGCTTGCGTGTCTCCATCAGTTTCTCCATACATAAGATAATAACTCGGATAGATGATGTGTCGAAAGATCGATCGACCGTCAAATGTCAAATCATCATTGTCCGCATCAGCATTAAAGTCATACATCGCGCGTGAAGCCACACCATATGCAACCATTGCGACTATGATAATATAGATAAAGAAGAACAAATCGATAACCTAAATGAAAGATTTTCTTGCGAAGTGAAGTTTATTTTAGGAAAATTTACCATTCTTCGGATCATAACAAGTTTGGGTCCGAGGTTTTTTGCGATGCCGAGAAAAGCCAATGATCGAATATACCAGATCTCTAAGTCATAAGCAAGAACGATTTTTGCCGAGGAGAAATCTTCGGGAGTTGATGCATTTGCAAAGCGAAGGATTAAACCAATGTAAAAGAGAAGGTACGATGCAACACGAATTGAACTGAAAAATGCGTCTTTGATGAAATAATTTTGCATTTTGCCCATGAATGATCGATTCTCTTGACAGAGGAACTACAAACAAAGAGAAATAAATAACAAAGAATTCAAAGTCACTTTACTTTTCGAAAATCTTCCATTAACATCGTTGTAATCATGATAATAACCAAAATCTCTGTCCAATTAATACTAGGAATATCATCTGTTGGTGGATTGAAATTAAATAACAGGTAGTACGAAAAGAGCAACAAGAAAAAGATGTAACTAGCAGAATTGTATAAGAATTTAATATAAGGCGACTCATGAAATTGTTTCAATTGACGGAAATATAATTTAACCTTTTTCGAAAAGGTTAAATTTGATGAAGAAATGATATTATCCGAATAGTGGATTCCATGATCATTTAATCTTAAAAAATAACACGAAAGAAATTGTTCTTAATGCTTTTTATCTTCGAATTTACCTTTGCTTTCTTTTGGGGATCAATGGATCAGTTTCATCCTGTGTTTCGTTAACAGTCATTGAGTGTTTTGTCTTTTCAAACGACTGAAAACCATCGTTTTCCGAATCCAATGGTGGTTTACGATACGCAACTAACAATGGTGCCAACAAACCAAATGAACAAACGCTTATAAGTACGAGAACGCGGCGAATCAATGTCGTTTTGTAAGGATCTAATTTGTCATACCAAACATTGTTTAATAACTGATCACAACATGGCTGTCCAACGAAATTTTTGTCATCAGCGTCAACTGCGACCTGAATAGATTGAAGCAAAAGGAATTTCGGTGAGTTTTTTCTTCACAAAAATTCGTACCTGAAGACATGAAACACCTCCGAAAATGTTAATTCGTCGAATAGCAATTTCACATGCAATCGATTCATCATAATTATAACAAAATCTCAAACATTTAATTGCATAATCTTCGAACTGCTCTGCCTCTGAACTTAACGCATCTTTCGAATCATTATCTCGTGCATATTCAACATAACACTTCAAGACTTTCGATGCGATCAAAGCCGCACAAATACGCGCCTGCATATGTCCTAAAAATACTTTGGCCATATCCAATCGATTGGTAAGTATTGCCCAGAAAAATAAATCTCGTAGGGCAAGTTCTCGCGCTTCTTTCTTCGCTTCTTCTGGATTGTATATTCCTGTCTCGTCGATATCATCATCTGTATATAAATTAGCACGACTATCCGACACACGATTTCGCTGTGGACATCGACAACAGATTAATAAGCGTCCCCAAAATCCACTAGCTGTTGGAGCGTAGGTCGATTTCATGTAATCACCAACAACTGTCTTCAAAATTCGATCAAGATCATCTCGAGTTTCGATTGGTCGACTTCGATTACATTTTTCTAAGAGATAAAGACGTTCTTTCTAAAATCAAAGGAGTAAAGTTTAGTTTGAGGGAAATCATTCTCTCGGTTTTTTTTTACATCTTTTGTATATTCTTCTTTGTAAATATCAGCCAATTGTTTCCATTTGAGTTTCCAAGGTTTATTTATTTGACTTTCGTAAAAGATCTTTGCCACATCGAAATTTAGTTTTATAAACGTGTTGATAAATTGTGAACGATCACGTTTAAGTGCTTCGATGAATAATTGATTCTTCGATTGTTCCTATTGGAGAAGAAATCTTCATTTTTCCTCAATAAACTTCTCATAGCTTACATCAAAATCGCTCAAATCATCTTTAATAATCAGTTCTTTCGCAACTTCAATCGCATCCCAAGCCAAAGCTAATCTCAATAATTGTTTTCGACTGGAAACATCGGAACTTTTCTCTTGTTTCGCTAAAAAGTCGAACTTAAAGACAATCACGCTAACAAATGTTTCTTTACCATGAATGATCGCTTCGAAAATCGTATCATCTAAATCTCGATCATTGTCAAGACTATATATTCGAATTCTTGATCGAACAGCTGGTTGTAAACAATAAAGAATACAATGAAATAATTCCTCGAAATTTTCGTTCTTCTTCGATCCTTTCGAGATATCTTTTAATCCATCACAGATTTCATCAGCATAAGAATAAAATTGGCTTTTTAATCTTAAAAAATCAAGTTTCATCGAATCAATGTTCATTTATCGTTTACCCTTCAATATCCTTCGTAGTTTTGATATCAACTGCTTGTTTCCAAGTGACCATTTCTTCTTTTCCCATTCGATTTATCATTGTCTCTGTACGAATTAGAAAATTTGCCAAAAGATTCGGCACTCGACCACTTCCCTAAAATTTCAATTCAATCAGATGAAATGAAATTCAGAAAATAGATTTACATCAATCAAAACAATTGGAATATCTTGACGAAGATCTTTGTAAATCGTTAACAAAGTATCCGGTCCACCTTCGACAACAATTGTGACCACAGGAACTTGAATGAAAAGAGAACTAAGTACGAAAGTAATGCAATATTTTTTTTCAAAATACCATCTTGTTGTTCACTGGTTGAATCACCATTGTATCGATAACGAGCAGCATCAAGAACAAATCTCGAACGATAATCTCCGGTGTCATATTTATAATATGTTCCATCGTCAAGTAGAAGAAAATGTGTATGGTTCGGGTCTAACTCTTGTTCACTTTTCTTCTCAGTTTTTGATCCATTCGTAGTTGACGGATTTACACTTTCCTTAGATGCTGGTTTTGACTAAACAGAAATTCATAAGATACCATAGAACTTCAACCTTTACTTCTTACAGAGACGAATAATTCTCGATTTTTCGTCGCTCCCCATTTCGAACAACCGATCGCTGTAATTTTACTTCTCGGATTCGTCACTTTATGATCATGAATCGCTTCACCGACAAGTTGTACAACACCTGTCTTAAATCCCGTTGTTACAATCCATCCATCTAAATCCAACCGAGATCACTTTGTTTTCTCATTAAATCCAATCAAAATGCTCAAACCTGCTTTTAATGCTGCTTGAATAATACCTTTCATAAATTCTCTCTCCAGTCTTTCATTCAATTTGAAATATTTTGCACCACCAATAATACACATGATTAAACGTGGTGGTTGTACCTTCCAAACTTCGATCATTAATCTCATGAGAATTTTCGGATCAGTTTCGATATCACAACGAATGTAATTTGCATGGCTATTCGAAGTATATCCGTATGCGTTGTTATAAGCTGATGTAGTGTGAAGTTTAGCATCCCATTTGGTATCAGGATCTTCGTAAACACTCCATGAATGTTCACGATGAAGACGATTACAACAACATTGAACATCACTTCGACTTCGACTTCTGAAAAGAGAGATAACATAGACAGAAGTGATTGAAACGTCCTACCGATCGAATTTCGTTTTGTCTTTAGGGACAAAAGTTGTGCAAGTTCGTCGTTTGATGTTCAGATCATGGTGAATCGCTCGGGACCAATCTCCGTCGTTGGATAAATTAGTCTAATTTTGAAACAAAATGAAATATATTTGAATTCAAATAAATCAATTAATTACTAGACGATAAGTTGATTCCTTATTTTGAACTTTGTTAGAGGTTCGTTTCGGTTTGCAACAAATTGTTGCCATAGTTTAACCTAACAGAAGAAAATTATTCTATGTATAGCAATTCAATGAATTAAAAACATATATATATTAAAATTTCGTTCTCTAATATAACGTCATAGTTGTCAAAATACAAAAAAAACGATGCAACATTATCGATGACGGAATCTATGCAATAACCTCCTGTCACTAGGAGGAGAAAAAAGGTAATAGAAAAGAAAAAAGAGGTCGCATTTGTCTCGTTTTGAATTTGACAACAAATGACACTCAAATTGATTATTGAATTTCTGTGTAGATGAATCAAAATTCCGAATTCTCTTCATATTTATTGATTTTCCAAATATATGTTAAACAAAAAATCTATTAGAAAAGAGAAACACCAAAACAATCTCTATTTGCCCCAAAATGCCATCACAATCTTCTTTTCAACTATTCCTTGTTGAAGTTTAACAAATGCTTTATGATCATCATGAGCCATATACGTGTCCCGATCTTGTTCATTATCGAAACTTAAGAGAAATCCATGAGTAAATCCTTGATTTAAATTTTCTTTTCCAATATGTGTTCCACTTTCAAATGCACGAACTTGGGGAACTTTCGTTGTTGCTAATGCGCGGAATTCACGTTCGATTTTAGTAATATCTGTTTGACTAGCTGTATCGTGGAATTTAAAAAGAACAACGTGACGAAGAAGTTGAGCACCGTTTGCAGCACGACGAAGCATTGTCCTAGATTAATGTTCGAATGAAGAAAGGTTAGAAGCGCTCTACAATTTATCTCTACTGTTTAACTTCTAGATAAGAATTGAAAAACGATGAGATAGAGAGAAAAAATAGTACAGGACGAAGTAATTGGAGAAGATGTGATATTTTGTTATCATATGTTCGAATTCTGTTGATTGAAAACAAACACAATCTGATGTGGTCGATTTTGTCTTATGTAAAGAGAGAAGAGAAACAAATAGAGATATTTTAAGTATAGAATTGTTCTTGGATGAGTTTGTTTACAATTTTTCTTCAATTGATTTCGTGTAATAACAAGGAAACCTTTAGTTATTTGGAATAATGAAACAAAATCAATAATTGTCTTCAATGTTTAATGTCAATATCAAACTTTGAAATTCGATTCGTAACACGTGGAATTACTAGTCGATATTAAATCAAATAATTATAACAATGCAATAAGGTCACTGAATTTCATGAAATGGCAATATTAAACTCAAATCTTACTGAACAAAGTGTTCTACTTGATCAGGGAGAGCTGATTGCTTGAGAATCGACTTCAACATATGATCAGCTATATTTATCATATTTCCACGTTAATCATCTGGACATTTGGATTCCACTCCTGTCAATTCTATATACATATGATTTTGAAACTGATTGTTATTATCCAGCATCAGTCATGAAATGACACGTATACTTATGCAAGTCTAGAATAGGAAAACTACTTGTGCTGATCTAATCTCTAAATTTTATCTTTAAATTCTTTGTTTGCTTAAATGATAAAAACAAGAATAAATAGAATATGTTGTGTGAATTAGATTAGCAAATTCGTAGCTCGAATAGGTACGATGTTTGGTAGAATACTTGCTTTGTTCTTATGCTTTTCGACGATAATATGTCAATCTGACAATGATGATATATCGACAATTCGTCAGCGTATCCTGGAATTGACTTTGTGGCCAACAAATGAAACACTTCCATCTGTTGTTCAATCTGCTATAAGTTTCAACGAAAAAATGAACAGTTCTTGCTATTGGAAAGATATTAACTATGCTGATAAAACCTTAGCAGTCTGGGCAACTGAAGAGCATCTAAATCGAGTAAATATTATGATTCAAGCGTTGACTGCACCTGGTTCCACCGTACAAAATGATCCTCGAATATCCCGTGGTGCTCATTGTGCTTTAAATGTTTGGCTAGCGCGCGATTTTTTAAATCCAAACTGGTGGTTTAATCAGATCGGTATTCCATTGTTAGTCACTGGTCAATTATTAATGTTAGGCTCGAATGCAACTGCGTATGAAATCGAAAAAATAACTCAAATATCATTTCGTTCGGATTGGTGGGAACATGATCCAGGTACAGGTGCAAATCTCATTTGGATGGTTCAAATTGAATTATATCGCTCATTGGCGACAAACAATCGAACTGGTCTTGAACAAGGTTTTACACGTATGTGGAAAGACATTGTTGTACTACCATTAGGTGGACAAGGAATCCAACACGATTGGTCATATCATTTTCATGGTATACAATTAGTATCAGCATCTTATGGACAAGATTGGGCATTAGCTATGACGATATTTATTTTGTGTACGAAAGATACGGAGTATGAAGTCAATCAGGAACAGATGACTGTATTCGCAAGATTTTTGGTAGAAGGTGATGCGTGGATGATAATGGACAACGTTTGGGATTGGCAAGTGGAGGGACGTGCAATCGATCGAACGGGAAATAACTTTGAAACGTTCGAATTTGAATTGCAACCCAATTGGATTCGATCATTAGGAGATTTAATTGAAATGGATAGTTTGAAAAAAGATTTAACTAATTTTGCCGATCGCCTTGAAAAGAAACCTTCTGCTGTTCCTCTAATCGGTAATAAACACTTCTATACATCTGATTATCAAGTTCATCGCCGTCTGAATTGGACTTGTGCAATTAAGATGCAATCCATCCGAACAACACCAACTGAATGCATCAATATGGAGAATCAAAAAGGTGAACATCTTGGCCAAGGTGTTTTAAATCTCTATACAACAGATTCTATAGTCTATCGTCATATATTTCCTGTATTTGATTGGCAAGCCATCAATGGCATTACAGTTGAACATGATATTCCCATTGAACCTTGTATAAAAGGAAGTTTTAACTGGATTAAATTAAGTTTCGTTGGTGGAGTCAGTGATGGAAGTTATGGTTTGACAATAATGGACACAGCGACACATAATCTTACAGCACAAAGATCGTGGCACTTTTACGATGATGCAATCATTGCATTGGCAAGTAATTTGACTCTTACAACATCGAATACTGCATGGACAACGTTAGCTAGTCGAACGGTTTCAACAGGAAAAGTGAATGTTGGATTTTTTGATGGACGAATTGTTACTCTGATGGATGGAGCGAATTATTCGTTTCCCTATACTTCAAATCAATCAAGTAATGTTCAATGGATACATATTGGCGAAAGTCAAATCGCGTATGTGTTTCAAAATCAAGGTCTATATTCCCATATAGGTGCAGAGATTAGTACAAAAACTGCATCATACAGTACAATTGGGCCTTATAACGGTACAGTGACCAAACGTACAGCAACTGTATGGATTGATCATGGCATTGGACCATATGTACGTGATTATAGTTATATGATTTTACCAAATATTGATCTTGCATCTGTACCAACTCGAATAGAACTTTATAAAACTGATCAAATCTTTACATGTATTTCGACAAATCCTCTTGTTCATGGAATGGCCTGGTCAACACTTCAACGTGCATCATTTGTCGTCTGGAATGATCTTCCAACAACGTTTACCTGTCAAAATCCTTTGTTTACATTAAACATCCGATTGAATTCTTCTTCTGGTGTTTATCTATTCAATGAAACTTCAACTGATTTTTCCATCACTGTTTCTCATCCAATACGTGTCAACAGTTCAATAACGATAAATCTCGATCGTATTGGCTACGGACCGAATTGTATCTGTCAATCGGACAATACAACAGATGTTTCAATAGATCTACTATCATCTGGACAATTCTTGGGTTCATCAGTAACAGTAACATGCTCCAAGAAAAAAGAAAAACATCAATCGATCTAACAATAAATTGTAGTTCTCTTATCACGTCGAGTTTTTCTTTTTCTGCGACTCGAGACAATTTGTTAACTCGTACGATTCGAATGTGAAAAAACTTGAGTGCAAACTAATAAAAAAAAAGTCACAAAATGAAATAATAAAACAATCTTTTATCGCATTACCACGCTGTTATCATCGAATGTCCAAGAATAAAAGTTGTTGTCCTTGTCTAAAAGAGAGTTTTTCAAAATGAAGTGTCTGTGATTCTGAGAGCAATTAAACATTAATCTCTTTTGATGAGTTGATTATTAGCATATAAATCTTTGATTTATGTCGAACAGACGTTTGATTCAATCGAAATGCAAAGTCAAAGTAAGCGTGATCCAGCATATTCGCACGCTATCAAGGTCAGATTGTTTTGAAGAATCATATATTAGATGAGATATACATTGCTTCGGATAATTAGTGAAAAGAAAGTTCTTCGAATGAGAATTTGTTTTTCTTAATTCAGCAATCTGTTTCTCATCGTTCTTCTCCCATCATTAGTTTTGCTGCTTCCTTTGTTTATGTATCGATCTCTCTCTCTCTCTCATGAGCGTGCAAATAATCTCTGTTATATGTCATTAAAGACAATTGATCCGATACTATCGATGGCTGATAATAGAGTATGGCTACGTAAGATATCCTTGTTTCTACTTAACACTTTGTTTTTGTTACTCGATCTAAATAACATGCTGAATGTTCGTTTAGGATCTGTCTTACTAACTGTGTTGTTGATTCTATCGTTTGCTAAACTCGCTTACGCTGGCCGAACAGATTGGTCAATTGAGAAGAATGCATCGTTTTGGAGAGAAGAAGCTCGTTTGTCTATTGATGAAATTCTGAAAAAACGTGATAATACACGAGTAGCAAAGAATGTTATTATGTTTCTGGGCGATGGAATGGGAGTGTCAACGGTCACAGCTGGAAGAATTCGGAAAGGGCAAGTTAATGGGCAACTAGGTGAAGATCTTGTCACAGAAATGGAACAATTCAGCCACTTGGGTTTATCAAAAACGTGAGTGATTCTTTTGACAGAGAAGGCTTTCAATATTGATGGTTTTTTTAGTTATAATATCGATCATCAAACACCTGATTCAGCTGCTACAGCAACTGCGTATTTATGTGGTGTTAAAGCTCAGTTAGGAACGATTGGTGTTGATGGACGAGCAAAACGAAGTGATTGTTTAAGCTCTATTGGAACAAATGTGTCAAGTATTCTCAATTGGGCTCAGGATCTCGGTACAATTTCTTTCATAAATGATGGATCTTTTCACTTTCGAGTTTCAATTAAGGTCACAAAGTCGGTATTGTCACTACTGCTCGTATCACTCATGCAACACCATCAGCAGCCTACGCACACATTCCCGAACGGAATTGGGAAGGTTATGATACGCGATATTTTGGCGCGACTCAAGCTGGACAAGGTTGTGTAGACATTGCTCAGCAACTTGTTCTTCATTCTCCACCAATCGATGTTCTATTCGGCGGAGGTCGTCGATATTTTTATCCAAATACGGTACGTGATGTCGAAAATGCATCCATACTCAATTCACGTACAGATCAAAAATCACTTGTTGATGATTATTGGAAAGGACGTTTCATTTGGAATAAAACTGAAATGAATAAAATTCCATTTGGATCACCCGAACCCATCCTAGGCTTATTTGAATACGATCATATGCAGTATGAAACTGATCGATTGGCCTATGGAAATGACGAACCAAGTTTAACAGAAATGACAAGATTTGCTTTAGAACACTTGTTGGCAACAAATCAGGGATTCTTTCTTTTAGTTGAAGGTGGAAGAATCGATCATGGACATCACGAAACACGTGCAAGATACGCTTTAGACGAATATGTTCAATTCGATGATGCTATTGGACATGCGAAACAATTCTTAAAAGATCGTGGTGTTCTCGATGAAACACTTATGGTCGTCACAGCCGATCACTCACATGTCTTTTCATTCGGTGCATACGCATCCCGTGGTTCAAATATCTTAGGTTTTGGATCTTTAGAACAGTTGAATGTAAGTGATGTTGATCGATTACCGATTAATATCATTGCCTATGGAAATGGACCCAATTATGCATCAGCACGAAATGCAACTTATTTATATTCATTAGACACAAATTCAACGAAATATTTATCACCAACAGCTTTACCAATGAAAGCTGAAACACATGGCGGCGAAGATGTACCGGTTTACGCGCAAGGACCTTGGAGTCATTTATTTATTGGAACAATGGAACAACATACAATTGCACATAAGATGGCCTATGCAGCATGTTGGGGAGAATATGTCAATCGAGATGGATGTACTTCCAATGGAACACAAACAAATCCTAAAATAACATTAATGCAAATTGGTGTTTTGTTCTTTCTTCTGAAAACAATCAGTGAATAATTTAGTATTTTCTTTTGTAACTCCTATTCGCTACTTTTAAGTATATTTTAATAAATAAACATTAGCCCCGAACGATAACCGTTTTGTCATTCTCAAGGTAATCTAATCGGCATTTCAATTCATTGTAAAATACAGCGAAAACAAATCTCGTCAAAAACTCGATCGAATGTTGTCTACAATCGTTAATATCTCGTATTGAATTTATTTAAGTAAGACAAAAAAGAAAGTATTGTTAAGATAAATTCTGTACACAAAGATAATTTATAATTTTGTGAATATTTCAAGAAGAAATTTGTTGTTCAAAACCAAATTGAAAGAGATTTCTCTAGAAGATATTTGACATAAGGTTGTTTGATTCGAGATGAATACCAACTCGAAATGGACTCTTGTACATGTTCTTCGTCGATAATTCGAACTGCATCGATATAAAGATAATTGATTTGAGAAAATTTTTCGAATAAAAGTTCTTTGACAATGGTGTGAAGACTTAAATCTTGTGTTCCTTCGTACATCGATGATAAATAAATCGATTTGACATTGGGAAGTTTTTCGACGACTTGATTTGAGATGAAACAATATTTTTCTGGAAATTCCAAATCTAATTGTTGAATTTGAGTGAGAAAATTTGTTCGAAGAAAATATTCTAATTGTCGAATTGTTGTTGATAAACGTTTGATAAACTTGAAACGTTGATAAAGTTCATTCTGAAGGTTTAATGAAAGATCGAAATACGAACACCAATATTGACTACGAATGATCAAATGAGAAATTTCATTCGAATAATCAATATGATGGAAATTTTCGATCGATTCGTTCAGATAAAGTCGATCTAAACGATCGAACTTCGATGAATTTATTCGAAATGAATTCTTCAATGGATTATAATCAACTGAATATTTCGGAAATTCGTATTTCCATTCTTGAATATCAGAATAATGTACATCGTAATTCTGCGATAAATGAAGATCAAATCGTTCAAGAGTTGAATAATTAGAAAGTAAACTTTTCCATGATTTCGCATTGATCGTTGTTGTTTGACCGATAAATGCCAGGCGTTGAAGATTTGTACTGGATGGAAGAAGAAATTGAATCAAATAAAAGGGAATTTGACAAATTTCTAATTGATAATCGAGTAAATATGGAAAAATTAACGGACGATGATAGTCGCTTTTATCAATTGAAAATATGGAAACATAAAGTTTCTCGAGATGAATGGGAAGATGAACTTGAAATAGTTGGAAATATTCGGATAATTTCGAAAATATGATCCGCATATGAACGAGAACTGAAGTTGAGAAAATTTCCAAATGATTAACCAAATAACTAAATGTAAAAAACCAATTCTTTTTCTTGTTTTTTGAAAAATCTGATTTCAGTTACTGTTTTGCGTCTTCTCCGGTTTCAAATTCGATGTGTAATCGTTTAATTGATGTGGATAATAATTTACAAGGTTTACACGTTTGATTAAATGATGTGATGACTAGATTTAATGTTTCTGGACGGAATTGTTCCAGAAAATCATCTTGTAAATCGATTCCGCGACCGATGAGTTTTATTTGCGATAAATTTTCAAGTCGAATCGAGCGAGTTTGCTCAAAAAACGTTCTTCCGATATGATAATCATCGAATGTAAATGAATAAATCGAATTTTGTATAAATGGAAGAAAGTTTTGTGCATATTTATCGATTTGTTGTTTCGATAATACCGATGAGAAATTCACATGATGAATATATTTGAAAAGAAGACAATTTATCCTGGAATTCAATTGTAAACACGATTCTAACAGATCATATTTGGTTAAATAAGAAAATATCATGAAAAACAATTCATTTGGTAAATCTTCCAAAGAAAACATTTTCGCCGTTTGTTTATTCATTCGTTTCACATTGAATTCTTTCAGTTATATATGTACAAATCATGGTATTCTACTGACGAGACACAAAGACATGAACGAACAAATTAGAAACAATTGGAGTATGTTTTTCTTTGAAATCAGAACGAGTAAATCAATCGGTTGACTTAGTACACTGGGGAATTGATGTGATTAACATCGGTTCGAATCTGAGGAATGGAACACGTTCGATTTGCATGAGATTAATTCGAAAAATCACTTGAAAATATTATTGAAGTGGAAAAGAACTTGTGCAAAGATAAAATTGAGATTTCGCTATCGACATTCAACTTCACAATGTGTTTGTCGTTAGTAAATTTCATACAAATAAAAGAGAAGAAAAAAACACGACAAAATCTCGACCAATCATTAACGTTTCTTCTTCAACAATAAGTCACGCGTATCTTATCTCTCTCTCTCATTCCTTCTTACTATTCGCAAACGATGTTTTATCGAAATTCTCTTCGAAAAATTCACACATTGATTAATCATAAACTTTACCCGTTAAATGATCATCAATCGGATAAGTTTAATCAATTGATAACGACTAGTCGAGAAGAATTTCATTCTACAGGTTGTTTGTATCTTCCGAATTTTTTAACTCAATCAACACTTTCAACAATTCTTCATGAAATCGATTCAATTGTGAAAGATTTTTCGCAAAATTTGTTTCATTCCTATGTTCAACACACCGATAATCTTTATAACACTTCATCAAATTCTCCTGAAATGGAATCAAGTAGTAAAACAATTATCGCCTACGATCAAATTCCTTCGAATTCACTTCTTCGAAAAATCTACTCATCGAATTCATTAATTCATTTTCTAACACAAATCATTCAAATTTATCCTCAACTTTACCCAAGTTGTGATAAATTAGGCGCATTATATGTCAACATCTATCGTCAAGCGAATCGACTTAGTTGGCACACAGATCATTCTCACTTCTTTATTAATCTTCTTTTACAACAAGCATCGGATCCTGATGAAGGAATTTTCGAATACAAAACCGATAAGAAGATCATCTCTCGGCACGATTTTCAGTCCGGTGGACTTGTTATGTTCAATGGTCGAAAGTATCTTCATCGTGTAACGAAAGTTTGTACATCGAAATCACCTCGAATCAACGCGATTCTCACTTATGATTGTACACGTGAACATCAGTTAAGTGAATATGTTTTACAAAAGTTTTTTGGACGTACAACGTGAAGAAGAAAAGCGAGAAATAAATTATAATTTATACACATTTAAACTCTTCATTTTTCAAGAAGAAAAACGATGTGTTCATGAGAGAAGTTTAGTAAGAAAAACCAACAAGTAAAAGATGAAAATCATTGAATTTCGTCAATCGTAGATGTCAACGGATGTTGTTCACTCTTGAGTAACTCATCGTTTTTCTACAACGAACAAAGGAGAAATGAACAGATAAGAAATTGAATAGAAAAACTTACGATTGATTTCGAATCTAAGGGTTTTAAATCTAAACAGGATTGATTCTCTTTCTTGGGTGTTCCATTTGGATATGAGTTTTTATCGCCTGAGTATTTTTTCCAACGATGCCAAAGTTGTGTCGTTTGAAAACGTCGTTTTAACGTTTCTTGAACCTTAACACAGCAAAACTCATGGAAAATTTCGGCAAAAGAAGAAAGAAAACGCTTACCTCAGCATTGAGAAAACAGTAGAACAATGCACAATAGAAACCTTGTGGAGCAACTAAGATTACATTCACACAACAATAAATCGCAAATATTGTGATTGGTTTATCATCTAAACAGAATTCTTTTCGAATTGTTCTCCTTTTCAATAAACTTACAAGCTGAAACGAATGTTTCCAAAACATGTGTAATGCCTAATAAAGGCAACAGAAAAATAGCAGCTTTCACCGTTTGTCGGACGAATTTTGCATTCATAGACGCTCGACGTCGACTAAAAAACAACAAAATATTTGAGTAAAATAGAAGAAAAATTGTCGGTTTTGACTGATTAATGTTAGTCGAATGTCATCGAGTAGTGAATTACCGATGTGTGAAATGTTTTATGCGTGACACAACATTATTTCGGTGGGTATTATATTGCCTATTTGGAAACTAATATGAAAGCCTGAGAATCCTAGTCGAATACTTACTCTTCTCGAACTTGTTTTTCTGAACCTTCTTTCATTTTCACCATTAAAACTCGAAGAATATTCAATAAAAAGATAATATTTATCTTAAAGAATAAGAACCATGTCTTTCAATTGAACAAAAACATTTGTCACTTTACAATCATAACAGCATAACGTGGTCCATCGATGATCCAATAATAGATCAGATGATTGTAATTATAAAAACATCTAAAACAAAGAATATCATCATCACAAACATCGACGTGCCAAACATTACCGTCGTTCACGTTGTTTAATCACCATAACAATAGTCCAACTCAATGTTATACAAAATGGGAGAACTAAAAATCTAACTGAATGTCTTCAAAGTCGAACAATTGACTTGTCAACTTACACCAACCAAGTAGATGAAAATAAAGTGTTTTAAAATAATTTTTAAAAACTCCAACGGTTAAAACATTATTAAGTTGAATTCCTTCGCACAACATCCACATAAACATCGCGGTTTTACCAAATTGTAGAAGTACGGTAATCGAAGGACAAAGAACACTGAGTAAACTTCTTCCAAGTGACGAATGGAGATGATTATCAACACTACATTCACCGGATGCATTTTGCGAAACCATTTGAAATCTAAATAAAGATTTGTGTTCTTGTTTTAGACGATTTTCAAGCAAATACGAACGCGTAGGCACTTAATCGAGCAATGGTTTGGATGAGAATGGCTAATAAAAGATTGACATGGATCTTTGTTCGCTCGCAGTACAATGTCCTACGGTGAAGATCAAGGATTCAAATAGAAAGAACGAGTTGACTTACCTGAAGGTGAAAAAGATGAATAATGAGATAAGAACGCTAGTTAACGAAAGTGATAAACCACCGAGTTCACCATAACGAGCAAATCGAACCAATTTTGGAAAGATCTATTTATTAAAACTCCAATGAAAATCCAATAAATTCTCTTCACAAACCTCTCTTTCGCTTTGTGGCCGAACAAGAAAAGATTTGACAAGTAAAGCCCAAACATCCGGATAGAAGCACTGCTTAAAATTAATATTTGACCAATTACCAGATGGAAGACAATGTCGAGTAACAAATTCTACATGAAAAAGCACTTCAGTTCGAGAAACAACACTTCTTTCTCTTAATTTACTTGTCGTATCAACACCTTCCTGTAACAGTGCAGCACATGAAACATTCGCCGATTGACCCGCAAGAGTTTGAGGCCAACAAATATGAAAAAATATAGCTGGGCAATAAGAATTATTCGCTATTGAACTTCCATTAATTGTGAACGACATCGATTAATAATATTCGCATATATCACTAATAGACGGACGGGTTACAATCTAAACAAAAACTATTTCAAATTCCCTTTTCCTTCCTGTTAGTCACATGCATATTAATTAGAGACTTAATTCACCTAACAAATGTCCAACAGGATCTTTCAGACGTAATTTTAATAAGATTCCTAACTAAATAATTATCTTTGAGTTACAATGTGCCGAAATGCATATGTCAACACGTGAAAAGAATGTTAATCTTTGCTAATAGAAAAACAACTAGGGATGGAACACCATACAATTGACATATTAATCTTGTCGTTGATCCGTCTTCAAAATCTCCATAGAAAGAAATATATCGGAACGATAAAATGTTAAATCAACATGTTTGATGTAACTAATAAGACATCTTCTTGAGTTTGACTCTATTCTAATTAGTAAAAGAAAACTCGTTTGCTTTTCTACGATCTATTTTAATCCTCAGATACTCAAATGACGAGGATTAAGTCAAGTCTTATATATCAAAGACGCAAAAAACCTCTTATTAATTTTGTTTCCTTTGATAAAATTGTTCATCCTACCTTTGAATTGTTCTATTCGCTTGTTTAAGATAGGAATTCTTCTTTTCTCTCTGACAGTATTTATAGAATTGACTGAAAAAAGTGTTCGATAGTAAGTTGGGAGCAATAGAATACGGAGGAAGAAGAAGAGAACGTGATGTGACTACTTGAGTAGTGAATGAATAATATTGACAACAGTCATTTACTCGTATGAATGATGATCGATCATCATCAATCAAATGTCTCAAAGAGAGAAAGAGAAAATGATGTTTGTAGTAGAAAAGAAAGTTTCTTCTTTTACTTTTTGGGAATTTGATTTTCGAGAAAAAAAAGATCATAATCAAACACATGGCCTTTTATTTCTTATATTCTTTTAATGTCAATTACTTTATTTGACGTGCTTACTGATCGTTTTGATAAAACTATATAATTTGTCTTAATGACTTAGAGAGAGAAAAAAAGCGTATCGATGAAGAAAAAACATTCAGATTTCTATAGAAAGAAATTTATCTGAAAATCAATGAGTCAATCTTATTATATATCGATAAATATCATGAGAAAAATCTTTTTAATCATTGGAATGTGATACTTGTTCTTCATCGTTTCCATCCATTCGAGGAAATAATCAAAAGATCAAACAGATTATTCTATTGTTACTTGTTATTCGCTTTTCTAATTAAAAAAAACTCGTGTGAAGTTGAAATACTCTCGAAAATCGCGATCATAAACTACGCAAAAGCACGCAGTTACACAAATCATAGGAAAGAGAATGTGGTCTACTGAATCATTTGACCTATGCAAAAAATTTTTCCTATCTGACATAGAGAATCTTTTTCTGTTGCTTTCAAAGGCAAATACTTACTTTTCTTCAAAGGAAAAGAAATGAGATTATCTTCGAAAATTGAGGAATAAGCGACCGGAATAGAAAAAAGAACTGTCAAAATGATAAAATAAGCGACAAGAATGTGTATTTTGTCATTTCCGTTGTCAACAAGTCTCAATAATGGATTTCATACACCTGAGAAAGTTCGTCTAATTGATTCATTTCCACGTATATAAACCTTTCTATAGATTTGTTATGAATATCTCACTAGTTCTATTAATTTTCAAGTAACTCTTCCTTCCCTACAAAATCCTCAATGATAATCTCAGAAAAACATCACTGAATTAATAATTAATCCAAAATTTTGTTTGTCACTTTTCTCAAACTGAAAAAACTTCTCACTACAAAACTCGTTCCATTCATCAGTTTCAATCGACTATGATTGAGTACACATGAACAAAAACAACACGCTGTATCGATTTTCGTCCACATTGTTGGAAATGAATACTTCACTATATGGAGTAAGTAGAGAAGATCTTCTATTTACGAGCTTGTAGTGTGTAAGACTAACGGATTGTCAGAAGAGATGTGGAAGAAAGACAAGAGACTCTGATTTCATGTTATTCATAAATATTAAATATCGATTTGATGATGGAAATATTTTCTTTTGCATAGAAGGATTTTTCAAAGTTAATAATTTCGACGAACTTATTTACCTTATTTAATATTCTTCTATATCTCTTGAGAGAAATAATAATAAATATGAAAAGAGATCTTTCTCTTTATTTTCTAATACGTTGTGAAAGCGGTTTCTTTCTTGTCTCGTCTTTTATCATCGATGATGTCTAGATGAAACCAATGACAATAGAAAGAAGAAGGAGAAGAAGAGAACGAAACACATGACGATCATCGTAGAGAACATAAACAATCACGATTAGTTTTATGATTCAGATAAAAGTGTACATGTTGCTTTTTCTTCTGATTAGGAAAACTCAAGAGAAATCATTGGTAAATTAATAAAAGAAATTCTTTCTGTGTAAAAATATACAATACCTTCTATGAATGTTAATCAACAAAAGTTATTAGTTTGAAAAACTATTTTGATAATGCTTGGAGATAGAAAGGTTAATTATTCAAATACGACTCAATATAAGACACGTTTTACATTTATGTATTCAGATTCTTTATTTCTTCGCGCATATCCTAGAGCGAGAAAAATATTATTATCCTCGGTTTTTTTTTGTTTACTATTGTTTATTGCAATAGAAATATTAAAAGGCAATGGAGCAAAATCATGAGAACAAATGAATGAAATAACGACGAAGAAATGACGTCATTTTGTGTGAAAAGAACCTATTACTTACTTTATCAAAAGTCAATGTTGAGAAAATCTAAGACTGAAGATGTGTGCCGGACTTGTTGTTGATTTAAAATACAAAAAAAGAAATATCTCGACATGTGTGTTGGAATTTTCTCTTATCGATAAGATTAATGGACAGATGTAGAAATCCTGAATGTTAACCGGTTAAGGAACAATTGCTCGACGAATAGATAACAAGAAAAAGAATGTCGAATTTCTTTCACGACAATATATTCAATAAAAGCTAATTAATCATCAATGTTATCAACGTTGGATTCGGTTTCAAAGTCTTTTTTTATCAACAGAAATCATTAAAAAGGAAAAGTTTTCTCCGTCTGTTAGTCGTATTTCAAGTATTTAATGAATATCTAATGTTCATATTTATGTAAAAGAGTCATATGAGTACAAGTACTTTTTCCCTTTTCATACTCTTCAGCACGTCGAAACAATCGGATTTCTTTCTAGTTTTTTTTTTCTTCTTATGCTGATGACAGTACGCATTCAACTGTTGTTATTCGAAAGACAACTGTAAATGAGACACGTTGTGTATATCAGACATTAATGTCAAAACATATATCAAAGATATTAAGAAATACCAGACATGTAAACAGAATCTCGCGTTGAGATGTTTAGGAGTTACTGGAATGATGAGATTTGTTTTGTTTTGGGGGGAAAATCTGCAAATACTCAAGATTAATCGATTTTGATGACGAGTGAAACGATATGGCGATGTAGAAATGTATTTGAATAGTTAATATTAAGATTATCTTGTCAGATAAAGAATAACAATGAAATATGGAGTGCGAAAGATTCTGTAGTATTCGAATGGAATCAAGGAATTCTTATGAATTGATGTTAGATGAGAAATTCTTCTAAACATTTGAATCGATTGTTTCGTTTGTGGAAATTTGCACACAAGAAATTGAATTCGAATCGAGAAATGTAGCATTGTTTGTGCAATTGTAATACAATGAATTCTGATTTGTAATCGTATAGAGATCATCTGTTAATTTGAGATCACGAGGGAGTTTTCGTTTACGTGAGGATTTTCGTTGTTGATTTGTAATCTTCTGATGATTGGTTAAACGAAATTCAATCGAAGGAAAATGTAGAAGAATTCATTCTCATCTCTTTACTTACCGAATTTGGTAAATCTTGAAGTAATGGATCGAGAAAGATTGGTGTTAATTGTGCATCGGATTCGAAAATATTAGATACGGATGGAGATGATAAAGATGTTTGATCTTGATTTTGAGATTTTGCTTGAGGTAAAGATGATCGATGAATCGTTGGAAGAATTATCTCTTAAAGAAAAGAGATGAAATCATATGTTCAGGATTTTCTCCCGACAACAAACGTTTGTCATTCTGTTTAATTGAAGATCGTTTTGAATTATCAAATTGAATATTCGTTATGGATTTGTTGTTTTCAACTTGAATTTCTTTCGTTCGTTGAATATTAAGATATCGATCAATACTTGTTCGTCCACGTAATGTAATTGTATCAAACTGATGAAACACATCCGTTAATGTTAACTGTTGATTGTCAGTTGATTTCTCGGACGTGTTTTGATCGATTATGTATAAATATTCATAAGCGGTTTTCAATTCGAATGTTGTAAACGCGACAAATATCGGAAGATTTCGTCGTTGTATACCTTGTTGGATTAATTTGATTGTGTATTTTAACTGAATTAGCAAAAGGAAGAGATTTCTTTTGAAGAAAATTCGCGAGTCATACTTGATACAATGTATCACATTTGAGAATTTGACAAATTTCTTTCATATCTCCTCTATATTTCATGTAGAGAAAATAGAGAATATTCACTTCAGCAATGTCTTTTTCGGTATCAAACATTTCCAAGAAATGAAATGTCTGTGTTAAACGACGAATGCGATCGATATCTGAGTTGTAGAGAAAAGAATTCACATAAGATTATGAGAAGAGAAGACTTTTTACAAGATGGTAATTGAAGGATTTTGATTGGTTCGAGATGTTTCAATTGAACATCATTCGAAAGTTGTTCAAGAAGATATTTAACAAAATGAATGGAATTTTTCTCAACAACATGATAATCACATCCAAGATAAAATAATTTCAAATCTTCGACAATTTCATCGATTTCTTTTTCACTAAACCATGTCCAACCGACTTCGATCGAATCACGTAAACGATATAAATGAAAACGTGAATCATGTTTGGAAGTTTTATAAAGACCAGTGAATTTATACGGATGTCCCATGTAACCATATTCAGCTGAATGAGCTTGAACAGCACAATGATAATACAATAAACCTATTGTATGAAGACAAGCATTTGTACATCCACCTAAATCGTACAAGTTCAAATAAACTGGAGTTACATGACTTCCAACATGAAGACTTGAAGCTGAAGACATCGAGAGAAATTAAGTATGTTCATTGAATATGATCATTGTGAACTAAATAGATCAAATCATTTCGCTTTTATTCTCAAAAGGAAAGATTTTTCGTTTATTGAGCGCATTTTGATCTCTTAGTGAATAAAATTTACTCGGCACATAAATCTTTCAACTGTTATTCGTGTTCAATATCTTTCATGTCAAATCTGATACTTATACATATTCTTTCTCGAATATCCAAAAATCATTTCGTATTCTGTGTTTTATAGATTTATATTTCATTATCAGATAAATGTTTCGAGATTGACGAACGCGATTTTTTATTCTTTCATTTTAAAAGATAGAGCGAGGAAAGTTGTACAAAAAAATCTTTACTCTTTGTTTCAAACAATTTTTATGCTGAGAATATAAATTATCTGTTCGATACAACGGTTTCCCATTGTAATTGGAGGAATGTGAATATCTTCAAGTCACTTTCATTGATTTTTTACATGTTTCGATACACAGTTGGTGCAGAACTTTTGATAACACATCATGTACAAAGAAAATTCACATTCTATCATTTTCTTAAGTCGAGATATCTGTTAAGTAAAAAGTGTCGCAATATTTTTGGAACACCCGATATATGTCGATTGAACAAAGAGACAGATTTATTTAAGTATCATTTAATGATAATGTCATTAAAAAATAATGCACATAGTGGTTGATCGAAGGTAAACGTGAGAGTAGAGCAATTCGAAACTATCACGGCGCAGAAGATGAATGACAATAGAGACACAATATCCATTTATCAAGGGAAAATCGAGGTGCAAATCGTATGGGAGAAAATCGTTTCTTTAGGAATGGACCAAACTGATTGATTCGAAGTAAAAAGAAGATGATTTATTCTTTTATCACATAAATCGTGCGAAGATTTATTACGAGATGAACCAATACAAATGTAAAGTATCTCTTATTGATTTAGACGCTGTTGCAGACATTGAAGTGATATGTTTAGTATTGTTATTTTACAATTCTATTATGAAGTATTTTGTTTCTTATAGGAAATGCTTGATCCACATAACATTCGGAGATATTTGACATGAAATCAAAAAGAGTCCTTATTAGTTTATGGTAAGGAGATTCAAAATATGTAGAAGAATTGTTTATGGATGTTTTTGACAAAGAAAAAACAAGTAAACGAAGGAAAATTAATTGAAACTCGCTTTGTTTTCTTGTCCAACCGGTGATTCACACTCACTGTTTCGTCATTGATTGAATACTTTCAATTCTACCTTCAAAGACGACAGAAACGTTTGATTTTTTGTCTTTTGATTTCAAGAAAGAACTATTTTTCCGAAGTAAATGAAGTTTGTGAATATCTCAAGTTATATGTTTCGTACAACAAACATAATGTGTATTACTGAGAACGATTTTCAGAACAATGTATGTATAAAGTGAATCCGTAGAGATGATCGTTAAGACAACAATTATGGATAATTTGTAAGAATGATATTGTTTACGAAGAAAGTGTCGAACGCATGAATGTATGAATGGTCACTTGAATAAAGTCAATTAAAAATGACGATGATTTTCTGAGTAAGTTATTTTCTTGAATAACATTGAGATATTGATCTACTATTGTATATCTCAAGATGTTACTTTAATCTTATTCTGGATAAATAGCAAAAGACAAAAAAATAGTAGAAGACATTTACATAATAAACATAACATAAACATATTAATCAATTTCAACCAAAAATGATTCATATCAGTTGTAAAGTTCAAATAGACATGAACTCAATATATGTGATGCTTCTAACGATTCTAATGTTAAATTTGCCAACAGTTGTTCATATTGACGAAGATTTCTTAAAAAGGAAAATAAATCGATTCTTCTAACTTCAGATCACTTCGATGAAGTAAGATTCACTTACTGTTTACCAATGGATGAGTGTCGTGCAAGATTTCTCAGAATGAGTGCAGCTGTCAATCGAATGCTTTTTGTTAATGGACCTTCTTTACTCTTATTCTACGAAAAACACAATTCACATTTAATTTCATCAAGTAAACAGTAGATACACTTACAATTTGATCTTCAAATAGATTTACTTGCATATGACGTCGAATAGCTAACCAAGCAGCATCTGATGCATAACTCATTGAATTAGTTGTCGATGTCGGTACACGATTCGTATTAATCGTTATTGCTGCAGGAGGTACAGGATTTGTTGAACGTAACTTTGCCTGCCGAAATGCTGCTTCAGAACAATGACGATCCTGAATAAAATCATAAATAACAAACAAAATTGACTTCCAAAGCGTTAAATTTACATGAACATGACTAATTAATGCCCATTTTTGTCGTTTCAATCGGTCGCATCCATTCCATAGGCAAACATAATCAGTCAAATATTTGATATGAGATGAACAAATATGATGCAAAACCGATCGTGCCGTTGGAAAAGCTCTGAAATGATTTCAATCGATTTGAATTTTCTATGTGAATAGATATTTTCTTACGCTCGACAATTATCCCATTCGCAGATATAATCATATGACAAATTTTCTTTCTTTTCCACTGAATTTGTCATCATTGCTCTCGGTTGTATTTGTTCTTCTGCAGAAGAAACTTCTTTCGTTGGTTGAGTTTGAATTTTTCGTTTAAATACTGGCGATGATAGAGACTGATCGAGAATAAGTGAAACACGTTGACACAGATCATTTACACATGCCCGAACGTCATTATCCAATGATGAACAATGATCAAGAGCTTCGTTGATTGCTGATTGAATTGGATGTATTTCATCCTGTGTTGTTGATGATGGAACCGGTATTTTCAACGTATTTGAAGGTATACTACTAGGACGTTTCGATGATTCAGTAAGCAGTGAAACAAGTGAATCAGAATTAGCTGAAATAAAGGATTGTACGAAAAAAAGTCAGACTTTATCAAAATTATTACCATCAAGTTTTCGTTTTTTGTCGTTTACAGTAGAAATAGTATTTGAGGGCGTGGATGTCACAGTTAAAACACTTCCTGATGGAAGAACATCCGTGATTATCAAAGGTTTGGAATGTTGTTGTGATGATGGTTGTGCTTGAATAATAAATCTTGGATTTGTTTTATTCATTTCGAAGTTTTCCATTGAATATGTTGGATATTGCATTGTTGGTTGATTCGTTGGAATAAGTACAACTGATTGAGGTGCTTTTGGTGGTTGATGATATGATGGAAGAAGAACAGGACCAGATGACATTTCAACTATCTTAATAGTTTTTATCGTTTGAGAAGAAAAACTTCGTGCTTCAATTGTTAATAAATCAATCAAAGTTGATAAAGTCGACGAGGAAGATTCAACATTGAGTATTGCATCACATAATTGCTCTCCTAGAACATACAACAGTAACATTTATAGACATTTCAACAATTGAAACATACCTAATTCTGATAGTTGATATAAACATTCTAATGTGTGAACCAAAACAAGTATATCAGGAATATGTAGGAGATGTTTAACAATAATATTCACATAATCGATCAAATACATGGCATTGTCATTTCCAGCTTGTGCTAAATTTGAAAGAATTTCTAAAGCACGAATGATTTCCAGCCGATCTTGTTGATGATTTTCATCTTCATTTCCATTCAATAATGAAACTAATAATTGTCGAAGAAGATACCCTTCATCATTACTTATCATACGTAAATGCAAATATAAAGCTAAATTTGACCAAATATCTAGAGCATATTTTTGTAATTCGACATGTTTTTGACATGATGACATTAATAATAAAAGTCGGTATGTCAATGATGATGATGATCGTAGAGTTTCAAGTAAGAAAAGTGCATTGACACGATCAAACGAAAGATTTCGTATGATCATCAAGATTTGTTCAACGCGAAATTCTTGTTCTTGTTGGTTCAAATTGAAATTCGAATTGAAATTTTTATAGGGAAGATTCGAATGATCTTCTGTATCAATATTGAAGAATAATTTGACTAACGAAGGCGAACACGATTCGATCCAAAATGAATCCATATGATAATCAGCATGTTTCGACCAAAGATTTTCGTATAAAGACTTGAGTTGATGATCAGATGGTATAGCTTCTGCTGAGGAGAATAATCCCACATGTCGATAGAGTAGATTTAGTAACCGTGGACATTTGTATAAATGAAATGACTTTGAATGGACAGGCGAAGAGGATAGGAGGAGTAGAGTATTCAACGTAAATGTGATTTCATTGGGAAAACCACATAATAATGCTAATTCCAGTTTTTCAAATTCTGTTCGAGGAACCAAATCAGTAAACAAACCTTGTTGAGCACGCAAAGCTTCTGAAAACGAAAGAAACGAATGCAAATTGTTCTAAACTTCGATGATAATCATACCTGGAACTGCATGTTGCGCATAATTATATGATTGAGGCACTCGTTGCAATTGCGCATATGTTCTTCGTTTTGCGTCATCATTCTCTCCATCGAACGCATCAATATTTTCTCCATTTGAGACTTTTTCATAAGCATACAAATATCTAGAAAATCGGAGAAATGTACAAATCGATTTGATTTTCGTCTTCTTACCGAATATAGATATTCTTCAATGCTTGTGTACCATTGAGACATGTATCATCAATAGAAAAATGGCTCGCAACTGTGGACCACAATTGCCTTTCATGGACCTTTTCCCAGCCGCCATGACTCATAACTGTATTGAACAGTACGTGTAAATCAATAACTTGACCAGCAATGGTTGGCAAAGTACGGAAAGCCGTTCTAAGCAAAGAACACGGAAGTCGTTCGAGTTTTGTTTATTGAGAAGAAAACTTACTGACGACCTCGATGAAAATCACGAAGACGTTTGAGAAATTCTTCGGAAGGAGATAATGGTGCGGCATAGACCGAAGGAGTTTGTACTGATGGATTAACATCTGAATGTGGTAGATAACCGTTGCTATTCGGTACGATGCCAGTTTGAATAGGATAGTTTGATGATGCAGAATATTGAATATGATTTATTGTGACTGGTTTACTTATAATAGGACGAGGTTGAATTGGTGGATATGTAGTCATTATCTATGAATCTATTCAAAACAAAATAAGAAGACTATTTCATTCATCATTTTGATCTTCAATTAAAATCGAACTTTGTTCAATTGTTGAACCTATTTTCAAAACTTTTTTCGAACAAACTTTCTCTTTTTGGAAACAAAAAGTTTCATTTCAATGAAAGAACGATTAGATTTGTCGAATAGCATAACAATCACACATGTCGTCAATAGATGGCAGCACGGAACGGGGGAATAGTGCAGTGCTTTTTTTATTTTACATTTGAAAAAATGTTTTATTCACTAACTACAGATTCTTTTCTTGTCGAACTAAAATGAAACAAACAAAAAAGAAAGTTTTTATTTTGGTAGATTGCCGTCTGCTGGTTTTTGATCATTCGACGCCTTGTGTTGATTGTTCTCAACAGCTGTTGTTGCAGTACCAAATGTTCCACCTGGTGATTCGGTATTACTGCCTTCGGATGGTCCTCTTTGTTTATCAATATCATCACTTGGTTGTCCACTTAGACCAGAATCAGTTTTCGCAGCGGTCGCCGACATGACGAAAAAGAAAGTCTTGCGTTTGATTCGTTTACAGCAACGAAAATGTCTGTCACTCTCGCTCGCGTGCTTATATATGTCAGAGAGTATAGAGTACCTTGAAATAAAACAAACTTAACGACCTTTTTTATATTTTTTTTTATCGCCACTAACAGGAAATTTTAGTTTTCATTTTTTCATACTTGAGTTTCCATGGTCACCTTAAATATTCTTTGTGACTTGAAACATCGCCATTTATTCTTATACATCCATTATCGAATAGAATAAAGAAATTGCCTCGAATAATTTTCGTCTTTGGTTGGCGTTTTCAAATGATTCAAAGTTAATTTTGATTTAATATAATCATCTCATTAACTCATATTCATCTTGGAACGTGAGAATAAGAATGGGTAAATGGATACTATATACCTTTATCCGATATTTTGTATCTTATATGTAATAAATATGTATCGGTGTGATTGAAAATATTTAAACAGATTTGCCACATCTATTCTTTGTAAGAAAAAATTCTTTTTCGATGAAGCAATTACAAGTTTATTCAGACGAACATTGGTTTTAACTGTGAGTAATACACGAGATGATACATCTGTTTTAAGTTGAATTCTGTATTTCTTATACAAAAAGCAATTCCAGCGCGTGGTAAAAGAAATTTGAATAGTTTGAGCAAAATTTCAAATGGAATGATAAAACAATTTCGAAGAAACAAAACATTATACATTGGAATGAGATCATCAACCAAATCATATTTTACTGTTCCGTTATTCAAACTCTTAATCATGTTTTATGACAAAAACATTCGTTTTCTATCGCAGTAGCAGATTCAGAAGAATAATTCGATTAGAATATAATGAAAGATGTACTTTGTTGCTGATATTTCTTATAAAAATGTTATTTCATGTGAGGATATGCTCGAAGTAATTTCTCTTCTCTATCAAGAGATGCAGCGAAAAAATTTCGAAGAATTCGCTCTTTTCTTATTTCATTTTTTAGAAATAGTTGATGAAGAAATTTCAAAGAAATGTGAGTAATGACGCACTGATTATTTCTACACTTTTAATCTATTTGAGCTTCTATTTTTTCTAACATATGTCAATACTTTTATTGAACAAAGAAGAAATGTATTTAAATACAAAACAACCAAAAATATATTTTGATTATAACAGACACGCTTGGTCTAAGCCTTTCAACATAATCAAAAAATTATTATCGTTTTTGAAAAAAAATCTCGTTAGAAGATGTGTTTTGAATTTAGTAGAGTAACATGGCATTTTAATTTAACGCGATTCTCAAGTTATTATATATCGCTTCTCAATGAATATTATTTGAGATAATAAGAATAATGTATAGAAATAGTTAACGAAAAAAGAGACTAGACGTGAATATGTAGTGCACATTTAGTGTATTACAGTTGTTGCAAAGTATTTCATTAATATCTGGAAACAATAAGAAAAAAGAAAGCTACTTTCAATCACTTTGAATAGAATACAAAGATGCACATCTGTGGAGCGAAACATACAGACCTAACACGTTTCTACTTCAATCATTTCTAACTTCAATTCCCATATGTGGACTTGCTTATTTTTTTTTATTGTTATATCAAATGCTCAGAATATTCGCACATTGAAATTATTTAAAATAAACAATATTCAATATCAATGTAATAATCCAGGATGCTCATCTTCCACTATCGTTTACGTGTCAAATTTAATCAGATGTGAAGCTACTTGTTTAGCAAATACAGAATGTCGTACAGTTACTTTCAATTCATCAAATAATCGATGTGAACTATTTGTTGATATTATTCAACAATATGGAAATATGATGTCGCAAATAGGTTTCATTACAATGACTGCCATTGATAATAGACGATTGTTCGCTCGTAAGTAGAAATTGAAAACATCCATTCGGAGCATTTCAGGTCTATACTAAGGAATCATTATGAGAAAATCTTGATTTTGAGACTAAAAAATAGAGTATTAGAGAGATGAAATTTTCACTGCATGATAAAATTGTATTGAAGAATAATCTTTTTTCAGCTACGACAACAACAACTGTAACTACAACAACAACTGCTACCACTACTACTACAACTACCACAGCTCGTAAGCAAACTAGGCTCTTCCACAAAAAAGTTCTTTCGTTGTCTTAAACTCTGCTCATTTCGCAATAGTCATATTTCTCAACTAATACTAAACTGCTTCTTTATTCTAAAACTTACATTCAAATTACGATTATCTGTCTGATTTGATTCATAGTATAAATGGAAAATACATTAGTATAACTTTTATTTCCTACAAGTTCAAGAATGAATTTAGTTTTCAGCTATTTCTTAGACTTTATTCCCTCTATCCTCAATCTATTCCTATTCTTTCCTAACTCTGCATCACTATGTAAATCTCTATGCATCTATTTTTGAAGTGATATGAGTTTGTTGATGATCCATTTATATTTTAACTCCAATTAGGAAATTCATTATTTCATTTTAAGTGAAATGAGTCAAAATTCTTAATATGATTTTCATTAGGTATATATTGAAACACATTATCACATTGTATATCTCCTTATTTTATTATTTAGCCACCTGTGCAAATACATGTTCTAGTGGTGGAACATATAGTAGTAGTGCCTCTACCACTTGTGATCGATTTTGTGAAACTATCCCTCTTGGTGCATTCGGTACCCCTACTGGTAGTGTCGGAAGTAACGGTACTTGCTATTCTACGTCCACATTTTGTTCCGGTGGTATTTATACTATTCACCGTAATGCCTATAGCACTGTAAATTTTGATTGTGCGTCTGGTTATGGCTGTACAGGTTTCGGTGGTTGTTGCACTGGTGTTGGCAATATTTCTGCTCCGAATCATTACTGTATTTCATGTTCTTTAAACTAACCATCTTCATTATTCAGCGCTAAACAATATTCTATTTGTTTTCTCTTTGACATACACATTTCATCATTACGCTTGTTTTTATTCTCTGCCATACTTCACTCGTGTCTGAATTGAATTTAGCCATGTTTTATTTCATTACATCATTTTGTTCATTCAAAAGAAAATACATCAATCTATTTATGATCACTATTGTACAGTGTCAAGTTTTCTATTTGCGCAGACTGTACTTTCAGACGTTGAGAAGAAACAGCGTTCTATTCTTGTGAGAGAGAAAAATACTGGAAATCATCAACTCTATGGGAATATAAAACTTATAATTCCAGTATTCGAGTTTTTAACTTTCTAACTATTTCAATCATTCAGCTATTCGCCATTCTACACTCTGACTCTTAGATTCTTGAAATGAAATATCATTTCAATAAAAATCTTCATATTCCGTTACAGTTTCATCAAGATTAATTCAATTCTATTGACTTCGATTCATATAGAACATATTTCACTTGACGACAGACACGTTTCGATACACGTATATATGTAGAAAATAAATTCTAAAAAAAAGATAAAAACAAAATATTTCACTCCATCAGTTCAAATATTCAAAATAAGTGTAAAAGTACTGATTAGATTCTATTTAGCAACGAAAACTGGATCACGATTTATACTAAACAATACAAATCTATTTGTAACTAAATAAGACACTTGTGTAAAAACATAAACACAAATTTCAACAAAATCCATTGCTATTAATTGTTTATCCAATTCATGATGAACCAATGGATCTGTTCGAGTTGTTAATATTCGCGTATTTCGATAAGTCGTCAATCAAAATATCACTACAACGAAAGGAAAAGGGTCGGTTATCCATAAATGTGATATTGTTGAAAATAGGATCAACTGATATACAAATATCTTTATTTATTGGTGATATTTGTCGAAAATATGTCACATACAATATACTATGACAAATTCAAAAAATTGAAACAAAAATTGTAAGACGATGAGCAACTTTAATGTTTGACCATTGTGGACGAATACAAATTCGCAAATTTTGATCAATTATAACTAAATATAAAAGTGTAATTGCATTAAGAGAACATGATAAATCAACAAGACTTCGAATTTGACAATAAAAGAAGTTCAATTGATCGTAAATGACATGGAAATAATAACTAATGTTGTACTCATTATCAATCGAATAAAAATGAATGGTGATATAGAAAGAAGATAGAATGCATAGGAGTTTTGTCGAAATGCTTTTGAAATAAGAAGAATAATTGCGAAAAGTTGATTAATGAAACTTAAGAAATAAATGGGATTGGCGATATAACGAGAAAATTGAGATCGTGAATTATGATGAAATATAATTCGTATTCGTTTTCAAAATTATTTCAATAAATAAAAAGACGGATGAACATTTTGATTATACTTTGATACAGAAAAAAGATATTCAAGGAAAATACTTTTTGTATTACTTTTATAATAATCGAAAATTCTGTTGAATGATATTTAGGAAAGTATTCTAATCAGAATAAACGTTATGTAGAATCTATCAATTAATTTGCCAGAAATTGCAACAAATACTCAAAAAAATACATCAAATTCATTTTTCTTCTGTTTATCAGCTTAAACGCGTTACACGTCACACTGCAGACTATGATTTTGAAGTCACTATTTAGAGAATTTATTACTCTCATTTTATAGAACACCTAGTGGAGGTATCTGCTGTAAATTAAGACATATTTTCATCAGTTTTAATCCTCCCCCTCATAGTGAATAAACAGAAAAACCTTCTTTTATATATATATGCACACTATCGAACAGAATAAAGTTGGTTTGAACGATGTGTGTCTCTAGTTGACATTTTTAGATGATTCAGAGTTGAGATTATATGATTTATTGTTATATCACTGACTCATATTTATGTTTATGTTCTTTGTGATGAATTGCCACGTGTCGACATTTCGCTTTATGATGCAATACTAATATATACTACAATATTTTTGAAAAATAGTTGTTTGAAACAAAAGCATTACCCTTGATGTCTTCGCTTATCTGTCAAGTACCGTCAGATGTATCGGTTCCACCGCGATACATTGTAAATCTTGATTTACCGCCAGCAGTTAGATGGCAACACATTCTTCGGTTATATCTCGATGAATTTCATGCAATTGAAAAGAAAATTGATTCAATGGTTAGTGAAATCATTGGTCAATGGACAGGTCCAATACTTGAAACAGTTTTATCAGCAGTTATGTCTGGTATAACAAGATTGGGATTAGTTTATTACGGTGAAGAATTAAAAGGATTTTCTCAAGAAACAGGAATACCATTAGGAAAATTAGTTTTGATTCAATTTGTCTACGAATGTTTCGCATGTTGTACATCGATTGTATGTCAAGATAAACAAACAAAGATTCCAATACATATTCGAACAATGGACTGGGAATTAGATTTCTTGAAACCATTAACAATCGGTATTGATTTCTGATTCACGTCAAAAGTTAAATTATATTTTCAAATTTAGATGTTGACTTTCAAAAAAATAATCAAACGATTTTTAAAGCAACAACATGGATTGGATACATTGGGATTCTGACTGGAATGAGAGTACATAATGGATATTCTGTATCGGTGAATTTCCGACATACAGGTGGAGCATTAACAACAAATTTAAAAACAGCTCTAGCAAGGTAAACAATCTCGATTTTATACTGAGATTTTCTGTCTAGTGACATTTTTTTTTATTAATTTATAAGCGGTTGGCCAATTGGTTTTCTTGTTCGGGAAATCTTGGAGTCAACACATACTTATGAAATGGCTGTTGAACAACTTGCGCAATCAACAATTATTGCCCCATGTTATTTTACCGTGTGTGGAACAAAGCAAAGTCAAACAATTGGAACCTTATTAACGCGAAAACAAAATACGGAAGAGAAAAGGTAAATTATAAAGTGTAAACATTTATATATTCAGACACCTTTGTTTTATGAAAAGATGGATCGCGTCTGAACATGGAACAATTATACAAACAAATATGGATCATTGGAGTTCAGAGCCAAATGAAGATATTCTATTTTCGATTAGACGTCGGGATTTATCGAAACAACTGCTAAACCAAATGAAAACAATCAATGAAGAAAACTTATGGAAGGTAATTCCATATACGAGCAATCGAGTAGAAATTTATCAATCTACTTACTTGTAGTTAATATCCGAATATCCAATATGCAACAATATCACAATTTATGGAACATTCATGTGTCCAGAATATGATATTTATCATACGCGATATCCACAGGATGATATTCAATTTCGATCGAAAGAACAATCACAATTTATCCCAATAAATGAGTTGAAAGTAGGTTACTAGAATTTTATACTGAACAAGAATGACTTGTTTTTATTTTCAATAGACAATTTCTTCCTGTGCGTCGATACCATCCACTCATATTTGTCATAAATGTAAACGTGAATTTGATATCAATGATAATTCAGGTGGTGATTGTGCACATAGTGGCAAATGGCATGCAAAGTACGACGACTGCTCTTACTTAAAATGTGGTTTCCATTTGGGTAAAGCAGCCTCTATCGGTAAACAGCATTGGTCATGTTGTTATTCATTGGATCAGCATTCAAATATTTGTAGCAAAAGTGCTTCACACACTTTCATTAAACGATGAATGATTGCATGTTTGTATTTTTTTCCGTGAAAATAATGTAGAAAAATGAGACATTGAATCGTAGAATGATTCATGTGAAAAAGAACATTCTCGATGCATATACTACACGTTATGACAAAACATAACATCGTGTCCGTTTTCTCCCTTTTCATTTCAAACTTTGTTCGACAAAAGGTTGTTGCACAAGATAGCAGAGTGATAAATAAATCAATCAATAATATTGTGCAAATGTCTTCCTCATCATTATCAAATACTGATACTCTTTGCGTTGTATGTTCAACAAGAAGTCGTGCGCTGGCACTAGTACCATGTGGACACTTCAATGTGTGTGTGCAATGCGGACACGGTTTACTTAAATGTCCGACGTGTGAAACAAGTATTACAGCGCTGCTTCGGGTGTACGATTAATCTATATATATATATATATATGATCGGATGTTGTACTATAGATGATCATTTTTCAATAAGCTAGTCAAGAAATAACCGAACTATGGGAAAAAAATGTTGTATGTTCTGAATAAAATATGATAAATCAGATTCCTGACGTGTACAATTGATTTGTATTCACAAGAATATTTTTTAAAGCATTTACTGAGTACTCTGGAACGAATTATTTTCATAATTAAGAAAAGGGGGGGGGGGGGGATATCTTTGAAAAATATACTGACCAACCTATATAAAAATTACGAATCAGACTTGTTCATCGTACTAAACAGTTCAAAGTAAACGAATAGCGGATACGCCGACTATTCCATCACATATTTATGGTGTACCGATACAAATTCGTCACATTTATGTATAGATTCACCTATGCATGTATCTTTCCAGATGCAACGTCTTTCACACAGAAAAAATCTCCAAGAGTGCATCAGTGTTATGTGGAGAACAGTGAGCACAGCACATTTGCACAGATGGAAATAGTTTTGATCACCAAACAGCCTACATACAAATGATCATCTCAAAAAGATATATTAGATCATCAAAATTTACAAAAGAGACCATTGCATCATCTCTACTTTGCTCATTGAAATAACATTTCGTTATCTCAAATTGTCTGCTATTCAATCGGATTGAAGTACATTCAATGAATTTTTAGTGTAAAAAAAATCTTGCTCGTTAGTTGTTCCATTGGAATCATATACATGTTCTGTTGGTTTGAAAGTATATTCATGTAAAAATTCGGTTGGTCTTGCTAGGGAAAAAACACGTGTTTAGCCACTGAGTAAACGAAAAGGAAGAGAACGTCCAAAAAAGGTTAACAAAAACTTATGTTAAATAAGTTTTATCGAATTCAATTCTCTATTTTTTCTTGTTGTCATATACATATGATCATTATTTTTTGATACAATCTAAAAAATAAAGATAATGAATGAACTTTGAAATCTGGTGATCAAAAATATTTAATCCCCATTTCTACGCCCTCACATATTTTTACAATCTTGTTTCTTTTTCCTGTAAGTATTGTATTAATATAATTTCAATGAGTCTTCCTCATAATATTGTCATTTCAAACAACATCAGTATTAAGATAATGTCGCAGTTTCAAATGCGCTTTGAATATTTGGATCGATCACATAAAACATGACTAGATCGCCATGCTCGACGAGCGCAGAATACGGAGACATTAACAAAATTATTTGAACTTCGAGTGCGGAGAGATGGAGTGTGAGCATAAGTTTTATATAAAAATACTCGATCTAATGCATCTTGGATGGAGAGAAGTACCTTGAGATAAAATAGACCCGATGTCCTTTTCTGTGTGCTCTCTGCATTAATACCAACGGTAACTTTTATTTCTCGGCTCGTTTATATCTGAGTTTCCATGGTTGCTTCGAATATTTTCCTTTCCTAGTATAGAAAATCAACTTCATTCTGATTCATTCTTCATGCAGAACAATGACTAATTCTTCTAAGTGATTCACAATCGGTCTCAAGGATAATGACATTGTGATTGACTCATAGATATATTGTGTGTTCCATGCAACAAATGGTTACAGGCGTCATTACGCTTCGTGATGCATTACTAATATACAAAGTTATTCTTTTAGAAAACCAGTTCCAATGAAGTTTTCAAACCGAAAATACAAAACAGTGTCGTTAATGTCATCATTTATTTGTAAAATATCATCAGATTTACCTGTTCCATTCCATTACACTGTAGATCTTGGTTTATCAGCAGCAATCAGATGGCAACACATTATCCGGCTATATCTCGATCAGTCTCATGCAGCTGAAACGAAAACTATTTCGATGATCAATGAAATCATAGTTTAACTACTTGTAGCAAAAGTGTCTCACAAGTAACATAGAAGGCAAGACATCGATGCATACGAGAAAATCATATGCTAAAAAAAACATTCTCGGTTTACATACCCGGGAAAAAATTTTTTCGATCAAAACCGCAGTAGATCACGGTGCGAGAGGGCGTTGCTGTCGGCGGTTTAATTGAACCGCGAAAGTCAGACCTTTTATTAGGTTCTCTCACGCCGGCCGAAACCGCGGTGCGATAATACCGCGGTTATTAATGGTTTTTCGAAAAAAAAGTAATTCGCCATCATGGTGGTATATCATCACTGCTATCTATCTCATTATCATCTACTATCTTCACATGGACATTTCACACCTCGGTCAGCTCATTAGATACCACTTCCTATTTTTTATTCTTATTCTTTTAATTAGATTTGAACGGCTTACCTTATGATTGTAGTCCCCTAATTCCATTGAACCATCTGGTGATGTTCATATTAAGATTGAGTGATATAGTCTTTCTTGTCTGTATCGAGAAACTTTCCGATTTCGATCGATGCGTTTCATTTACTAGTGGGTTTATATGAGTCTGACGAATACTAAAGACCTCTACAGATTTCACAATTTTTCTAACTTCTCTAGATGCTCAAATGACAATAAACTATGCACTATGTAGCTGAAAGACTCCTATTTATCATCTATATTGATGCTTAGTGATGTTTAAATGAATAATCTATCTTGATGAAGTTACACTTAGAAGAAAAACATTCGTTTATTACAATCGTGTAGTTGATTGATCGTGATACTGCGTATTGTTAAATGACCTAACGAGTTGAGAGATCATAACTGCTATATCTGTAAATCGATATTTTGAGAAAACAACACATATAGTATTTAGTACACGTATCTCAAATGTATCCGTCAAAAAAGATTTGTACAACACTGAAAAATCTGTGGTGAATAATAAACTCTCCAAAATGATTTATCAAACTGGTAAACTCTTTAAGATACGTTTCTTCCGTTTATTAGCATCATAAATCTTTTGATATACTGTCTCTTGTGATCTACTCAAAAAAGTATTTTATATGTTGCAATCTGATAAACGTTTTAGGTTATATCAAAAGATTTATGATGCTAATAAACAAAAAAAATGTATCTCAACGAATTAATCAGTTTAATAAATCCCTTTGGAGGGTTTATTATTCCCTACGGATTTTTTTGCAGTGAATCTACGTTTGAGTTTCAACGATAAACTAAATTTTTAATGAAATACATGTATGAGAGCAAATTGACGTTTATTAAATCTTTATATACCTCTAACGATGAATATTATCCACATGGGTGAGCTTATCTGTAACAAAGTACTCCTTGTTTGAATATCTTCAAGGTACATTTCAAGACAGATAATAATAGAGAGGATGCTCAGTTTATTATAGGTTGATAAAAAACAAGTGCGTTTATATTCTCTCGTTAACTTTTCTAGTAAATCATGCCGTTTATCAACTAAAAGAGAGATACATCGATTTGAGTTTGAATTCCTTTTTATCGTACCGTGATTTAAAGTATCGAAGTTGTTGCGATACATTCCCATAACAAAAAATAGATGAAAAGTCTAATTAAAAACAAGAACTAAAGTATTCTGGACACCGATATCCTTAGGGAAAATTTGAAGATCGCAGAATATAAACTTGTGGCAGATGGCGTCTCTCAAATACCGCTGCTAATCTACATTTCACCGCGCATTTTCGAAACCGCGGTCTTGAACGGTGATCACGTCGCGATTTGTTTTCAACATACCGCGATATATTTATGTTGCACTGCACCACACCGCTGTTGATCGCGGTTTCTTTTCGACACAGCGACCTTCAACGGTATAACCGCAGCCATTATGAAAAAACCGCGGCGATCAGCGGTATCTGTTTCAAAGTTTTCTCGTGGGTAGTCTATGCTATGAGAAAAGCATAACATCGTATCGTATCAGGATGATGCAATGCAAGGAAATGTCCATTTTTCACTTTCTACTTTGCTGTATAAGCTGTGCATGCAGGCGAGCTGCTAGTATTTTTCTTTACCTTGCAAAGTGTTTCACAGGTATTAGTTTTTCACTCTACGAAGGAATAACGCGGTATATTTTGTTAAATTATCTTCTCCATGTGCATCATCATCAAGAGCCTTTTGCAGTTTAATCTTCGCCATGTCTCCTCACGCTTTGCTTCTATTTTGTCACACTTCAACATGAATTGGTAGTTTACTTATTAATCTCAATAAATAGAACTCATTTGCGCACCTCAAAGCTGACTATGAATATCATACTGCGGGATGACTTTTGCCGATCAAATTTTCATATATTAAATGTCTTGCTCTCTTGATATTTACAAGGTACATTTGCATGAGCTTTATTTAAAACGCAATTGGTCAAAATAACGAAAAGTGGTACGCAGAGCCATCATACGATACATTGGATCAGAAAATATACATACGCATATAGAACCCTGGAATCTAGGTCCTAGCATTAAAGGCAAAGCATAAGTACATTACATAAAAGCGAGGAGAAGACGTGATTGACTAGTGATCTACTACTTATTTACGACGTTACATATCCAGGGTGAAGAAAAAAAGTCTCTCTCGCGGCGTGTTCAGCAGTAATATATATATATATATAAATAGAATGAAAACGAAGAAGAAATTAAAAGAAAAACACTTCGAAAACAGCGTAAAACATACCATATCAAACCTTGTAGGTTTACAGAATGCTCCAAGTGCGCTATGAACTTTGTGTATAGAATAGTTCATATTTGTTACTTTTCATTTCAGAAATCAAATGCTGGTATCACAGAAGTAGGCAAACAGCGCGAATCACAGGATAAAGCAGTAAGCAATGGACAGTACTCTGTTTCAGCTACTACAAATACTAGTCGTCAGGGTGGTACTATCACAGTGAGTCGTTTTCGCATATAAATACCACACAGTCAACAATGACAAACTTCTTTTAGCAAACCCTCTTACTGTCTTCATCACTTTTCGATCATGTGAAAAAATTGCCGACACTTATTTTGACTCTTCGAGACAAACTTAGCGATAAGCTGTCTAAAATGTCGCAACAAGAACAAGATCAGTATCTCGAGCAACATCTCAATGATCTTCATGCTATGTTGCATCGTAATATTAACGATTTTCAAGAAATAGTGCTCAGTGCTCGTCCATCTATGGACCAAGTCAATACACCTGGTTATGATCAGCAGCGAGAAATGTACAATCAGGTTTTACAAATAAGTACTGCAATGATTAAAAGAATGCGAGAGACGATCAAAAAGACAATGGATGATTACAAACTGTTCATCGAAGAAGTGTGGAACGCAATATGTGCGGGGCAAAGTTCATCGCCAATGCTCAGTAAATTCCAAGCGAAACTCGAGCAGATGATGAAAGAATCATGGGAGCCAATCTTCGCAGATGTTGAAAAACTGAAAGCTGAGATAGCCCACTGTAAAAACGCACAAGGTCATTCAACCTAACGTTATGCGAATCCGCGTTTTCATGATGTTAGAATCATGTGCTATGGATTTTGTTTTTGTTGTCTTTTTTCAAAAGAAAAACACAAGATGAATTGCGATGTTTTTTTTATTACTTTTCATTTGTGATTCAAGTGATTTTGTGTTCATTTAATCCATATCAAAAAGAAGAAAGTATTTTCTTTTCTAGATATTGCAGTCTCGAGTTGAACTGTGATTTTTTTCTGAGCAATATTCACTTACTTGCTACTTATTACGTACACGGACAAAGTAATATGTAAGTGATTGCTACTGATCCTATATGTTCATCCCATTTAAGCAGCTCAGAGGGATAAAAGAAGAGTATATTGCCTAAGGATCTGTCGTAGTTTTCAAGCGCACAACTGATCAGATCATTTTGCTATGATAACGCAATCAGTCGAGAAGAATCCTCTTTTGATGATTTTTCATCGATGTGTTGGATATATATATTTCTTGTTGCAGACAATGGTCAACCAGGCGTTTGAAGACGTTCAAGCACAATTCAAAGAGAATACGAAAAGTGATATCCGACATCTTCAGTGCTTCGTAGAGAATAAATTTTTAAAGTCAAGCAACAACGATACAGCCAAGTTGGAATCGATTTTTCTTGAAGAACTTGAAACAACTCGACAGAATGTAAATGATAATCTTGATCAGATGAAGCGAGCAGTGTTGGACAAGAAGCCGGCAACAAATGCACCTGATTTTGAGGTCAAGAATGCTGAATATGCTCAACTACTTTCAGTTGCTACAAAAGGCTTTACTATGTTACGCGAATGGATTAAAAGTCTTTTTGACCAGGTGATGCAAGTAATCAAAAGCATTATTTCTTGGATTGCAGAGAATATTACTGTCGTAGCTAATGCAGTTGGCAATTTCTTCATTCGTATATGGACTACGTTTTTCTGATGCCTTCTCTACGAGGCAATGGATGTTGTCTTGCTTTTGATCCTCAATAAAGACTTCCTCCGCATATTCTTCCATCTCATTTATTCTAATATATTTACACTTTACAAATGTATCAATTACTCGTTTACCTGAAATCTGTGAATAACTTTGTTCTTGCTACATTGGCTAGCAGAGAACTTTGTTTTACTCTTGAAATCTCGTTGATAGATGCATATCGTCGAGAAAACACTTTGATGCTTACCTTATTTACGATATCTATCATGAGATTTGCCGAAAACACTTCGAAATTGATTAAATGACCACAAGCCACATATCATTCATCATCGTTAATATCGTTCGGAATCTTATCTTCTAGTTTATTTGATGAAACTATCGCGAAACAAAGTAAAGTTTGCGGTTCAAAACCAATCTACTTCATGAAATCCAAACGATAGAATTTCAAAGAGAAGACAGAAACGACGCCTCTATACCACAAAACGAAAATACACGTTTCATCGCCGTGTATAGAAGAACAGAAAATAGAACTTGATCTTTGTTTTCTTTCATTTATAAATAAGATGACTAAACCAATGCACATATCATAACATGGCGATGATGCACTCGATTCTTTTAATAATATTAATCACATGTCAAGTATGAAACCAAAAACATGAAATATCGATCAAACTAATTTAATCTTTGTTTATTTTCATATCAAAAAGATCTGTACATCCACAGTTTTATTTCGTCTAACAAGTAAAAATCCAAATGTTTCAATCGATTTCAGTTATTTTCTGGGCACAATGCACGTTTCGCAAAATTTTATTTGGCCTTATCTTTCAAACGAAACAATGCGAATCTTCAACGACAGTGAACAGATCTGGTTCGAACATGATTTTACTGATCCAGCTGTCACTAAACATATCTATACATGTGCAGTTGATAGAATGACACCAGCACTATTATCTCGTATCCGCACAAAGACATGGCCAGAGTTTCTCAACGAAACATCAAACAGTCTTTCATCGAAATCGCATAGTATTTTCTCTCGATGTCTCATTCAAATAGCCAATGTTAGATCGTTTTCTAGACATTGAACAATGGCGAACATGGTTCATAAATAAACAAACAAAAACGAACAGTTATTTCACACGTAATCACTCTGTTGACAGTGATATTATATTTGATCATCGATTAGTTCTCGAAGCCTATCGACATAAAAAGGTCGTTGGTTCACTTGAACCGATTCCCAATGATTGTTTTCAAGTAACTATTGATAGTAAACCAATTTGTCTGACAATAAAAGTTGATTTGTTTAGATGGCAAGCCCAATCAATGGAACAGATTCGTCAAAATCATCGGATTCGAAACAAAACGAATTTCTTTCTTTTCTTTATAATTGTGACTTAGTTGATGGTGATTTTATCAAGACGCTGTACAAATATTTAGATATAATTAAAATGAAACATCGTAATGAGAACATCATAAAACAAATCCGAAAATTATTACAAAACAATCCTCATACAAAGTATCTTTTTGCTGTTGGTTCAGGTAATTCATCTTGATTTCTCATAGACAAACTCGACTTTCGAAATCTTTAGCTCATCTCTTTGGAAATATCAGCATTCTTCATATGTTACAAGAACAGTATCCCAATGAATATCATATTCAACGAATAAATGTGACAAGTCCATATTTTACGCATCAGTATGAATGAATTCGTTCTTCCTATCAGAATCTTATCGTTTCTTTTGATAGAAATTGTTCAGATAATGAATTTCACCGGTTGACCAATAAAATGAATCGAAGTGTAAACCAGACGTTTGACAAAAGATTCATCGACAATGAACATTTATATCAATTAGCTGCATCGTTTCTCAGTTAAAATCTTTTCTTTTTCAAATAAACCATTCAGTGATCGATCCTTGAGATTAACTCTTCGACTTAACAAAAGATCAGATCTTCTTCATCTCTTCTTCAATACCAATGACAATGAACAATTAACTTCTACATATTCGTCTTTTTTTTCGTATTAGTATTAGAAAATGATCAATAGTTTCTCTCGTTGTGATTTCGTCACCGATAGAAATCATTTCGTTGAAATAGAACAAAAGAAGAAGATTAGTAGTCTTCTCTTCTATCTTTCGTCGTATATCGTTTGTTTTCAAATGTCGATGTAATAGAGAGAGAGAGAGAGAGAGAACGTGTACACAGATGTGTGAGAACATGTAGAAATGAATGTGGGTGAAGATGAATTACATATTCTTGGTCTTTTCTCTCGTCATTATGAAAGGAATTTCGCATTGAACATATACATTCAAATCTTAACACATCTCATTCATTAAATAATGGATAGTTAGTTAAAAGCGATATATATCACAATGAGATGAAGATTAATCATGATTCGATTTCAATTAGTAGTAATATTCTTAACAATAACAACTGGTCCTTTTGATCTGTTCAATCGAATTTCATTTGGAGTTCATGCTCGATGTAAGTCGTAATGAAATTCGTTTTAGGGCAAGTAAAGATTACGATTGTTTTTTCAGTTTTCGAATATGAACTACCAAATCGAACGATCACAATATGTCCAAGTTATTCCTTAATCGCACTTGAATGTCCACAAATTCCGTCTCTATTGGATCAACATTCATGGCGACCGGCCACTCCGAAATATTTAATCTCAATTGATTATATTCGTTCTTTTCCATTGCGACTTGGTTTTGATCCTCGATCATGTCAACCAGATCTAGCTCACGCTTGTAATAACTATGATCTACGTTATATCAACACATTATGTAATGGAAAACCTCAATGTTCGGACATCTCTGCTTATCAAATACGTGAACGAAGTTTGTGTGCTTTTAAAGCTGTAACAGAAATTGGCTTTCATTGTGTTCCCACATGGAATTTACCTGAAATTCAAACGAAATGTGACATATGCCAAAATACTTCTTTGACCAGTGATTATGGTTTTATTTATTCACGAAATTATCCACTGAAAACAACTCGTATGTCTTGTTTTACGACGATTTATGCTCGTCCGAATCATAAAATAGTTCTCTATTTTGTCGATGGAGAATTAAATCACGATCAATTGAGAATTGAAAGTGTTACAGCGAATGGAATGTCGATATTAAATGTGAGTTTAAATGGAAATTTATCAACACAAAGATTAGCAGCATCGATTTATCAAATGAAAATAACATTTCTTCCGAGTCAAGTTTATTCTTATCATCCAACATATTATTTACTTTACTTTTATATGATACCAATCTGTTCGATTACTGAACCATGTTTACCCTCTCCGCCTTCGATTTTAACAACGCAACCTATCTATCCGATTAGGACGACGAGTCGGACGAGAATTCAATCTGTTGGATGGACAAAAATACCAAGTAAAAATGAAACTTTGTTCTTTGTTTTGATAAAAATCCTTTTTTCGAATTCATATAGACATATGGATCGTTATTCCAGTAATACTTGCCTATATTTTACTTTTACTTCTTATTGTTGTTCTCGCACTCTTACTACAGTAAGTCCATTCTTACTTGTGAAGAGCTTCCTATTAATTTTACCTTTAAGGCGACGTCGTAAACAACAAAAGCCACCCATTCCTTCACGATATTTAAACGCAAGCGGCACATCAAGTCGAGCTCATCTAGTAACTCCATTACCACCAGTGCCACCGAATCCAGGTATTAACTATGATACTCGTTCATCTCGTCGTCGTCAGGCAAGTGTCTCTCAAAGTATCCATCATCCGTTTCCCGCATCTTCATTTATCCAAAGTTCCGATCATTATTATCGTTCAAGTCGAAGCGATTTTGATCTTCATCAAAACAATCCCAATGGTATCGATTATCGTTTTCACTCATCGATACCTTCCCGTACTCGTCCTCGTACATTGAATGATACCTATCGTGGCTATGATACAGTTGATCGTGAATCATACAATCTCGATCGGACTAATTATCGTCGTTCAATTCCTAAATCATTTTCTGATTGTGATTTATGCAAACGACGTGTTATCGATGAAGAATATCTCAATAAATATGATGATAATTGGCGCTTAGAAAACAGTTCCGAACGTCCCAATGAACCGCGAACATACCGAGACAAGATCAAAGAACGTGTTCGTGAACGATTAACCATTCGACAACTTCCCGACACTGACACTCTTCCACCGTCGTCAACCACAGTTGAATATTCTACAGTTTTACCACGTCATCAACGAATCGCAAGTGAATCCAACCAATCTGTTCGACATTTACCATTCGAATATATTCCAAACGAAAAGTCGACTTCTGAACGTTTAACAACAACAAATAATCCTCATCCAACCGAAACTGGATCAACCATTTATACAACGAAGTTTTACGATCAGGATAATCTCGAACGACGTTTTCAAGATCCACGAGAAATTCAAGAGATGTCGATGAGAGTAAATGAACAACAAAATTACAACCAATATCCATATCATCATCAACAACAAAGATATTTTAATGAAAATACAAGTGAAATTTGATTTGAACTGTGTTTTGTTTTGTTCATGGTCGATGTAAATGTCTTTGCGTCTTTTTAAATGTAATTCTTAGACACACATCCTTGAATTTCAATCTATAACGTGACATACAAAATCGTTTGACACTTCTCAACTCGAATAATCCCTTTCATCTGATTTACAAATCTTTGTTCTTTCAAAAGATTTTTCTTCTATTCAATGATTTTAAAAAAGCAAGAAAACAGACCGAAAACCAACTCATCATCATAGTTATTAAACAAGACGATATGTTCTCTTAGTGTTCTCTCTAATCTAAGTAAATATCTTGTTAAATGTCAATTTTAACATAAGAGGATTGAAGCAAAACTCATGTTCATACTCATTATAAATCTTCTGCTTGAGAAAGTTTCTTTTACTCTGAGCATTGCTCGTTCAAAACGAAGTAAAATATGAGTTTTACAAATATGTCAAATTTTATTAATATTGAAAGGTCACTCGGTCGCGGATTATGAAATCAAAATCATTTCAGTTGTATTTCCAGGCAAAAATAATATCCGTATTCGAGACATTTACGTCTGAACTCATTTTTCAACGAGTAACTAGAAAATTATGTATAAAGACCTCTGGCGAAATTTAATAACAGAGCGAGGTTTTTTATCCTACGGAATAAGGTACATTCCTCGTTCAATGTTCATCATTTTCTGATACTTTCGGTTATAAACAGAGTGTAGTGAAATAGAAATATCTCTTATTTTCAATTGAAGTATTGTTTTTCAACAAGTAAATATGAACTCGCTTCTTCAAATCTTGTTCTCAATGGTTCACATCCGATAAGATCAGACTTACTTTCACTAAGCTGACAAAAACGTCCTTATCTATCATCAAGCAAGAGGAATAGATTTGATATATTTTTCAGATATATAAGAAAAGCTGTAGAAAGATGAAATAAACACATTCTTATTGCCATCAAGCTGAACTATGAATGAATCTTCGGCTCCTATTAGTCGACTAATTATATTTTATATTTATGTTGTTCTGCTTGTTCCATCATGTCTCTGCTGTCTTTTGATTTTCTACAATTTCCTTCGAATGCCTCAATTACGAAAACAACCAGCAAATCAAACGATTTTTCTATTATTAATCATCTTGTTCATTGAAGTATATCAAATATCCATTTGATTTCTCTTGAAAACATCTGTTCGTTTTCCACTATAGATTTTAATCGATCTGCCAATGCGTCTTTATTATTTATACGAAAATCAAGTTGCTATTCAAACGGGCGGCTTTTGTATGTTTTGGAATTGGATTGCTTCAGTATTGAACATCATTGGGTTACATTTAATGGCATTTGCTTCAATTGAACGACATTTCTTCATTTTCAACAGTCAATTCCGCGCACGACATCGATTTTTGTTATCGATCATTCCGATGATTCTCAGTGTTATTTATCCATTAGCGTTTTATACAGGAACTGTTTTTGGTTCATGGTGGTGTGCGAATACTTATGATTATTCGGTATTGGCTTGTGGTGCGCCTTGCTATTTAATCACTTCAGCGTTTTTCCCACTTTTCGGCATTTTAACTCATCATGTTCTACCAGTATTTATCGTTGTTTTCGCTAATGTCATTCTCGTTATTCGCGTTTGCCATCAGAAAACTCAAATGTGTCAAGTCAATATTTGGCGAAAGACTATTCGTATGAGTGTTCAGTTACTATCTATTGCATTTACATATATAATTGTTTGGCTTCCTCAATGTGTTCTCTTTATAATGCTCGCATTAGGAAGTGGAGAAGTTTCAACGATAGCAGGATGGTTAATTTATGAGTTTACGGGTAATCTCACTTCGTTGACTGCGGTATTTTGTCCATTTGTGATGTTAGCCGGTCTTCCTAAGTTATGTCACAAGATAAAACGAGATTTCGAAAAGGTGTTTGTTCGACAAAATATAGTAGTTCCAAGTCATTTGGAATTAGTTAATACTGGTCGACAAATGAGAACACCAAGAGCAAATAGCTGAATATCGTCAATGGTTTGATTTGTTGGAATCTTACAAATATGAATATCTTTTATATTGAAATATTTATGTAGTATTCATTGAGTGTTGTTTCGCTTTGCTTTCGATGTTGTGCACATAAATCTGTAATAAATATAGGAGGTTTCCCGTATGATGGCAACAGTTTTTTTTTGTTTGTTTCGATGTGAATCTTTTCTGGTGTAACGTCATATTGTTCAATAAAGGGAAGAAACCAAGACTAATTATTGTCTCTCAATACGGCAAATATGTAGAACCACGTATTATTGAAATATAGAATATCATCGTAACTATCTGCCAAATCACTATCCTTTTGTTCAAAATGAAGATTTATTTTTATATAATATTTAAGGTAAATTGTTGTAGCTGGATCATGTGAGTAATATATAAAAGAAACAGAAGATTAGTAAACATATATCAACTGTCTATTGTCTTCCATAGGCCGGGTAGTCTTCGCGTTCCTATTTGCTCCCAAATTAATGTTTTTCAAATCGAATCGGATGGTACTTATGTATCATCGTCAGAAATATTCATTTGGAATAGAGAATTGTTCTTCATCAGTGTGCACGATTAATCTACTTTCAATGTGTGAGTTCCGAAGGATGAAATCGAGTAGATCTGAAAGTATCGGTAAAAGCTGATGTGTATGTGTCTTCTCAGTGAACATTTGTTGTACGATTTACTTTTAACTTTATCGAAAAAGATATGAATATTATACAGTGGAATGTGTCTAAGACGATTTCTCATGATTATTTCGGATTGTTTTACCTAGAGAATCATTGTTTCTTCTTCGTCAGATTTAATGATTAACCCGTCCATCAAGGATAGTTCATAAAATTAAAAAATTCACAAAAACCTTGACAGAATATGTTTATTTGACTTTATTTTTCTCAAACATTGACATTAAACACATTTATCTGTTGTCAAATAACAACTAGATATTTGCCAGTATATATCACGCATTTCCTTCATTCATCACCGACATTGCCTATATTTGCTTTTGTCATTCTCGTATTTTCTAGATAAAGCTCTTCAGAAATATATATATGCGATACTTTATCCGAAGATTTGTTAGTAGTTTAGAAAAAGAACTTGCACAATGAAGCTTGTTGTCGTTCTTGCTCTATGCTTATTAGTAGGTGCACAAACTATTCATTCTCTATGGAAAATGATTAACTTATTGTGAATGTTTAGGTCTGCTACATTCATGTGACATCAAGTGAACCATCTGGAACAAAGAAACAAGCGACGAAAAAGGATCCAAAATCAAAACCTGTCAATGGTCCAACTAGTCATTCGAAGCCGAAAGAAAAACACGGTGCGCATGGAAAACACCCGACAAGTCAAGATGGAAAAAAAGCGAAAAGAACTCCTCAAAGTAAATTATTCTTTACCTTTTTACTATTCTTAAAGGTTCTCTTTAGTTCGAACACCGTTCGATAAAGTTTTGGAAAAGTTAATGACATGTGCCACATCATCACCTTCATTAGTTGAAGTTATGGAAAGCAATCTGAAAGATATTCAAAACGATGAAAAATACCAATCATTGTTCAAAGCTGCTCCACATACGGCTGCTTATCTGAAAAAGAACAAAAATCGTCCTGAGAAGTTCATTCCCGGATTACAACAAGCCCTGTCTGCTGATTGGTCAAGTCCAGCATGGAAATCAGCAGATGAAATTGAAACACTCTTTCGTCCATTAAAACAACAGTTTGTTTACGCAATGATGCGATTCAACTGCACATCGTGATTTATAAATATATCAATAGATGAGGCAGAACTTTTTATTTCATACTTCGAATAAACTCTTATTCAACGCTTTCACTTTCTCTTTAAAGAACAAAGGATGAAGTCTTGGATAAATGAGAAAAACATAGAAGATACTTTTTTTTAAAAAGGTAAATAACTTGGCTTAGAGGAATCAATTTGATTAAATATTATAAAAAGTGTTACAGCTGAATACACATCATGTACAAATGATTTTAACAAAAAAAATATATTAAATAAATTCTGAATTTAAATTTTCTAAACTATTTTTTGGACTTTGATCAATGACATCAAATCACGCTCATCCGCGTATTGAGAACGAAGAAGTTGTTCTTGTGTGCTTTGAGATGAAGATGAAAACATCTCATGTAGGTTATTTGAGACTGATGAAGCCAGAAGATTTATCTAAAACGAATTCGGATCATTGTTTAGAGATATCCTAACACTTATTATCGATGTTTGATGATCCAAATTTCTAGTGAACGTGCTAATATGCGCTTTTGAAAACACAGTAAATGAGAATAAAATTTCGACCATTCTTGTTTCTTGTTTTAGTATTACATTTTATTCAATTATTCTTGATATTTATTGATGAAATTGAAATTATAGAAGAAAGTAAAACCACATGGCTACTTAAGCTGTACACTGCTTATCAGATTGCGTGCAATGTCTATCGAAAAACAACTCGATTGCAGTATAAATCAGAGCCAATAAAATACCATCTTTCCTTGTTAATTTGTTCAACAAAATACAAAGAAGCTTTGTTTGCGGCTGAAGTAGGTCAGTCCCTACAGACAGAACTAAATAAACACTTGTATTAGCATAATTCTCAGTTATTGTCGTCCATAATGTCACCAACACCTTCACCCTCAAAATAATGTAATACAAAGCCCACTTCTACTCTTGTTTATTTACTATTCAGATGATGTTTGTATTTTAGTCTTCTTCTCAAACGTCACCAGCATACAATGATAATTTGGAATTGAAGATTCGAGCGATAAACAAAACGAACATGTCATTGACAAAGGCCAACAACAATTTAACTGAAGATATGAAGAAAATTAAGAAGGCGATTCTTTTGTTGTCAAAAGCCAATGACAATTTAACTACAGACATGAAAACAGTTAATGAAACGAACGGATTATTGGTGGATCGTTGTAACGATTTGGAAAAACAATGCAATCAGCTAAGTTTACATCCAATTCTGTCGGATATGTTTACTTATCTGATTAACCTGTTAAGTTTATCATCATATGGTATACGAACTTCTGGCATATCCGTTAACAAACTACGTGAATGTTTAGAAAGTTCAGTTCCAAACTTGGGAACAATTGATGACGTCGACATATCTTCGCTTGCATCAAATATTCTCAATGATTTATCAACAGCGAATATATTTTCAAACAAAGAATATGAAATTGCTGATTTTGATTCCACCATCGAATCACTCGATCGTTTCCTTTATCAGCAATGATCAGCGAATTGTCACTTTCGTCGACTGTGACATCAGTCGGATGATTTAACTGATCGATTTTGTTCCCTTTTGCATCGACGTAATTTTCATCCGCTGTCCATTTCATAATCCGCTGATTTCCTGTATCGACAATAAATATATTATTATCTTTATCGATAAACATTCCACCTGGATCTGAAAGTTGATTTATTCGTTTTCCATTTCCATATCCTCCGACAATTGTCAAACCATTTTGTTTCCATTTGCTGAGATGTGATTCTAAAAGACGAAAAGCAAAAAACAACGTGAATGTCAGCCATTGTCTTCATTTGAGTATTTATCTTCAACATACTTTTTGTTGATTTAATTGAAATTTTCTTGATGAAATTTTGTATATGTCCTTCTTCGAGAGAGAGATCGTTGATGGACCGTAGAATTCTTTTGTAATCTTAATTAGTTTCTCTTTTAAATCTTTTAGATTGTTTTCATTCACTTCATTTTCTTCTTGAAGATATTTGATTTCTCCAATTAACTTTTTGAATTTCTCTTCAATATCGTAAATGAACACTTGAATTTCCTCGATGATTGTTCGTCGACATCGCTGAGCTGTTCGTTGAATTAATTCGATGGAATCTATTTCCCATTGATTGATTCTCTTTACGAAAGGCGAATCGTGTAGATTTTGTTTTAGTTGATGGATATTTTCTCCAAATTGATCGTAATCATTGATAATCGCATTGAATTCTTCGTTTAGCTTTTGTCGATGTCGCACTAAATCCTCAAAACAGAATTGATTTGAACAACCCGGACACGGATATATTATTTTATGTTTATTGCAAAGACAACATTGGGTTTTGTCGATCGCGGTTGCCATCCTGCTCTCAAATGTTCTCAAAAAAAGTCTAAGTTGACAGAGATAAAAAGATAACTCTTCGGTCAAAGTCAACAAAAATAACGATATGCAATGAAAAGACGCTCGATAAATACTAAACTTTCAATATTGAACATATCTCGAGAATGAGAGTGGAGATATCATTTCGTTAGCACCTTCCCATCGACATACTCTTCATTTTTCCAGAATTCTTTTTCAATTCTAATTGTCGTTCTGTTACCATAGACATCTGCAAATAAAATCTGTATGGTCGGTTAAATCAACCGATGAAAACCTTTCGAAAGTTTGTTTTTCTTTCTCTACTTCCGTCCTATTCTCGACGATAAAAGTCAAAAACGATGAGTGGTGGTATCCAATTTGTTCGTGAAGAGTTGCACCGGTTACAAACCTCCCTCGATGAGGACAAGTCAACATTTGTCACTAAATTAAATCAAGTTCGAAACGATGTTTTTCAACATATTGACAAGCAAATTCAAAGATTGCGACTAATCCAAGAAGGTTATGCTGAAAGTTTTCAGTATCTCGAAGAGGAAAATTACAAAACATGCGACGAAAATCGACGCAGTTTTGATCGACTATGTCTATCGATTAATCAAAATGCAGAAAAAGCGTCTGATTTGTTAAATTCATTCCGAGAATCTTTTCCTCATCGACCTCGCATGTTGAAAAATATTCATGAATATGACTTCACCGATGTTTTCTTAGACAGTTTTATCCAAGACAAACGAGACTCGAACAGTCAATTTATTCCAATTAATGATCAGCCTGAAGTTCAACACACTACGAGTTCAATTGGTCAATCACATCATAAACAATTCGCTGAGGAGTAAGTTTTGATTTTGGAAAACGTCAGTTGAAATCTTTTCTTTAGAAATAATCAAACAAATTTCGAACCGCAATCGCGATTAACTTCGACTTGTTCCAGTTCTTCAAAACCTGATGAAATGATTGATATGTCGTTTAAAATTCCTTATAAATCTGACCGATCACCACAATTAATTTCTTTCAATTCCGACGAAAATTACTTTTTAGTTTATTCTATTAAAGCCCATAAACTCGTGTATTTATCAAATCAAACACCTGAATCTGTCAACATAGTTCTTCCGTTTAACAAAAAACTTCTCAATTTTGGTTATTCCAAATTTCATCGTTGCTTTTATTTCACATCTCGTCAAACGAATTGCTTCGCATTATTTCGATTAAATGATCGACAAATAGAAATTATACGAGAACTTCCATTAATCAATACAAATGAACAGTTTATTAGTGGTCACATCTATCAAAATCTCGTTCATTATATCTATTCATTATCATCTAAAGTTATATTTGCAAAATATGACATGGAAACATCATCTGATTTGGAAAAAATTAATCTCGAAAATCATCTTTATGATATTGAGGAAAATATTAAATATCGTCTCATTGATTCCACAGTTAATGAGTCATTTATCAGTTGTTTAGTACAATTAAATTCGACAAAAAAATGGAGAATTGCCATTTATGATATTAAAGATTTCGAAAGGATTAATTCATTTGATTTAATCGATGCCAGAAATCCTTTGTCCATTGTTTCTGCGGAGAAAAGGTAAGAAGAATTGACGAAAATTTCTTTTCTCTAATTTGTTTTTCTTTGTCAAGAGAATTTCAATGCTCGGCAACAACAACAACAATGCAAAATGATAATGCTGAATATTCATTATTGTTTGTAAATGATCCCGAATCTCATTTCATTCATTGTTGTGATCATTTTCAATATCAAACACCGATTCAAGTTAATGCATTTGGAATTTGTGCTTTAGATGACGGAAATTTAGCATTGATTGGTAATAAAGACCTTCGAGGATTGAATGTTCAACGTTATCTTAAACAAAACAACGTTCAATTATTCACCAAAGAAGATTAATCGACTATTTTTTTAAATATTTTTTTACGAATTGTCCATTTATATGTATAGAAATACATCATAGTCATATATTAAAAATGCATTGAAATCTGTTCGTGAACATTCACATGAAGGAAAAGTTGAGTACAGATAAAATATTCAGTTTATATAACGAAATAATAATGTTCAACATCCTTAAGAGTGAAGACAAGAGTTGAATCTCCAATTGATTACTTCTATTATGTTCAAAAAGAATATCTTCGATCGCTAGTGCATAAATCTGTCTTTTAAGTTGACTCAGAAAAAGTCAATTTTGTCATTCAATTCAAATACTATTATCTCGGTTTTTATGAATAATGTTTTTGACTTTTTGTTATCAAAATCCGTTCTTATTTTGAGTACATTCAAATTTAAAAATAACAATCCGAAATGAACCTACGAACGATAAAATCACATGATACTTCTTGATTTATTTATCACAAAAAACTGAAGTGTTATTAAATGTATTAGTTTTTCTTTGAAATACAATTTGCGTATTGTTCAATGCGTTTGTTCACATTCTGTACATCGATTTGAAACTTTTCCGATAAAGTTTTAGCGAGTTCACTCGATAAATCAATTTTTTCTTTAAAAATAATAATTCCATTTGTATATTTTCCATAAAGATCACGTTGTTGTTTTGATACTTTGCTCATAATCATTGTCAATGGATCATTCGCTACTTTTTCTTTCTCTGTTCGAATTTCTTCAAAATCAATTCCACAAATTCCTTTCACTTCATCTCTTCTTACAAGAATATTCCATGTTCCTGAATCACCAATATTCAATAAATACCGTAAATACATATGTTGTAAACACGCTTGAAGAATTTGTTTGTTTTCATCTTGAAAATTTGATTTATCTTTTTCTAATTCATTCAATCGATTGATATGCGAACCTCGTCGAAGCACTTTGACATTACTTTCAATTTTTGTTGTCACGATTTCCTGATCGTTTTCTTCAGTGGATAATTGTCCCAAAGCTTTTTGTTTCAAATAATAATCATTTGTATTCGTAATCTTAACGATCGAACACCAATCAACGATCGATCGAAATTGATCAGGAATCTTTAAATATTCTTCAAGTGTTATCAATGCACGTGTAAAATATAAATTGTAGAAGAATCGTTTTCGATCACCTGGTATACTGGAAGAATATGGACCTTTGTAAACGTAATCCGATGAGATGAATACAGCTTTCTTACGAACACTTGTTCGACATTGACCTTGTGCAAGTTTGGATAATTCATCAGTTACAAATGATTGAAATTGTACATCAAATTGATAACCGAGTCGAATAATTTCCGAGTCAAAATTATCATCAATAGTTTCATTCGTACTACTCGCCTAGAATTTCTAATTGTACACATTATTTACAGAAAACTTCTCGGTTTACTTTAGTTAGTTTTCTTGTTGTACTTTCTCCTTCGTCGAAATTCTTTCGTTTTGTTTTCTTTTTCGATTTCGCTTGTTCTTCTTCATCATCAATCATAACTTTAAATTCTTGATACATTTTGCGATATTTCTCATTAAATAATTCCTTGCATTCATTAGTCACTTGTGCACCTTCGATAGCAAAATCACTTCTTGATGTTTCAACACCCGTATGTCGATCAAACACAAATGAATCCAATTCAATTACTGTTTTATCATTGAAATGATCTTGGTATAATTGATCAACATTAATATCGTCGGGAAAAGTTATTCTTTGATCGACTTGTCGAATTGTATCTTCATAAATGATAAATGCCATGGCATGATATAAGTATAGATAATGTTCTTTGTGCTTTAGTGTTTTGTAGAAGAATGCCAGAGCTTTTGTACTATCGGGAAAAGGTGATTTTTGTATGATATACGGCCAAAGTCGTTGATTAGTCAAAGCTTGATCGTTTCTTTGAAATAAAAGTGAAAGATAAGCAAAAGCAAGTTCAGATTTCTTCTTCAGATGTTCAATAATCAAATCACAAAGTTGTTGTTTCTGAAAAACAGTTGTTTTCAACTGAAAATCATCTACTTACACTTACAGTTTTTCTTTTCGATTGATTTTCATACATCACATCAATCAATTCAGTCATTTGAAATTTTTCCAATAATTTCCTATGTAAATTTTTGTTTTCTGTCAAATATTCCGGAAGATTATAAATTGTTCTCAGATCACTCAGTAATCGAATACGTTGAGTCTTATCATTTGCAACAAAATAATACAATTCAAGAAGAGTTTTTCGACTCGATGACTCTCGACGTGTTTTAATCCATTGTAAATAGAGTCGATAGATTTGACTTGGTAATCGACTATTACACGGTCCTACATCTTCACTCATCATTGCGACAAGTCGATTGATCATGTTCGAACGCATTCGAACAGCATTTTGTTGAATTTGTTTTTCTGTTATTTGACATTTTGGGTATAAATTAGGTTTAATTTCAATCAAAGAAAACAGATCAAGTTCGATTAAACACCACAGACCTTTAGGAGAAAACATGGCCCGTCGAGCATATTTTTGTATTGCACTTTTTAAAATTCGGGTGTCAACATTGTGAAAACTTCGTTCACGATGAAGAATAATACACATAGAACCAAGTTCTTCAGTTCGGTTTTCAACTTGTTTCGACATCATTCACTGCACAAATAAAGAGAAAATGAGTCGAACACTATGTTATATACATGTGTGTTACCTATGAGTTGTGAAACATCAGTTTCGTAATTACATCGATATAAGTACGAGCAAGAAGAAAGCAGAACGGACGCGTGATTTTCCTTTTGCTGTTCGTCGGGTCGTGGGAATGATGAAACGATAAGGTAAGAGAACAGCAGACAAACGATTTTTCGTACTTGAACAGGGCTACTGATGTCATTATTTTATGTTAGTTACTTCGATTTATCTGGGTTGTAAGTTATTGAATAAAGTCAGGGATAGGATGTGCTCTTGTTTAGAAAAAAACGTTTTTTGGGATATGTAAACTACATATACTCTCATAAGAAACAAAACAATGATATAAAATCTGAGAAAAACACCAGCCAGTTAGTTTTGACTATTGCATATTCATATCTTCTTCATTTTTATTCCATCTGACTTCGTCAAATCTTCTGTGTCATCGTCGCCATTATTACTGATCATTAATACTTTTCGTATTGCTTGTAAAGCATTGTTCACTTGCTGTTGACTTCCTTGAACATTCACCATTCGTTTTCGTCGATCACCATTTTCATCGTTCATATCACTTATATTGACAATTGCGCCAGTTTCTCGTTGTAACTGTTGAATTCGTTCACCTTTAGGTCCTAACAAAGCTCCAGCTTGCATATCTGTTATTGGAAGCGTTTGCCGAATTGAAACCGGCATAAGAACACGGTCAAAATGTTGTTGTTGTTGTTGAGAAGATGACGATGGATTGGCAATAGTCAACGGTTGACAATGAATTGTAAATTGAGGAGATAATAAAGAATTGAACCTGACAGAATCACTGTCAGTTGAAGAAATATCTGAATAGCCAAAATAGACATGAGTTTTAGATCGATTATGATTGACTGGTGTATACGGATGGAATGAAACCGGTGCGACTAAAACAAACATCTCTATTTGATATCGATCAATTTGTTTGAAATCTTACCTTGTTGACAACAGATTGTATAGATTTCTTCTAAACATAACATCATCTTTGTAGGATCTTTACAACAAATTCGAATGACACGTTCACTTGATTGTGGACAACATTCTTGAGCTGGTTGAAGAATAAGAAGATCATAATCCATACGCATTCGTTGTGCTTGCATTCCTATCGATGGTAAATATGTTTGATCAATTAGAATACGAACTTCTTCATCATTTCCTAACAGTTCGCTTAACAAATCAAATGGACAAACGAGAATACATTCAGGTGTTTGACAATCAATTCTCGTGATTAAATCATCGTAGAAGAAAACATCTGAGATGTATCGATCATGTGGAACAAGTAATCGACATTTTGTATTGGATTTATTGAACGAATGAGAATGTTGTCGTTGAGGATGAGACATTTTTAATAATTGTAGATCACCTTCCAGTTGACTGGCACGATCAAAATCAAATGTAAATTCAGCATGACGTAATGTATTCAAACTAGATTCAATATGTGATAAACAATGATCAGTTGTGTCTTGTTCATTCAAAAGATTAATTATTGTCGAGCGGAAACGATTTAGTTGTTCATAAGCGTTATTCAATTCATTAAGAGATGTTTCGTGAGCTGTGTTTAGTTGATCTAACATTTGTAAACGCCATTGACGAAGTATTTGACGACAGGTATCATAACTTGAATCAAGTAGAGATAAAGAATCGAGTTGAGTACGAGCTGTTTGAACACGTGATATAAGAGTCGAACGACGTTTTGCCAGTAGTTCTTCAACTGTTACTCGTTTAAATTCATCAAAAGAAGTCATGTCTAAAATTAACTTAGGAATGTGGATAGATCGATCGATACTTTACAAACATTATTCATTTGATTAAGTATGAACGAATAGAATATGTTTATCGAAATTCTTTTCCTATCGACATCTATGGTAAAATTAGATTTTTAAAGACGAAATCTGACAAATGTTGTAATTACATTAACAAAGATATTCGATTAATGAAAAGTCCTGTTCAGTTATTTCTTCATCTCCGATTCATATATCCATGAATGTATGAGAATTTTATTGAGCTGATCGTTAACTTGTTTTTCTTATCCATGACAAAATCGCAAACAAAAATAAAAACAAAATATAGACCATATTCAGAGAATAAACACTTTACATTCCCAAAACACACAAAAAACCGCTCTAATGTCTAGAAAAATATCATACAAATCACAGGTATCTATAAATGTCCAAAACCGATAGCGAAGATTCATATACAAATGTAATATATTCGAACAATGATTTAATAGTAAAAAAAAAACTGAAAGAGAGAAAAAGAAATCAAGTCTCAGCGGAGTTAGTTAGAAGCGTAGCAAACAATATGAACAAATAAATAGAATAAGAAAAGTCACAGGCTGGCAAGAAGAGCGAGCACAAAATTTCGAAAAAGAAAACCAACTGTTTACTCGATTTAGTGAGGACGATGTCAACAAAATATCCTTCATTATCATGCACCGGTTTTAATGATTAAGCAAGATTTTCTTCTCTTTTCGCATTGTTAGTAGCCTATGAAACAAATCACAATAGAAATTCATTTGTTCACATAGTCAAATTTTACTTGAAAGTCATTGTGAATAGTTTCGTCCATAGTTAACATTGATGATGAATGTGCGGTACTGGATAACCATTTACCAACTTTTTCAACACAATCATAACTTGACGATCGAGTTAACAGAGGTGATGTGTTATTAGTTGCTCGTGTTGTTTGTGGTACTTGTGTACCATTTTGGATCGAACGGTATCCTTCGTCGGAGATTTGTCGTTCGATTTGAGCTGGTAATGCAGGGAGATGAGGTGAAGATTCTTCGACAGTTGTTAAATGAACTGTCGATGATGGTTGTTGTTCAAGTTTTGAATGACTGTGATGAGAAGATGCAGGAGATGATGATGAAACAATGGTTTTTTTATCATCGGATGACGATGATGAACGTGCTTCAGGAATATTTGTTAAATGTGGAAGAGCGGATGCAAAATCTTTTGAAAAATTCGTTGTTTCAATTAACGACGAAGTTTCAGAAAATGTGTCCAATGCTGAATCTTGAATATCATCTTCTTCATGAATTTCACTATGTTGTTCATCTCGTTGTGATAATTCAGTCAAATATGATTCGACACTTTGTTCCATTAGTTGAAGAGCTTTGACAGCTGGTGACAATTCATATTCAAACATTGGCATAAAAGGAAGAGTATCCGAATGACCAGTTGATGCTCGAACTTCATTGTATAAATAAATCATGTGTGATGAATGTTTGATACTGAAATTCTAAAACAAAGAAAATTCAAATGATCAACGCGAAAGTGAATCAATACTTTTTTGTTTTTCTTATTTTTCTTTCCATGAACTCCTTGTTGTTGTTGTTTCTTTTTTCCAATACCAGCATATTTATCAACAATATCGGCAGGTAGTTCTTTTTTGTATCCAAACGAGTTATCGGGATGAAATGATGAATGAATAATTTCGTTCGTTGTTGTTGATTGAAGATCTAATGGAATAAAATTTCGTGGTAATTTCATAGCGATGGCAATTGTCGATTGATTTGTTGCATTATCAGCTGAATCAACTTCTTCACTCATAAACGATGAAAGAATTGTTTGTTCTTCCGAAAGTGTTAGGGGATAATAAACTGAAGAGGCTGATTCTGTTGTTGTTGTTGTTGGAGAAGAACAAGATGTGCTCGTGATTGATACATTGTGTTCGGACATTTTCTCATGGAAATATTTTAATAATAAACGAATTTTTTCTAATTGATCGTGACAACGTTGTTTTTCATATTCAAGACTAGAGAAAGTGAAAGAATAAATGAGATTAACGATTGTAGTTGAGTGACTTACGTGTCTCGCTCGAGTGTTGCGAAAGATTGAACAGGTGAGGCGATCGTTTGAAGATGAACAGGTGAGATTTGACGTCGTTGTTTTCTTGCACTAATTGAGCTCATAATCTGCTCACGTTCCGAGCGTAAATTTTCGATTTCTAAGAAAAGAAATTTTGAGATAAAGATGTCAATGAACTTTCTTCGTACTTTGTTCGAGTTCCGGTAATCGTATAATACTATCATGTACTAATTGTTTATTTTCTGTTTGTTTACGTGTTTTTATATTTAGACTCTCGACGAATTTCTATAAATTGAACAGTTAGATTTTCGAAATTCATTTTTTTCTTCTTGCTCACATCTCGTTTATGTTGGTCGGCTTTTTGAATTTGATCAGCTTGTTCGTATTGTTGACGATATTCGTCATGTTTTCTAAAATATGATTTCTCAAAACTGACGCGAGAATAAACTTTCGACAACTTACTGCAATTGAGGTAAATATTCAATGATTAAACTGATTTTTCTTTGTACAAGGCCACGATATGATGCAGTTTTACCTGGTTTGTTCAATTCCTCTTCGTAGCGTCTAAAGAGATGAATTTGTAATAGATTCGACATCAAACGAAGATATTTTACTGTTTTTCTTGGAGAGCTGTTTGCAAATCGACATAAGGAACTCGAGTAGTCGAACGAAGAATACTCATTTGAGCGTTCTAAAGTTCAGTTTTAAATAAATATCTCAACCAAATCCGATATCCTACCAAAGTTTTTTTAGTTCGCATTTGAGCGTTGATTTTTTGGTTAATTTCCGTAATTCCATGGGTTAGAAGTTCGATTTCACCGTGCAGAAACTCAATATCTTGTGTTAATTTTTCCACATTGTATTTGGTCTAAAAGAAATCAAATGCTTATTCAATCTTTCTCTTTTTTTTCCTAGATGATTTTTTTACTTTTTCTCGTGTTAATTGATGAAGTTCTGCTCTAATTACCGATAAACGCCGACTATTCGCTTCATTAACTGGATTAGTCGGCGAACTGAAACAGAATTTCGATGCAAAACATCATATTCAAACATATTCTTCTTACTTTGTATGTCGCTCGTCTTCGTCACTCATATTTATCAACAATTTTACAATAAAACTTGTCAATTACTTGTTTTCCATACCTCTGATTGATTCTAATGTATTCAAAAAACTTGTTTTAACATAACTGTTTTCTAGACGATAACCAAGATAGATAAGAACGAACAGATTTCTGTCCGAATCAATCTAGAACAAGAGGAAAATTATTACGTCTGTGGAAAAAAAATCATTCGACACGAAATTACGAAGTTACGTAGTAAAAACATTCGAGTAGCAAGCAGGTAAGACGTGGCATATGATATATACAATCAAAATAAAGCGACCTACAAAAAAGCAAGAGAATAGAAAAAAATGAGGAAAAAAGTGTTGATATTCTAGGTCAAAAAGTGTACGATAAGAAGACTTTGATAAACCGATGAGTACATTTTTCGCGAGAGAAGTCATTTTAACAAAAGAGTCCTCGTTTATCAGATAAACTGTCTTGAAAAAGACAATAATCAAAATAATGTATGAGACATCGAGCGCCATCTATAAATATTGGTGAGTCGATGTGAATATGCGATTAAAAGCATTTTCCGAGCTTTTTCTTGAAAGAAGAAAATTTGAAATGTGAAATTTTGTGAGAAAAACATCAGATTACTAGGCAACAAAATGGAATGTAAATCGAGATGGCTGTCTCCTCGCAAGCAAACAAATCAACAGACTTGATGTTACGGATATAATCAGCTCCCGGCAACCTGTTTCTCATTCTATTAACATAGACATTTGAGAAGAGGATATCGATCGAATTACGTTGAGAAACGTGTACGTAATCTTTCTATCGTTATTATTTTCAATTACTCGGTAAAAAAGACCTTAAGTATTGCTCTCTCATTCATCAATCACAGTGTGCGTTTTTCACAAAAATGAAAGGTTACTTGTACAGTCAAGATGGTTCATATGCGTTTCCTCTCGGTCCGAAAGTAACCACAATCGGACGAGAAAATTGTGATATCAGCATCAATGTAAGTTGTTTTATTTGAAAGAATTTCAGTTGAATCATCAGTCTTTACTATCAGAGTTCAAATGTGGATAATCAACATGCGTTATTAGAATATGACAATGAGCAACATTGTTTTATATTAAAAGATCTCAATTCATCAACAGGTTCATATGTTCATGATTGTCGTGTTCAAAATGCAGCAGTACGATTAGCTGATGGAGATATCTTAAGATTTGGTTATAATGGTTTACCACTTGAATTTCGAGTTGAACAAACAGAAGTATGAGTTTATCATTCTATTCAGAAAGAATACAGTGAGCAATTTGTTTTTAAAGACAACAATGCCATCGATTTATCAGCGACAACCAGCAGGAAATTCTCTTCATGTGATTACTCAAACGATTCCATCGCGTCGAGCAAATAGTACAACATCTCAATACCCTCAGCAGATTGATGTACAACAAAATCCAGGGTTTTCACTCAGAACTCGTCCATCAAGCGCTGGAACAAAGAAGCCGCTTGGTATTGCAACAAGTACTACTCAAAGCTCGAATGCACTTCGTGATTCTCAAATTCGTCGTAAGTAATCAACTGCATCGTCTTGATTGCTTTGAAAAAGATCATTGCTTTAGCGATAACTAATGCTTGGACGATTACAAGTACAGGAAATCCTAATCGGAGTTTAATCAACGGAAGTTTTTGTGGTGAAGTCGATCTCACAGGTCAAGACAACACGGAAATCATCAATCGTGTTGATCAACTTGAAAAGGAAGTCAAGGGACGTGATGGGCAGATTCGTGAATTAACCAATAAAGTAAAACCCAGAGTTTTCAGAAAGAATTTCAAGGCAAAGTTTTGATTTTTCTAATAGGTTCGAACATTAGAACCATTGAGTTCGACATTTACGAGTGAAGTTCAGTCATTGAAAACGGAACTGGATAAAGTAAAACGCGAAAAACACGCTGCGTCAGGTTTAGTGTCAAGTCTTCAACGTGATTTACATTCCAAAGTAAAACTTTGCATCAAATTTATCTTTACTCATCTTGTTCTTTGACAAAGGAATCTGATTTAGCAAAACTGAGTCGAGAAATCGAGGGAATCAAAAACGACAGTCGTGAAAAAGATCTTCGATTTCAAACATTACAATCCAAGGTACAACTATTCATTCATTTCTCATTCCGATAATCAATTGTTACATTTTCAGTTTAATCTTCTTCGAGACCGAACTCGTGCCGAAGCGGAACGATCTACTAAGGAGAAAGAACAAGTAAATTCTGCTTTGTTCCTCATTTGAAAAGACTTTTGATTCTTTTCAGAAACTTCAAATAGCAGAAAAGCAAGTCAATGAATTGAATGAAAGTATCAATCGACTGAAATCTCAATTACAAGATACCGAAAAACAATTGTTGAAAGTAACGCAAAATGAACAAAACTTAAAACAAGAATACGACCAAGCACGAGAACAACTCGTGCAATTTCAACAAAACGAAACGAAACTCAAATCGGATCTTGCAGATTCTCAACGAAAAGTAAAAGTTTCTTCTTTTCAACACGATGCGAAAACATGACTTTGTCTATCGAACAGCTGAATCAGTCGAGTGCGGATATTTGGCAATGCTTTTCTGACGAAGAATATAACGAAGATCAACACGATATCATCGAACAGATCCAACAGCTTAAACAACAGTTAACTCAATCGAACGCGGAAATTGAAAATCTACAAGCTGCACAATCATCGAGAAATGAACAATTCAAAGAATCGTTGACAAAACTTATTCAACGATTTGTAAGTTATTCCGATTTTGTCTATAATCAAGAATTAAACGAGACAATCCGTACATTACGACCGCTAGTTACATTTGCTTACGGGATGATAATATCGTTTTTAATATTGAACATGAAATTTCTGTTGTAGACCGATGCAGTTGGAGAAGAAACAACCGCTGATGTTCTCGCTCAAGCTCGACAAGAAATCAGCGATGCCGAAGGAGCTGATAGTGATGACGGAAATGTAATTGGTTTGTTTAAAACAGGAGCTATCACTGCGATTGACAGTCACCTGAAAGTTCTTTCAAGAATGAATGATTTGAGTAGTCAACAAAGTGATTATGAACAGAATTTAGGTGAGAAACAAAGGAAAATTTGATTTGAAATGACTTGAGAATGAAATTGTAGCGTCAATTCGTCAACAACACGAAGAACTCGAACGTGAAAAGCAGAACTTCTTACTCGAACAAACATCCCGCGAACAGTCGTTCAAGTCCGAACTCGAACAAATTGCTGCTGAAAAAGAGTAGAAATCAAACTAAACAAACAATTCATCATCTCCCTCTTTACCTATTTCAGTGCGTCGTGGCAAGAACGTCTCAAGGAAGAATGTGATCGTATTCGCGAACAAACAAGTTCATCACAACAAGAACATGACGAACAAATACAATCATTATCAGAGCAACTTCAGGCAATGACAGCACAAAATAATGAATCTCTCGAAGTAATTCCGAAGGAAAAGTTACTACTGATGAGCATCTTTCATTTCTCTTAGAAATGGATCAACCTTCAAACAGAATCAACACAAAAAATTGATGAATTAACGACGAAATTGCAGGAATGTCAACAGGAATTGAGTGAAGCGGTAAGTCTATCATTTGATTTTGCAGAATTTGTTTTAGTTTAGATTGGTTTTCTTTAGAGAGAACGTTTGAACGAATTCACTGATCTTCAAGAAAAACAAAGACAAGAATTAGCTGACTTAGAAAAAGCGAAGAATGATATAATTGAAGATTTGAAGTAAGTTAATAGAAAGAAAACCTGGTAATTTTTTTCAATCGGAATTTTTAGTGGACAAATTCGAGTCTTCAAAGATCAAGTTCGTCAATTTTCCATCACAATTGTACAATTAGAGAAGACCGTTGGAGAAGAACAAGAGAAACGCATCAAAATAGAAACAGAACTCGAAAGTTCCAATAAAACCGGTAAAGTAATTCACTTATCGAACACTTCCGAGATGAAAATTCTCTTGAGCAGCTGACAGAAAATTACTCAGCTCATTACAAAATTGCGTCAGCGATAAGAATAAGTCGCGAACCCTTTCTCCGTCTAGAACCCAGGACAAACCTTCAAGTCCTACCTCTCGCATCGGCTCTCATTTAGCATACTTTCAGCATTAACTTACCTTGTTTTTGTTTTGATTAAAATTGTTGCTAAGTTATTGAATAAATAAACGAAAAGTGATCTTTCTTTTTCTAGTTAACGATTCTCCAACAACGTCACCTGTTGAAAATATTATTCCTGTCATTCCTGTTCTTACCGCACCTGTGACCGATCTCAGGTTGGCTTCTTCTTTGGTCGAAATCGACTTTTTTCATGTTATTTCTTCTCTTTATTCAGTCATGAATTATTTGCTTATAAATTACGTGTACAAGAGCAAGAACAAATAATCATTTCATTACGACGAGATTTAGCTGGAATGACAGCTCGATTGTCCGATGTTCACGGTGAATTGAGTGATAAACAAAAATATGCTTTGGAAAAAAGTGAAGCGACTATTCGAGAACAAACGAAAGAATTGAACGAAACACGATTGAAACTGTCGAAACTGAGCGATATTGTCGATAAACAAACAGTGCAGATCGAAACATTACAATCGGATCTATCGTGAGAACGTTTTAAACTCTGAACAATACTCAATCATTTATTCTTTTTGATTGAATAGAAAATCAAAAATCTTAGCTGATCAATATCAACTATTAGTCGATCAACGTCAGACTGATATCGAACGATTAACAAAATCACTTGAACAGAAGGATTTGGTTGTTCAACAAGTAGAAAAGACCACTCAAGATGAAGTAAAAACGCAAACGAAAGAAGCATCTTTTGGTATTTTTCTTTGATTCTAGGGTCGAATTACACACGAATTAGTCGCTGTTGGTGCCCAATGTAGAGGTGAACGTCATGAACAGACAATCGGACGTCAGCGCGAAGCTTTGAATGAACTACGTGCCCGAATTAAATCTCTGGAACAGTTAAGACCAGTGAATCCATCGTACGAAAAAGTTTTACAACAAGTTGTTGTTCTCAAACGTGAATTAGCCGAACTACGAGCTCGACAAGCTCTCCCAACAGATATTCCGTACCTCTCCACACCTTCCGGAGCCAATTCTGTTCATCAACAATCGCAACGTCAGTCATCATCAACAAATCACTCCGACCAATTATCCGAAACACAAAGAATTGTCGAAGAAAAAGCAGCACACGCAGAAACAACGCACTCGCTCCAATCCTGTGATGATTTAGTAAGTCGAGCAAGTGTTCAGTGAGAAAATATACTTGATATTCGGTTTTAGCATAATGGATTTACTCGACGATTAGCTCAAATTCTTGAAATCGATGATGAAAGTCTCTCGAATGTCGCTCCCATTGCTTCACTTTCTACAACTGATCGTTATGTCGCTTTGCAGCAACGGCAACGCACAACGGAGATTTTAATCCAAAAAATCGAAGTAGATTCATCGAAATTCATTGCGAAAGAACTTTGACTTCGGGTTTTAGATGTTACGAGAGCGTTTGACAAGAAAAGAAGAACTCTTACGTGATTACGAAAAAGATCTAGGCAAATTGCGTCAAGCGGAAATTTTACTACGTGAAAAGAATGTTTTATTACAAGATCTTGAGGTAAATTGACTTCGGATCGGTAAAATCGATCACAGTTCTTATTTTAGACCGACAAACGAGCGAAAGATGATGAAGCTTTATTCCTTCGAAATACTCTTCGAGAAACTCAAGACAATCTAAATCAAGAAAAGCGCACAAATTCATCCATTAAACTTCGTCGAGTACGTCGAATTTTCCCAAAACATTTTCACCATCAGTCAAATGTTTGTTTTAGAATATCGATGAATCTCAAACGACAGAATTAATCCGTCGTAGTGGTGGTTCGAAAGTAACACTCCATCATCATTGTCCACCGGATGCGTCAGGAAAAATTCGAACAGTAAAACATGATTTAAATCAAAAAATCGCTCGAAAAGATTACGAAATCAAAACATTGAAACAAGTTTGTTGATTTATTCACATGAACCGAACACAAAAGAATCTTTTTCTATATGTAGGAATTGAACGAAGCGTTGGATACGCTTTCCGAACAATCACACAAAGTTCGTCAACTTGAAATACAATCTAAAGTAAAGATAATCAATAAAAACGATTGACTCAATTCGACTTTTGTTGTTTCAGGATGGAATTGACGGATCAAATGTGTTAACATCATAAAGTTCATTGAAAAAATTCCGCTTTTTATTCTCTCTTTGCGTGTGTGTGTGTTTCGTAGAAGCAATAAATGAACAAAAACAAAAAACATAGAAATATTCATTTTTTCGAGGAAAGACAGACACAAAAAAAGCTTCTCCTAAAAATCATCTCAATCGACCACTAAAACGATGAGGTTTAAATGGAAATTTTCGATCATGTTCTTTTATTGATTGAATTATTAAATTTACAGCACGATTCACATCAGCTCGTGGTCCAATCACTTTCACTGAACATGTATCAATGGATGAACCCGCCACTGTATGAATACGAACTGTTCGACATTGAGAACGAATTTGAGCAATGCGAACACCATGAGGACCAAGTAAAGCGCCGAATTCACCGTGATTGATCCAAAATTCTCGCATAATTGAGTCATCGCTGAGTTTCACCACGGAAAATTCGTGTTCCGTATCAGCTTCAACTGAACCATTCCACGCGTCGAATGCTGAATAACGTCGAATACTTTCATTTTCATTATCAAATTTATCATTCTGTTCGTGATGAGGATTCATTGAACGTAAGATTGTCTCTGTTGAAGCAAATCCTCCATATTCGTGAGCAAGCGAAGCATCGTAATTACTGAAACAAAGGTATCGAGATGAGAATTTTCACAGAAACTGAACTTACACTTCGTTGTAAAGTAGAAGATCATCGCCATCGTAGACGTGTTCGTTAATACTTGCGAATATTTCTTGTAGACAAGCCATTATCTTTTCACAGGATGAACTTTGGATAAGAAGAACACGTTCGGTTGAAAGTGGTGCGCACGTTGGATGAATAGTTAATGTGTGTAAAGCATATTTTTCACGTAAAATCTTCGATCGATCGCCTAATTTGCCAAGGATCAATGGTGCGTAGGAAATGTGAAGAAGAATTCGTATTTCACATGGAATCAATGAAGAAGAGTATAATGTTGAAAGAAGATTTTCGATAACTTGTAACTGCTGAGAACCTAAAAAGAGAATTCTATATTGAAAGCTCGATTAGTTTTCGTTCTTCGTTTACCGGTGATAGTCAACACTCTTTCGGGCGTTGTTTCATTAATGGTATTTGTTGTCACTTGCACAAATTCTTGAAAAAGAGGTAGATTTTGAAGTTTTTCGATGTTTTCTTTTTGAATCAAAATCCGACAATGAAAATCTTTTTTTTCTTTCTTTTCCGTCACTTCATTTTCTTCATTCAATTCTTGATCATTATCATCGTCATCATCAACAGCAACTTCACATAAACCATGTTCAACTTCTTTTCTCAATTTTAACTTTCCTTCGATCTTCACTTTGCTCATATCGAGTTGATATGTTAAACAGTTTAAAATACAAATTTCATGTCCAATCGCCGATAGTTTCTTCGCGTCGAGATAATTTTCATTTTCAATATTCAAAAGTTTCATCATAATTTGTTGAAATAACTTCAATTGCTCCGACGATTGTTTCAATTCGTTAAAACATGTTTGATATAACTGATCGATTTTCTCGAACATTTTCGATGCCCAAACATCCAGCTGCGATTCGCGTTGTCGATAATTCTCGTATTCGTTTGCTTGAAGATCATTTAACGATTGATGATATGTCTGTGCTTGTGCTAATAACAAATTCAGACGAAGTTCAGTCGGCGTCAACGAACTTTTGTCTGGAACTAAAACACGAGTTTGAAAACGATTGGCTGTTGCCATCTAAAATATGAAATAGATTCAAAAATTAGTTCCATCGATTGTCTAATTCGATTAATCAATGGAGAAATACGTGAAAAATAACGGAATTTTCTTTCGGCCATCAAATGATGCGATGAATGGAGGTTGGAAGAGACAGAGTGAGAGAACAAAAAAAGAGTGAAGAAAAGAAAGAAAGGAAGAAAATAAAATTCAAATACTAAAAGAAGAAAAAGAACGAAAGAATGTGACGAGGGCTTTTTTGACGTACAAATTGAATATAATGTGTGAATGACTCATTTCTTATCAACAATTTTCACTATCAGAATCTGACTCAGCCTTTTTCAAAGATTTCATCTAAATATTTTAACACATGGTCCTATTTGATAAGTATATCGAAGTCAAACTGGCTTATAATTCAGTTGTATTGATTGGGCGCTCATATTAATTGACGGTGAATATGTTTGATCAATAAATATACAAACCCTGTGTCATGTTCTATAATGATTAAATGAGTAAATCGAATGAACAAAATTGCTGTCGTTGTGATGAAGAGTCTTTTATCTGGACTTGATTTGAATGAATCCGAATGTAAACAGAAGAAATGGAATTATTTCACTTATCCGTCATATAAAATTCTATTAATCAATCACCTAGAGAAAACATAATAGATAATTTCATCGCAAGTTTATTCAATAGATGATCTCTGCGAACAGTGCAACTTTTATTTGATTTCATAGAACATTTCAAGGTTCGAATATTCGGTATATATCGAAATTATTGCAAAACTCCATTAAAATGAAATAACGCATGTTTATCACAATCAGTTACATAAAGACTATCATCAACGAAAAGAATTCCGATCGGTTTGGCGAATAATTCATGTCTTAATTCTCCACGATATTCTCCATCAATCGTAAAAACAAAAATACTTTTCGATAAACTTGATGTAACAAATAATAAGTCTCGTACACAACGAATGGATCGTGGTGCATCAATTGTTAAACCCAATGTCACTTCAGGTATTATCTGCAATTGTTGATCTGTATGTTTATTGAATGTTAACACACAACCTTTGGTTCCACATGTAACATAGAGGATATTCTGTCGTGTACAGATATAACGTGGTGATGTTTCGAAGCCAGTGTTAATTTCACGTATCCATTTGAAATCTCGTGATATGACAATTAATCGATCATTGTTTGTGTCACAGATGAGAATATTATCATCATCGTTGTCGGTGGTGATACCAGTGGGATTATTGAACATGTCTAAAGGAATGAATATGAATATTTAAGAAGAATTTGTCTGTGTTTTCAACGAGTTTACGTCTGCCTTTGCCAGATTTATTCGAACCGATAACTTCGACTTTATGAAATTCTTCGTCTAAGATGATTAATTTATGATTATCAGTTATTAAATAACGTTTATCCTTTGTGAAACAAACATCACGCGGCTCACGAAAACCAATAATTGTTCGAATATGTGTAAATTCTCGCGTCAAAATTTGTAATCGATTGTTATCAACTTCTGAAATAACTAAATGTCCATCACTATTGATCGTCATTCCAGCTGGTGATTTAAATTCTAATTTTCCATTGCCTTCTTGCCCGATGATTTCCATTTTACCCGTTCGAGAACCTAAACAGAAAAACCAACGTATCGAAATCGATTAATTTCATAAATAGAAGAATATCAACCTGATGTTAAGGCAGATAATCGATTATCGTGATCGCCACTCGCTGATATTCCCGTTGAAGGTATATTTCCGTGAATAGGTTTGTCAAGGACAAGTGTACCAGCTAATTCTTCGTTTAGCATTTGAAATGATGATGATGCGAACTGAATTGTTGGTGTTGATTCGATTAAATCACGAGCTATATCCATTCGATTTTGAATTTATTCAATTAGAATTGCAGCGACTTACAAAGAATCGGCATGCGTTTTCGAGGTTCTTGAAATTGTTGTTTTAAGCGCAGAAGAACTTCAGTCTAGAGAGAATCTCGTCTTTAAAAATGATCATGTTATTGATGAACGATACCTGAACATTGACATCGACGAGTAAATGTTTGGAATCGAGAACGAATTTATCGATTGATTGTATTTCCGTATGAAGACGAGCGACACATCGTGTCAGATCCGCTTGACGTCGATCATGAAATTCTTGAATTTTCTGACACAAACGTTCATTTAACAACTTCAAATTCTTTTGCATTTCATCAAAACTAAAATCACACAGATCGTCGTCATCTCTTCAACTAATTCAGCACATTACCGTTTGTTCACATGTTGAAATGTTTCATCACATTGATCTCGAAAATCATTCGCCGATTGACTCAACGTTAACTTCAATTCTTCACTCATTCGTTCGATTTCGATTGTTTCACGTGTTATTTCTCCAATAACTTCTTGTCGATGAATTTCCAAACACGAAACACACGCTTGCCGAGAACAATGTGCACATGATGTGATCGACGGTTGCGCATTGCATATCGCACACTGTTTATTCTGAACAATATCGATTTTTCGTATATGCAACAACTGCATCAAAGCAACATTTTGTGATAACAAATCAACATTCACAATCGTATGTTTAGCCAAGCCTAAATCAATAAAAAATTCACTGAACTTGTGTGTGTGTCACACAAATCGAAAATGTGAACGAACAGTTCGGACAGGACATGATAGTTGTATCAAGCATTGTATTTCGTATACAATCAATGCAGAATGTGTGACCACATGGTAAGATTCGCGGGTCTTTAAACGTGCGATTACAGACAGTACATGAAGTTATCTGACGAATGTTTTCATACGAACAAATCGCTGTTGTCATTGTCAATAAAATGAAGATTAAACGAAAACGATAATTGGAAATGTTTCACGGAATTGCGCCTGTCTTGTTTAGTCACACGCGCCAAACAAATCGCTCTTTCTCTTCTTTCTTTCTCAGGTAAATTCATTCTGTCAAAAACACCAGTGAATCACTCGTTTATTTGATAAAAACAAAACTCAACAACTGACAAATGTTATCACTGGTCTTGTCAGATCTTCTGTTGTTTAAAAGAAATAATATCAAACTTTCAAGAGAAAAAAAAACGATTTTTCCAGCCTGTGTCCAATGTTATTTGTTGAGAATTTCACGACAACGTATAACAATGACATTATTACAACAGATGAACCGTTGACAACAAATATTACCGAGCATGTTCTGTGCCATCCGGTGTGTAACTTATTCCTTCACCGACCGGCTGATGATGAGAAATTTGCACCGATCTTTCTCTTCTCTCTGGTCGTTGTCTTACTTGTTTCAGTAATTGCAAGCAGTTTTGTTGTTTTTTTTCGTTATTATCAATATTCACAACAGCAAGAAAAGAAGAGAAAAGAATTTCTAAAGGTAAAATGTTGTTCCGAGTTTTCTTTTACAATGAAAATGCATCTTAGGATGAAAAAACTTGGGCTCATCCATTCGAAGATATTCTTGTCGTTGTTGATGAAATCAAATCAGTTGAATTAACCGAAATTCGGCCAACAACAACAATTCCTACTTAATATTTCAATCCACATTTTCTTTTGTATATGAAACACTTCTCGTTCGAGCAGAAATTCCCTTTTATTCAATAAAATATTTCATACAAAAAACCATTACACTAGTTTATTATACGCTCTAACATATCGAATTTCCAGTGTTTGTTTAGGTTTGAGATTGATGTCCCAAGTGACATCATGCTGTGGATTAACGGTTGCTTCAGTCGCTTTGACAATGTCCGTCTTTGGCTCAGGCGAGTAATTACTTGTCTTTCCCATTAAGGACATGTTAATCACTACAGTAACTTCTTCGGATTTATAGTTCATTATTGTGAGTTTTCCTTCGATTTGATCTGTTTGATAATTATTGCTAAGAAAAGTAAATCGTCGGGAGCTCGTATTGACAACCTTTTCCTCCGATTGAACTCGAATATCGAGAGCTTTGGTTAAATTAACAAAAGCTGTTGATCCTTTGGGTGTATAGGTTAATAAATCTTGACCTACAAATTGTTGTTCATTTAGACCTTTCGTAACGAGAACAGGCGCAGTTGTTAAAACAAAATTTGTCGCATTATCAAACTTCACACTATGCCAAACCTAAAAACAACGAAATAATTTCGAACAATGATCAATTTCATCATACTTCTTCGTATGGTTTGTTTTCTGTTGGACTTGAGTAACTGTATTGCGCACTATTTGATTCGATTTTACAATGATAAACATCTTTATATGGAAGTCCGACGTCGAATATTGGTAAAACCAGACGTTCTTGTTTTTCCAAAAGAACATTTTTGAATTCGTACAGATGAAGATCATCCACATTTGTATCTTCAGTTGTTTCATCGGGTCCTGAATCGCTCGAGCCTGGAAATCCTCCCATTACTTGCTGTGTCATCATGGAATTTGATGTACAACTGTAATTTGCGTGTGAACGTCCACCACGACGTGAGCGAGTGCTTTCACATTGTTGTAATTGTTGAAGGAATGTTGCAACATTCGCTGTATCGAGAATTGGATCGTTAACAGAGGCGAATTTTGACGTGTTAGGAAATCCAACGATACAGAATAGATTTTCCACATTCATATTTTCGATATCATTTAAAACCACCGCCTTCGATGAAAAACGAAGTCGTTTTACTGTTGGATCATTCGACGATAAAAGAACCAAACTGAAAAACAAGAATTTTCTCAAGATTCATTCGATAATGGTGATAATCGTTACCTGTACGAAGGTGCCCATGTTAAACCATACGTTAAATATTTCATTAATCCCGTGTCAGTTGAATTAGATTGATTTTCATAATCAATTGATAAACAATTCTTCACTACTTTCTGTTGATATGTTGTTTGCAGCGTTGGACCACGAATCGATGCAATCGTTGATAAAGATAATGCCGTTACACCATGATCGGTTGTTTCAAACAACACTAAATCACCAGTTCGGACGGAATGAGAAATAGCTGCTGCTGTTGGTACAGCAAATCCAGGCAATGCTATTAAACAAAATAATTGAAAATGACTTGGTAAAGTTCGTGATTAAATCGGTTAGTTTTGACTTACCAAATTGTGTTGGAACAACTGGAGAAGGTGCAACAGGTACGGTTTCATCAGTCGATCTGTTTTGAGATCGTTGAACAGATTTGATTTTACCTTTCATCCATTCTTTCTTTTGAGTGAGATAATCCAAAACAAGAATTTCAACGTCTTGTCCAACATTCGATTCAATCAAATCCCCGAGAGTATAACAATCTTTTGTTTCCGATTTATTTGTCTTTTTCGTACGAATAGAAGTAATTTTTGCTAAAAAGTTTTCCATAGAAAACAAAAAGAAGGTTTTCAGAAGTGAAATCTTACTTTGTTTGGAAATTGGTTGAATCCAAAATGTTCCATGTACAGCATTCGACGGTGGATCCACAAGTTCAATGGTTTGTTGTTTTGGATCGGTACTTGAAGGAAATTCGAATGTTTTCACGATCATACCATAACCATTTTTAAACAAATACACGTTTGATGCATGAGAAGGAGTTTTACTATCCGTTGTTGTTGTCATTGTATATGCTTTTGAGAGAAAAATATTCTTATAAATGATGAAAATACGATTTCTTTATATACGGGTAGATATTTCTCAATGATGATGAAATTTTGTTTGCCGACGTGGTAAAAGAGAAAAACAAGAAGGAGAATGACGAGTCTTTGACATGTGGCATGATGTTTTTCTCTTTATCATCTTCGAGCTGTTTTGTTTTGATAATGAGTAAGTTATGGACATAGAATAGATTTTATTCATCGTTTGAGAAAATGGTACGAGAGATCATAATGAAAAAAAATGAGTAATATGCGTAAAATTTGATTTATTTCCAGTGTTTTTTTACAAAGAATAAAATATCAAATGGTAAAATACATAGAAATGATGAGATATATTTGCAAGTCTCATATTTATATTCAATGAACGAAGCGAAGATTAAACGATAAGAATAAATTGATAGTTAATTAAAAGAGTTTAAAGCAACTGAGTATATATAAAATAAGAATTCATAAAATGTTTCTTTCAAGGAACATAACTAACACGTTGAATACATTTCGGTTTGACCTTTTGCTTTGTTTTCTTCAATGTATGTATCCTTGCCTTTCGTATATTGTATCTATGAGTTTTAACTGGATCGATCTTGAGTACATATTTCAATAAATCCATGCCCAAAATAAATCCAATAATACTACACATCATCAAAATCGCCACGAAACCAAGACCTAAAACATCGAAATTTCTGACGAATTCTTTCGATTAACCCCGTGGAAAAATTACTTTTCGTTGCATAAGCTCGTACAATCGCACTGGTTTCTTGTTTTTCACAAAATTCTCCATAAAATCCCGATAAACATTGACAAAGATATGTTGAATGTTCTGAAAGACACACACCTTGGTTTTGACACGTTACATTTGCACAATAATCGACGCTCAATTCACAATGTTCACCTGTATATCCACTTGAACAGTTACAAACGAAAGTCACATTATCTTTAATCCAACAATTTCCTTGAAAAGAATGATTTTAGCAGAATAAACAAACTTTTGATTTATCTTTTTTTCCAAACCTCGAGCAAAACACGTATAGTTTTTACACAATCGATAATCATTCTGGCATTGCGTTCCATTATAACCCATACTACACTCACAAGAGTAGCCAAGACTATTAGTTTGATTGGTATCATTACAACGAGCGTCGTTCAAACATGGCTCAGTTTGAGTGCAAACGTTGTTACTAAATGAACAATTCCAACCGAAATGACCTGACGAACAGTTGTCAATCGGATTGAAACCCGTTAGAATTGCTAAACAAAAGAAAGAAAGAAAACATCGATATTAAATGTGTGTATGAAAACAAATCAAACAGACAAGGTGTTGTCGTTCCAGCTTTGTTTGTAGTTGTAGTTGTAGTTTCAGTTGTGATTTCAGTAGTTACTAAAATATATTTTCAAAAATTCTTTTGTAGAAACAGATTCTCTCACTTTCTGGACACTCCTGATAAATTGGATATGACACTATCGTGTTGGACTCACTGACAATAAGGTTATCATTGTCATCAATAATCGCATTGTGAAATCCTGTGGATGATGAATTCAAGTTTTGTAGAGCATAGATCGTGTGATTGTTCGTTATATCGAATAGATAAATACCATTGGACACAGTGATAACAAGAATATTCACTGAGTGTACACTGAGTGCTACAACTGGAGTTTTATTGAATGGTAAAGTTATATCATAGGATGAATTAAATGTGAACATTTTAATTGACTTATTGTCCGCATCATAGACAAATCTGAAGAATAAAAATACATTTAATAGTTGTAGTTACAAAATCGACTTACAATGATTGGTTTTCGTTCATAACTATCGATTGAGGATTATTGATTTGATAGGTTGAATTCGTTAAATTTCCACTACTGAACGTATATTGACAAATTTGTTTCCCTTGGACTATATAAATAGATTTATCAATATTATCAACACATAAGCCCCCAGAAGTAGAATTCAATGAAATAATACTTCCATTATTCCGATCAAGAATTTTTGTCCCATTAATTCCATAATTCAATGGATAATCTAATCGAAATAATTCTGTTGACGTTCCATCGGAAATATATAATGAATTATTGAAACCGTATGCAATAGACGATGGTGAGTATCCTATCGTTGAAAAAGAAGTATAATTACTTGCGCTCAAGAGAATAACAAATATGTCCGATGAATTTGATCCATTAAAAACTATAACGCGACCGTTTTTGTCATCTAAAATCGCGATATCACCATTGTTTTTGTTTATGTCAAGACCAGTAACATTTAAATCGAGTGAATAATCATCATTGCCCGGTGCGTTCGATGAATTTCCGAAGATAACTGTTTTGTTACTTGCATTCCATTTTGGACAAGTTAGATCTATGAACATAAGACAACGATTTCTAATGTATTTAAATGAATTTGATTACTTAATCCTTGTGAGAAATCAATGTTAATGAATTGTAGAATGAGAATCGTATAGAAAATGAGAAAATGTTGAGTCGATTCGTCGGTCATTGTGAAATGAATGTTGAGTTTTAGAAGAAAAAACAAACTTTGATTTTGTTTAGAAAGAATCAACAGAAGCTGTTTGTTCAAAAAGTTAGTTTATCCATAAAATGAAGAATTGGAATTCATTTCACTTTAATATTTTCAAATGAACAAAATCACACATTCAAAGTATTTTAAGACAAATTGAATCGTTCGAGACTCATCAGTTGTTTATTTTAGAAAAATATCGATGTCATTGCAAAATATATTTATTTTTATCGATGTAGAAGTAGACATTTTTTTGATTAAACCCAAATCGGCTCACCTTGACGTGGGAAAACAAAGTTATAGTTAGAATTACTTTCTTCTTTCAATTGTCTCATGATTTTCTCTCGACTTCCTTCTTCAGGTTTGATGTGTGTAACAGCAATTGTCACATTTTCCATTGAATGATAAGATCTTAATACGTCTAATTCTTTTAAAAGCCATTTCGGTGTTAAATGTCCAAATAGTAAATGATCTGGACGTTCATTTGAATACGAAACTTCGATCAAAATCGCTTTTAATTGATTAGCGACAACTAATGGACCCATAGTTTGCCATAATTGCTCAAGATATCTTGGATAATATGTTGAATTATCAGCTTGAACGATCTTTTCGATATCATCAGGACCCGTATCACCGAGATAAAGTATCGATGCTGAACTTTCATCTCGGCGAGAGATCAAAAATGCAGAACTAAGGAATGGACATGTATGACATAAACGAAATATTCGAACGTTTAAATCGGTATTTGGAATAGGAATTGAATTAGTTGATAGAGGATCTAAGATTTGATAATTGTACAACTAAGAAAAGAATTGAATAAATGGAAAGATAAGATGAGAAATAGTGATTTACTTTGAGACCATGGGGACCGAAATCTGCCCATGCCTGATTATTGAAAAAATCATCCTGAATAATTTGAATCGTTTCATTTAAAGCAAAGATTGTTTTTCCAGATTTATCATTAGGTGAATTAAGAATAAATCCATTGATATGATCAAGATGACCATGTGAAATAAAATAAGCTTTGACTTGTTCTTGAAGAAATTGTTCCGCTGTTAAACTTTGAGATGGAAAACAGTTCTGTTTGATTGCCATTCTAAATCAACAAAAGATTTCTCAAGGAACATCGATGTTTCAACCTCAATTACTCAAGTCCATGACGCAATGTTCCACTATCAAGAGATATATAAGCAGAATTGGGTGTACTCTCATTGACTGTTGTAAGTAGATAAGAAGAAAGATTACTTTCATCTAATCCACCACTTGTGCCTAATGGTACAATGTAAAATGATGATGATTTGGATTTCTCTGGAGTAGATTTAACATTGATGACGAGTAAAACAACGGTGACAGCCGAGAGAATCAACATTGCGACACTAAATCAAAATAAAGATCAGTTACATTTTGAAAGAATCAATAATATTACTCACCCGATGAGAATACCAACATAAATTCGCTTTTTTCTACTGATTGTCATATTTCTGACCAAGTAATCCCGATGACTAAAATGTAAAAGAAGTTTTGATATTAACAAAGGATCGATTAACATAACAGAAAATCATTTATCGATCTATTTTTACCACAAAATATCAATGATAATACTAATTAAATGAGAACGCATCGATTCAGAGCTCGTATATGCAGAAGAAAAAGGGGAAAAACGTATTAATGAATGAGTTAATAGACATCTGGAGATAATTGAATGAATTTAACGATTAACAGAAACTATTTATTGTTAGTTGTGATAATGAAATCTAAGTCATGATAAGATACGAATAGTATTTCACGTGGTGTGAAGTATACGAGTTGAAGAACAGAAAGAAAAGAACATCATAAAACTTTACACAATGACAATTCAATAAAATTTTAAAAAAAACAATTTATGTCATCATCGATGTATTTATCGTTTCTGAAAGGTTAAAAGTTTCGATGAATTTTATAGGATTGTTTTCTTTCTTTCGTTTATTGAAATGCAATTCTTTTGATTTATTTAGAATCGATTACTTTGCAAAAATTCGACAAGGATGTATTGTATGATTGTAATGAATAGTCTAACATATGTGGATAGAGTACTGAATTTCGTTACATAGCGAATATGTTCTTTTCATAATAAAAATATTAATATAAACGGTCCATTAAAAGTATAACAAACTATCGTATTGATAGATAAAGATATCCTTCGAAAGAGTTCAAAGCAGATCCTTGTTTATTTTACACGATTTATTCTTCTTTGTTTGATAAAATCGCTTATCAACTGATTATTCCAGATAACATTTTGATTTAATAAGTCATGCCATTTGCAAAATACGCTCTCTCGCTATTATATACTGATCGTCAAAGGTTCCAAGCTGCCTGCGTTTTTCAAATTTATCATTCGATTGATGTCTGTCAACATCATGAAATGTTGGCTGGAGAGAGTTAAGTTCAATATCATTTGCTAAACATATTCTCACTTCGTTACGATGCATGTGTATCAATGCCATCTTAAAGATGACTTATGGACGTGACTGAAAGTCTTAATCAACGTACAACGCTGATTTCGTTCGTTTAACGGAATCTATTTCGATAAACTTTATTTATTCTTAACTTTTAATTAACGTTTTTCTCTGTCACTCGCAATTATGTTCCATGCAGAGTTGAGAATCAATCGTCTTCTAGAACAGAAAAAAAATCAAACTATTATTCAAAATAAGAAAAACCTTACCTGGTCCGTCCAAAAGCGTGCTGTTGTATGATCGTTGTTGTAGACGCTGATACCCTTTCGTGAGTAGATATAGGATGGCAATTCCGAACCAGAAATACTTGCTGGCTATGCAATTAACTAATTTTCTCTTGAATTCTTCGAGTCGCTTTGGCCACATAATTCGTGAGCTATATAGTTTTCAAATCTAGAATGATAGCAAAAGTATTTCTTGACATGCATTCTTATATAAAAATGATATATCAAGTTTATAAAGTACGTAATGTAAGAATAGGAACGATTTTGACTCATTCTAAACAAAGATACAATTGTTCGTTTTCTATTCTGGCGTATCCTTTGTCGATCAACACTTTGAAAAGAAGCGCCTTGGCGTTGATTTCAGTAGTCGAATCTTGAATTTGTGAATAGTTGCCGACAAGATGAACGAATCCGGCGAGTAGGGCAACCATTTCTTCAGCTCCAAATGTTGGATTGACAAGGAAGCCTAGTACGCCAATCGCAGCACCTTCAAGTCCAAAACGAGCCCAGTCGACATTAAGCTTTTGTGTAGCAGAAATAATCAAAGCGTCTACAAGAAGTTCACGCGATCCATCGTTTGTAAATTCTATATATTAAGAGTTGAATAGATATTAACTGTCGTGAAGCATATATTACCGATATTTACTTACCAAAACGGTACTGGTAAACAACGAACGTTGCCGTCAATTCATTGGTTTTCGTTACAGCAGCGACATGCTCGATAATCGTCTTTCCTCGCAGATCATCGTTTGATCCTCCTACGTTGATTTCATTTATTATTGATTGAAGTGCTTTTCGTTGTTTTGAGTCGGCTGGATAGTCGTCTAGATAGCTTTCCAGTGTAACTCTTAATTGGGCAGGTCGTACACCTTTTCTTGCAACCATTAATTCGCTGAAATCTCTCGTAATAAAGCGACTCGTTTCAAGTTTTTGTTCTTTGATGATTTTCACAATATCCTTATCTATTGTGACGCGTTGTTTCAGTATACTGAATACAATAGACAATTTATTAGAATATCCACACAAAATACTTACTCCACTCTTTCTTTAGAAAGATTGGTGTTATCAGGTAATGAGACACAATTGATACTGTGAGACAACCTAAAAGAAAAAGGTTACTGCCGTTCAACTCGTATAAATTTATTCGTCAGTTTTTCCTAATGGATACTTTCAAATATACTTACTCTTCATCGTGAGATAATCGATCATTTGTAGGTCTTCTTGGGCCTCGCTGACGTATGTTGGAATCACATTGCTGCCGTCTACGATCAACACCCACGAAATCCTTGTCACTTTGATTTACGCATTCGTGTGATATTTCACTCTGTCGTGCGTTTGAGGATGAGAGTGTTAGTTGCAAATGCCGACTAGTATCGCACAGAAGCATGATGAAAAAAACACCCAAGCCCACCATGATTATACAGAGAAAAAGGATAGCCAACTCGAGCATAACTGACCTTTATATCTTTTGAAAGTTTGAAATATCTACAATTACATATCGTAGCTGATATTTTCGAAATATAATCAAATAATGATTGCTGTTTCGAATCAGTTAACTCGCGACTGTTGTTAGATCCGTTTTGTATGGTGTGTAGATTTTACTTTGAATAATGAATAAAGAACGAAAGCTAGAAACTAAGACATACACACAAGCTAAGAAATGTGGTCACTATATATATTCACAACATGGAATATTCCCAGTGAAGATTTATGTTGGAAAATTCCTGTGCTATCACATGAACGAACTATCGGAAACAACCAATAGAACACACATCGAGGCAAGAAGGTGAGTGCAGATCGGATGCTACCGGCATCTCAGCATCCGTTCAGCATCCAGCCAGCACCCTAGCATCTGAGCATTCAACCGACACCTAACGCTGCTTTTGGGTGCTGGATGCTTGCACTTACCCCCTTGGATAAAATCGATGACGAAGGAGCATAATGCACTGAGACCGAACAGGGTAATAATCATCCCATGCCATTCACTCTCAAATATTCACGTTTTCTTTCACCTACAGACACTCACTGCACTTTATCTTGGCTTGAACCAAGTCAGCGATGAAGTAGTAAAACATCTGACGATTCTTCTAGGAAATTGGATGATACTTCAGTCGTATTTTTACCAGTATTGTTTGTTGTCTGTTTTTGTACAATGAGATGAATATGAAAATGTGGAAAAGTTCTTCTTTCAGTGACTCTCATGGAGAATTAAATTTTGAATCCAATGTAATTCTAATAAAGACATTGGCTTTTTACATCAAGTTCACCTGATTTCATCGATTGGTTTATGTCTATTGAATTTTTTCATTCCAACGCACCAAATGTGTAGTACAAACATCTTCTCGGTCTTTTGCATATTTTTATTTTTAATTATCTTATTAACGAAATTGATCATCGAAGTCTATACGTCATTTGTGACACATTGATAAAAGAAATATGACACTGAAGACTGAAACAAGTTCTAATCTCATTTGAAATGGCAAGGTTAATTTTATTTAAAATCGTTCTTATAATTACGAACAAAAATAAAACTTGAAGTTCATCGGTTTAATTTTTTTTGCTATTTTATTGACTAACAACAGGTGCTGGTTTTTTAAAGAGACCTTCTCCAGTTGGTTTCGGTGTTGGATCAAATGAGATTAAATTTCCGAAAAGAATATGTTGAGCAATTGGAAATTTATCTAAAACCTATTTCTCACTCTCAACATATATTTCAAAAAAAGTCCGATTTTGCCATAACTCACTTCTCCATAATACATTTTCAGCATTCCTTGATTGACTTTCGACCAATGTGCAACATTCGATATATCATAGAGTGTACTTGAATGTTCGAAAAAAGGACCTGTTTTAACTTCATTGATATATTTAATTGCGCCTAAATATAAATAATCATTGGACAAATCACGATAGAATCGTTCATCAATTGCTTGTTTTGGTTCAATTGGACCATCATCTGTTAATTGTGATGAACCCCAAAGGAATGGTAAAAATTGATAATCATCTAAACACCATTGACCTTTTGATCCAGCTGGTTCGAGATAATATGTTCGTTGTAATCGTCGACATAAATCCAAATAACTATTTCGAAAATTCAAATACAAAAACTATTCATTTCACTCCTTTTCATTACCGTGCAAATAATTTCAATACAATAGCTTGACTATCTTGTTCTGTAAGTGCTTCAATTTTACATAAACATAGAATAAATAATGCAAAAGCCAATTCGTGACCTAAAACAGAAAATTTCTTACAGAATTTTTGAATTTCTTCTATTTAACCTGTTCCATAATCTAATCGAGTACTATTTCCAAACGAATCACACAAATATCCATTTAATTCTTCTATATACTGATGATATTGTTCGAGTAATGCTTCTTTCAACAATCGTTCACTTTCCTACAGATAATCCACAAAAACAAATTGATATTTCACGCTGAAATCAAAGAACCTGTTCAAGTTTCGCATGCCAATCACGATAAGCCGCATCGCCAAAACGCGATCGACCTTTCGGTGGACATTGATCAATGAACGAATCAAGTTGATTGAGTAAATTCATCAGTTTGTCAAGAGTCTATGCTTGAGAAAAATAATGCGTAAAAACAAAACGAACAAATATCTCATTTAACATACAGATGAAATTGGTACCGAATCCGAATTTTTTCGACCATGAACTGCACGATTCAATGATTGAACAAATAATGTATATTCTCGATAAGCCTAAAAACATTTCCTGGTGAGTAGATTTTCATCGGAGAGAATCATTTCCATACCTTGGACTCTTTCCAAGCTTTCATTAATGAAATATCTTTGATTTTAGGTATTGGTTTTTGCGAGGGTGTCGAATTAGCTTCAGATTTCGAATCTGACATGTTATGATCTAGAAAAACAAAACAAAATACAATTTACAAAAAAATATATGAATATTGGTCATTTCCTGCATATACATTTATTTAAAATACAAAAAAAAAATAAAGAAAATTTCGAATTGTGCGCATCACATCCAAACTTTGACTCGTTCGTTTCCATAATCAATTTGGAACTGATCTCGATTTTTCAATCGACCTGTTGACTGTTCAATGAGATATTCATACAATGCATTTTTGTTCGAGTTAATCTCATCAGACAATTTCCCGTATAAACTGAGAACGATTAATTTTGGAAAAGAATTCAAAATAGATGAAATCAGACGTGATTGAATGGAAAGTTTCGAGTTTCGTAAGTCAAAACAAATGTGATTTACTTGAGAAAAGATTCGAGCAATGTAATGAATATGTTCAGTTGTTAAATTGTCAATAAGGCTATTTTCAAAGCGAATACATAAAATAACAATACGTCGAGAGAGAAGATAATATAAAAGTAATGTTTGGTCATCATTTGAAAGTAATTTATATAAACAATCGAAATCAATTGAGAATGCAGAAAGATTCGGCGCAACGGAAAGAATCTTTTCAATGTATTCAGTATCCGATGGATTGCCTTGGATCGATAAAAAATCCAGTCGATTTAAATGTGGAAAAACTTTCGGAGTTTCGACTGGAACTTGATTTCCTAAATGAAAAAAACCATTCCTCATTCGTTTTCTAAACACTTCGAAGTCTTACTTGGTGGTAATGTTCGCATAGATATAATCAAATCTAGAACGAATTTGCAATGTTGGACAATGCCAAAAACTTCCGCTAGAGCAATTGTATCATAAATATGTATATGACGAACTTTATTGTAGACATGACTGTCTTTTCGTACGGACATATTTTTATGAAAAAGTGAACGTAAGGATAAGCGATTGCATTGATAATTGGTCGTATGTAAAAATATTCGTTTGTCATTTTCGCAAATCGAATACGCAATTGGAATTGATTTCCATGTTTGAAGTATTGTTTTGCAATTCAAATCTGCGTTTAAATCTGATGGTTGATAACAAATACTATAATCGAATTTCTTAGTCGTCGACGGGAGAAGTGCTGAAACACATTGACCATTAATAAGTGAATAATCGTGACTAACAAGAACTACAGAAAGATTTTCTAAAACTGGAGAAATTCTTAACAAAGTTTTCAAATCCTCGAGAGTCGAAAACCAACTCATTGCATAAACGGACAACTCTTTCAAATAAAAGAATTGTTGTTGATCACAGATGACTTTCGACCATGGTCGTTTGAACGTTATGTGGAGTTTTTCAACATTGGGAATCATTCGATAAAGTTGAAAAAGATCCTTCGTTGTTTGTAATTCAATATCTAATTGAAGAATGTTGGGATAAACGTTTGCATTACACTTTTCTTTATCGGTCAAGCAAAATGCGTCAGATTCATGATCGAACATCACATGAGTCAACTGATTTTCATTTGCACTAAGGACTTTCTCGAGAAAACATCTGTTTTTCATCGATTCGGTCAAATCCAACGCTTGAATGATTAACCGATGGAAATTTCTCATGTTATGTAATGTTCCAAGAAATAAAAATAACTTTTCATCGGTCCAATTGACTAAAGTTAACTTTTCTAGATTTTCGTAAAAGTGAATTTTGGAAAAAGATTGGAAAAATAATGGAGATTCGATTTCGAAGATAACTAACGAACGAATGGCTGAACTGATTTGAGGAAGAATTTGTGTGAAAATATGAAGAAATTTTAAGTAATACATTCGATGAAGTGAAACATGTTGCCAATAGAATGTGGTCATTTGATTAAAACGAGAGTTTAGACCAAAAAAAGAATAAAGAACATCACCACTGTGTAGATAACGACAAATTTCTAATAACATTTCATCGGGAAGCATTTCTAATCTTGAACGCATTTTGATCTAAAAGAAAAAAGTTGAAATTAACATTCGCTAATCTGTCTATCGACATCTTCTAATCATTATCATTAAAGTTTATTAAATAAATGTTATTTGTTTTAGTAAAGAAATATCGTCGAAGAAAATTGTTCATTAGAAAATTACTTTCACGCTGGAATAAAAAAGAGATTCACATAGGGAAAACCCGAGTTTGTATTTAATAAGGAATTTCTTTGCCATTAAAATCTAAGAATTTTCCATTGTCTTTCAACGACAATTTATCAATCGCTTGTAACATTCGTTTTACCGATTCAGCTTTCGTTAGAAAATGTGCGTCTTTTGGAAAAAGTTTCTTATATTCGTGTATCATTTGTGTATTCACAACTCCAGGTGACATTGCAACGAATAATAACGGATCTTCATCTTTCTTTAACCCACAAATCGAATTTTCATCAACTGGTTGTCTGCCGAATTCTAACGCAAGATTTTTCGTTGCCATATTCAAAGCACATTTCGATAAACGATACGCATACCATCCTCCTACACGATTATTACTAATCGATGCGAGTTCAGCGGAGATATTCACAATCAACGATGAGTATGGAGCATTGGAAGTAGAAGATCCAAACGATGGTCGACCTCGTTTTAATGCATTTAATAGAATTTTTGTCATTAAAATGGGACCTACAACATTGACTTGATATACATCATTTAAATCGATACTAAGAACGTCATTTAACGATGTTTCTACTCGATTAGATGGATGCCCTGGAAAAGATACGAGTGTTAGAAAGTAATGAAGAGAAAGTTTAACTGTTACATATATGTGCACAGTTAATTAACATATCCAGACCACGTTCACGTTTTAAATCATTTAGACAATCTTCGACTTGTTGACCAAATGTATCGAATTGATCTTGATGTCGAACATCTAATTCTAATACATCTAATCGATGTTTTGAATGTTGTAAATAATCTCTTTGTAATCGAGAAAGTCGATCATCGGCCATTTTCTGACATGTTGCAATTACATGTGTGGGTTTTGAACGTTGTAACAATTGTCGAACGAATTCTAAACCAATACCACTCGATGCACCTTGAATAAGAACTGTCGCTTTTGGCATTACGAAAAAGTGATTATCTGAAAGAACAGAACTTTTAATGAAAATTTCGTCGTTTTCGTCCTGAATAAGGTAAATGTTGAAATGTTTGTACATGTCGACGACGAAGAACATCGCGAATTTCACAAGGAGTTGAACATTGATAAACTTTATCCATTAGATTAAGAAGAATTTCTTTGAGTAGAAATAAACAAATCTCAGCTAAGGAAAGATCTTCACTCGAACGAGAAGACTTTGGAAGAGAAAAACTGTACAAATTAAGCCAATGAAGAATATCCATTGATGATAACGAACGGATTTGATTGAAAGATGAATGTTGTTGTTCAACAAATGTTAAATAAGCATCGCTGGTTAATTGATCACTTTTATAATAAGTATCAAGACGAGAATATTGACGTGCACGTTGGAGATCGAAGGACTATGAAAAGAACGAAGTTGTATGAATTAAAAGAACAAACGATTTTACTTCATTTTGATCGAGATGAATGTGAAATTGACGAGATATTCGATGAAATCGATCAGATATTGTCAATCGTTTGTCTTTGACATCATTTAAATCTTCCTGTTGAGTTAAAGATCGATCTTTCGTTTGAACATATTGTTGAAGTCGTTTCAAACGCGTTTTGTTTCGTCGAGAAGAATAAATCAATGTAGTTAACAGAGAATTTCGTCTGATTAACAATTCCTTATGTTTTACACAAAACTGTCGAAGTTGTTGTCGACAATATTCTAATACATAATGAACAGAATCGATTGGAAGTGCATAACCATTTCCATACATGCGAAGACCAATATCAATGATATTTTCGAAAATATCTTTATCATTTATTTTCTTTAAAGACATACGAATCGATCTGAAATGAAAAATAAATTCGAAAAATATTTTAAAACCAAATTTTCAAATCAATTTCATCACACTCTGCTTGAAAATTTCCAATGGAATTTCGTAAATAAGTATTCGAAATCAACCACTGATATGGATCATTTCGTAATTGTTCGGTGATCAAACCTCGAACAATGACGGAGACTAACTGATTTCTTTCGAAATATCGAAGAAATAACAAAAGAATATGTTCAGTTGAGAGATTTGCCGAGTCTTTGCTTTCGACAATCAGATATTTCACACGACGAAATACATTCGAGACTTTTTCCAGCCAATCATCTGTCAAATCTTTATCTGTGGTCAATTGAATTGATAAATGTCTGATACGTTTTGTTAATAATGAAAGACACTCTTCGTAAACGAGTAATTGGACGAGATATGACATATCAACAATGAACATAAGAAGATTTGGAGAAACAGAGATGATTTCTTTCAATAAATGAATCTCTTTTGGACAACCATCAATCGATATCCAACGAAGTTTCTTTAGTCGAGGTAATGTCACCGATTTCTTCTCTTCTTTCTCTTCTATGTCTAAACAGCAAAGATTTTCCATGTCAAGTTAAATACAAAGAAAGATCTGACCGGAAAGTGTTTCATCGACTTCAATTGCCAGATCTCGAATATTCTGACAGCAATCAATAGCCATACAAACATCGCTTAATTGTTTCACATTGAATAATAACAATTCTTCGACACGATGATGATAATTCGATGTTGTTTTACTCAGATATTTGATAAACGAAGAGTTCATGTCGAGATAAGGAAGTTCGTAGGGAATTGTGTGGAGAAATATTTGAGTTTTGTTTGACGAAAATAAACAACAAATTGAAAATGGTGTTGACATCCAAGAACACGTGATCTCGTCAGTCGATTCGACTGCTTCCTCGGGTTCATATTCAGTACAAAAATGAAATCTTTGTAAAGATTCTGGTAAAATTGAATAAATTTCCTGTCCGTTGGTTAATCGAATGTCTTGAGTAAATAAATCTAATGAAAGTTGCCGAAGAAAAGGCATTTTTGATATTAAATAACATAATTCATTGAAATTCCAACATCGTCGAAATGATTCTATTCGAAATTCAACTAAATATTTCATTTCAATCAATTGATTCAATTCCAATTCCTCCTCTTCTTCGGCACGTTTTCCAATGACAACATTCATTCGTTGAATATTTGGTATTAAATTAAATAAACATTCGAGATCATGAATCTCTTCTAAATGAACATCTAATTGAATAATATTCGAGTAGATCACTCCATTTGTTGAATTGATTTTTAAACTTTCCGAATGACGATTGAAAGAAATGATTTCGAAACGAAAATCATTCGCTGAGAGAACTTTTTCAAACAAACTTTGTTTGATTTCTTCGGGTGTATTATAACGATCTCGAATGGTTAATTTTTTCAGGTAGAGAAGGTCAGAAAGACACGTCATGTAATCACTTAATTCCTTTCCATTGAATGCAATAAGAATCAAATGTTCAAGATTAGGAAAAGCGTCTTTCATTTGATGTCCGAAGTGATAATGGAACCGTTTACCGACTAAATCTGTCCAATTGGCATTGATTGATAAGGTCCGAACAGTTGAGCTAATTTCGGGTAGAATCACCGAACAGATGTATTCAAATTGCTGAAAATTCGTTAAACGGAAAGTGACATGTTGACGATATGTGAAGATTGTTCGATTTAAACGAGAATTTAAGTTAAATAATGAGTAAAGAACATCAGTCGAGGAAAGATATCGACAGATTTGTAGTAATAATTCATCAGGAAGACATTCGAAATTCATCAGTATTCACATGAACAAAGCGATTGTCGAATTTAAAGATTGGTACATTTGACGGACGATAGGCTGCGTTGCTATTGGTCGGAAAAAAACCATTAGGAACGTACAGAACCTCTAACAAGACTGATTTTAATTTTATGGAAATTTTACAGGTTTAAATAAGAAATTAACGAATTTGACGATGATTTTCCGCGTAAAAAATGAATTAAATTCGAAAAAAGATGATTTCTGATGAATTTTTATTGGTTTAATTTCCATGAGATAAATAAATAGATAGAAGAAAAATATCAAAGCAAATATATGCAAAAAAGAACTGATCTTTTCTCAGTTGATATTCAAAAATTTGCCTGAAGGAATTTTTTTCTCATTTCTTTGCAAAATCATTATCATTCGGCAATGTTCGATGTTTTCACCTTTCTCATAACTTTACTCACGCAATTCGAATAAATTCTCAAATTGTTTTTTCTTTTCAGTACATGTCAATTCGTATGTAAAGTTTCAAAGGTTTGACTGTCTATGGAAATCTATTTGAAGATCGGAAGAATTATTCTGATATTTCAACGGTGTTTTAGATAGAATTTCATTAGTTTATTTATTTAATAATGTCGGGAAAAGATCGGTACAATGTATTTCCATCGCGAATGTAAGTTTGAAAGAGGTTCGAGGAGAAGTTGATGAAAATGATTTGATTTAGGGCTCAAACGATTATGAAAGGTCGTTTGAAAGGTGCTCAAACAGGACACAATTTATTGAAGAAAAAAGCGGATGCTTTAGCCATTCGATTTCGATCGATACTTAAGAAAATCATCGATGTAAGACGAGAAAAAGTCATTAGAAATAAATCTCATTATTTTGTTTATTATCAGACAAAAATGTTGATGGGTGATGTGATGAAAACTGCCTCGTTCTCCTTGGCTGAAGCGAAATTTTCCATGAGTGGAGATTTTACTCAGGTTGTCATACAAAGTGTCACCAAAGCACAAATTAAAATCCGTACAAAACGCGATAATGTCGCCGGTAAGTCCTCGAACTGTTCCTCTTGTCTTAGTTTTCATCTTTTTTTCAGGTGTTGTTCTGCCATCATTCGAATCCTTTAACGACGGAGGAGATAGTAAGTCAAATCGAAGGCTAAATCATCGAATAATTCATTGAGATTTCGTTCAGCTTTTGAATTAACCGGTTTGGGTCGTGGTGGTATGCAATTACAAAGGCTAAAACGCAATTATGCCGAAGCAATAAAGAATCTGATTGAATTAGCTACACTTCAAACATCTTTTCTTATTCTTGATGATGTTATCAAAGTAACAAATCGTCGGGTCAATGCAATCGAACATGGTTTGTTGTCGGACGACATTGTCGATGATTATTAATCGTTTGATTTTTAGTTATTATACCAAAAATAACACGAACTATCAATTATATCGTTTCGGAACTTGATGAAATGGAACGTGAAGAATTTTATCGGTAAGAATTTCTTTGTTTGTCGTCTGGGACGGTTTCCAATTGTGTTTTTTTTAGTTTGAAGAAAGTTCAAGAGAAGAAAAAACAAGCTCGTGCACTTCAAGAACAGAAACGAGTTGAAATGGTCAAAAATGGCGTTCTAACTGGTACAGAAGAAGAAGCACCAAACATTTTAGACGAAGAACATGACGAAGATAATCTTTTTCTATAATTTCTCTTTCTCTTTATTCGCATTATTTGTCATTCCATAATCCCTTTACTTATTTTGATCATATATTTTTAAACATTGTCTGTAAGTGATAAACCATAATTATCACCCTTTCTATTTGTAATTTTCCTTTGTCTATTAAATCTGTATGTTGACGAACCAACGCGCATTTAATTCCAACAAATCTATGTACTTATAGATGCCAGCTCCAATGTTTTTACGGGGTGCAGCCCCATGGCGAAATACTTTAGCGTATTTAGAATCCGGTTCGATTATCTTCCGTCCACTTGTTCGTATTTTCACCTTGAATTACACTCTCGACAAGCCCGACTCGGATGGTCTACGTCGTTTTATATTTTGGCATTTAGCTCAAATTCAATATAAAAATCCGACTGTTCAATGTGTACAATTCAAGAACACGACTCCAACACCGTTCGTGTCGTTTTACTTGTCACGTCCATCGATTGATAATGAAGAAAAGTCGGAAGAGGAAAACTATGAAATTGTTCATATGGATTGTTATAAGAAAACTTCGAATGAAATTCACGATTCGATTCGACGAGTTATGGGTAAAAGTGAATTACAACAACGGATCGATTCGGAATTAACAGCACGATTGGAAAATCCGGCAAATTTTGGAAAAGATTGCGCACATTATTGTATGTGTTTGGCTTATGGACAAGTGTCATGCCCGGGAAGAAAGAAATTACCTGAACATCTTCGTGGCAAATTTACAAGATATAAAGTCGATGAACTGGAAGAAATACGAAAGAAAATAAGTGATACTGATGCGATGAATGAGTATTGGAAAAGACCGTTTTAGGTTTAATAAAACAAAGTTTAGGAAAGAATTTATTGTTCTTTGAATTTTACAGAAAAACCAAATATTTTCAAAAACAATCGCTTTGAGCTGATGATTACAATCGAGTTGCATTTTCTGTATCCACTGATAGGGCACGTTGTTTGCGAAATTTATTTGATAAGAGTTGTTTACGTTTATTTCGAAATGAACTTCGCCAAGAATTTTCGCTCTCGCTCTCGTCCTTGATGATTTTATTCGTACAGTTACTGGACAGAATTGCCGAATCTTTGACTTTCTCTTCGCTTGACGTGCTCGCTTCACTTCTCGTCTCAGTTGTATTGTGAATATCAGATAATTCTGTCGTACGTCGTCGAGCGAGATCGAGTTTTTGTTTACGAATAATTGTATTTCGAGGTTTAGCCACTGAATTATCTCGTAATTGTAATTTATACTTCTCAGTTTGGGTGATATGAAGTAGAATTTTCCAACATTCACTCCCCAGAATCGATAAGTCAATTGCTTTATTTCCGTTATAATCACATTTATCGATATCTGCATTGTTCTGGATCAAAATTCGACAGACGTTTGTCATATCATTTCGAACTGCGACCATTAATGGCGTTCGTTGTTGTAAATTTTGCGCATTGATATCAAATCCTTTTTCGATTAACTTTTCCAAGATCGAAATGTGCGCATCGTTTTCCTTGCGATAGCAAAACCAATGCAATAACGTATTATCACCTGTCATTACAATCGAAGGAGTCAGAGCACCAGCAGTATCGAGTAAATCGAACATGGTTTCATCGCCATTTGATATCGCATAGTGAATTCTAAATGAAACAAAGATTTGGACTGAGAATTTGAGATTGAAATTACATACGGACGAACTCCGGACTGTCTTTCAACGTAATTAACATTTGCTTTCTTGCCAATTAATAATTTTACCAAAGGTAAATTACCTTTTCGTACCGCGATCATCAATGGTGTTTCTTTGCCCGAATAATCTGCACTCGCTTCATCTTTGTATATATACGGAATTGGTTTATCGACATATGCACCGTACTCCAAGAGAATTTTCGCCATTTCGAGTGTTTTCTGTGCTTTGTGAGAATGATAATCATCGTAAACTTTCGACGCTAAGATGCCGAGTGGAGTTTTGAGGTTAATTGTGTTGGTTTGATCAGGTACAGCACCATGGTCAAGTAATAAACGAACGATTATCGGTGTTGAATGTTCCGCAGCTAATAAAAGCGCTGTATTTCCTTCATTATCAATATCTTTAGTAAGAAGGTCGCGTTCGAAGTCCAAAATTCGACAGATTTTATCCGTATTCTCTTCGAGAATCGCCGAACGGAATGTCGCTAAATTTGTTTTGAACAAATATGACAGTAGAACTTTCGACATTTTGCTTCGAAATATCTAAGTGAAGAAAAAAACGTAGCAAATTATTCGTCTGTCGCTTATTTTATATGCGCAAATAAATGAATGCATGTTTATATTGTTGTTACTATCCAGGTGAGAGAAAATCAATAGCCATGCAGAGACAACGTGTGGGGAAAGCGAATATCGAATTTAATCATGATTGATTTTGTTTATTCAGGGGACATCTTAGACTCGAAAGTAAGATATCGATCAATTGATTTAGTTATGGACAATAATTGATGCAATTACACGCATGGAGATATGATGAAGTGAAGTCATGCATAGAGCATTTTCGAATGACTGCAGATATTTCTGGGAAAAAAGTGAACAAATATTAATGGTTGAGGAATTGAATTTCGATATTGGATAGAAAAATAAACAAAAGTCGGTTATCGAATTTCCGATACGAAATATTATGTGAGTTTCATTGTTGTATCGTCAGTGTGGCTCAGAGCGTGAATCGAAAGTGTACAAACCTTCTTTTATGCTATTTTTGTGATGTTTACTTGATGATAAATAGGAAAAATGGCGTGCTACGTTGATAGAAACACACGGAATACACCAAAGTGTCGCAGCGTGATAGAGCAAAAAGAGTGTGCTTATGCTCAATCTTGGAGATATTTTATAGAATGGAAAGGTGTGATCATCTATGAATAACTAAAGACTACGTTTTCTTTTGACACTTAATATAGAATCTAAGTATTTTTGTAATTTCTAGCTTATACAATTTTAGTCAACAGGATATCTATGTGATAAAAATAGATGTCTCATGTACCTAATCAGTGTACCTTGCATTTACATCGTGGAGTATCGTGCTAAAGTACAATTGTACTCTGCATTGATATTACGTACGACTGCACTATGTGCTACATACATCGAGGGTTAGGGTATCAATGAGATAAAACGAAAATCCGTCGTTCAAGCGCCCATTGAAACGCATCTTTTCTCCGTTTTCTTTACATAAAATTAGAAAAAATACTCCGTAAGCAGTGGTTTCTATTTGGTCAAAGTCTTCATCAAAATCTTAAAGGTGTAGATGTACTCATCACTTCCACACCCTCAAAATAAAACAAATGTTCATCTAGATAGCCTTGAAAGTGGAACGAAACCGACATAACCGCTTTCACACTCTTCTTCTTCTTCTTCTACAATCGATTCCTCAGTACTAATAAACAATGTTTCTGATGAGAATCTAAAACAAAGTGTAACGATTCACGGTACTTTTTTTGTCACAATATGTATTCGTGCACTTCGTTTTACCTATCAAGAAAAATACATTAGCGCCTCCATTTTTATTCTATTCGGCAAAGTGTGCATGCTGTAAACGCGATTAAAGAAAAAAATTCCTATTTATAACGTTATAATTCAAACGCCAAACCCGCAATTTTTTTAATTCAGCGGGTAAATTATTTTTCATTCGGGTACCGTACCCTTTGTCATTATAAACACTGCTTTAAACATGTGTTGATACTGATAGGCATCTATTCGCTATCAACTAGATTAAAAAAGCTTTCTTTCGACCTTCTATTAAAACTGTCTACAAAAGAGCATTAGAAAAGCGTATATCCATCGTATACAACTCCTCTAGACTTTGTAACAAGTTACGAATTCTTACTGACATTAGTTAATTAGAGTCTTGGTTGATGTGTCTCGTATGGAAAAAGACGTTAGATACCCTCGTGTTACTTATGGGCAGCCCTATATAATTAGCTGCTTGGAATTGTGAAGAACTAACATCGGATTCGAATTCTTTGCCCGCAATTACCTATGGTCTATTATTTTCGTGTGATCATCGTCAAGTTTTCTGACATAGTTGGTGCTGTTACAAAGCTCAGATGCAGCTTTTCCAAGTTCAAACATGAGTTTGCTAGTGATACACACTTGTCTTTGTAAATTGGACACATAAATGGATTGTTCATTCATTGAAACTAAATTTGGGACAAAAGTAGATGATGTGGAAATAATTATCAATATCAATGTTAATACTGATGCAGCTTTTTTCTGTGTTCCTAGTCCGCATGAAGCTCGTGCGAACTCCGAAGTTAATGTGATACCTGTTTCACAGAAATACGATGCGAGTGGTATCTTTATACATACAGAATTTGCCCTTTCAATAGCATTGCTCGTTGTAGACGAGCACAATTTGCTTCGCTGATCTGCTTACGTCCCGATTATCTGGACTACAAACTGATCATACTTTCAAGACGCTGAAAATATCGTCAGACCGATGAATTGATCTTTGCCGAGAAAGACAATCGACATCTGATCAGCACAGTCGTACACTGCTTTTCACTTACCTTGTCATGTGTTACTTCTCAAGCTAATTAACTCTATAACACGTGACAATCGATTGTGCCACATTTCGAATGAAAAATTTACATGCAAAATACTTGGTGAAAGTGCTGAGACTAGTATGAACATATTCACGACACTGAGAATAGACTGTGTTGCATATTTATGTTAGATGGGAGTTGTACCTCGTTTTGAGATAATTTCGATAGAAAATATTCAGTGAATCGTGTGATTTCATGCATAGCATGATGAGACACATACCAATTGATATTTTTCATTAATGTGTTGTTTTTCTTGATCGTGCTCGAGTATTTGAGTAAATATAAGGTTGTCGTGATTCGGATGAGGTTAAATGGTGAATGGTATGAGAGATAGACCTTTTTTCTTTGATTTTAGTTGATAAATATAAATTAATGAGAAAGAGAAAGTGTATTTGATCTAAGTTGTCAATTTCTTTTTTCGAAATAAAATATTGTGAATAAAATTCTGTAAAAGATTTGCCGTGCTTTTCAGAAGTTCTTGTAATGTATTCTTTTACGTCTAGTATATTGTCTATATGGTAAATATATGAAGAAAGAGTTGCTGTTTATATGTAATTTGTTTCCTGATCGTAAAAAATGTCGCATGCATCTTGTTTACTCTTCGCTAGTGCAGTAAGATTTAAATCAGGTGATTTTTGTCATGCTAATTACAATTTGAATGGAAAAGGTCAATGTTCATAGGTCTTCTTTTCAAATATAAGAACAGGATATTAATTCAAAATTGATATCTGTGTGCATTGTAAGTGAAGGTGTGGATTACACACGCATACTCAAGATTTTGTTGTTGCTGAAAAGAATTCTATAATCCACTTATTTTCTTTCATTTCATTCATCGAAAAAAACGCACGAATGAATAGAATACCAAAAGCAAAAAGCAAAATCGAACAATTCTCTCATTAAATAGCAACCTGACAAAGATTTCTTACTTTCTCTGATTCTCTAACAGAACAATGACTGAAATAAAAACAACAGAAGAAGAAAGATGATTGTTGGCGTTTTACTGAAATTCATGATTATTGAAACGACAACAATATGACTAATCGATTTTAACTAAAAATATACATCTTTTATCAGTAGATGGAAATATCAAAATCAATCTTTTCACGATTCATTCTTATTTTTCTATTGGCTGCCATGAATTTTCATATTACTCAAAATACAACTGATACTTTTATTTCCTTACACAAAATATTTCATCATGAAAACTTGATAATAACATCCATGCAATCAAATGACGCAACGTTTTCGTAGATTACACAATTAAACAATCCTTATTTATACTCCGAGAAACAAAATTTGAGAAGAATCACAAAAATGTCGAAATCTGCTGTTTCCCCTGACCTATTAACAATAATCGTCACAACTTCACCTGTACCTTCTGCCCCATCTCCTGATTTAATCAAAAATACTCTTTGTTCATTACCACCTTCAATATCATCAGTTCCAATCATTATTACATTTGATAATTACACTATCGCTTCGAATGACAAAGGCAGATTGAAAAAAGGATCTGTACCTCAAGTTTTAGTCGATCAATATCCGATGTACATAAGAAATGTTTGTGAATTGTTCGATGATGTTTCTTATTTATCCGATGATGCCGAATGTTCTGTTTTATCGAGTTCATCTCGTCTTGCCACTTTTCTTCTCTTGAAAAATCGAAATGGATTCGCATTTAGCGTAAAAACAGCTTTGAATTATGTCCAAACCCCGTACGTCATGATTCTCCAACATGATTGGTTATTTGCAATTCATCCGCCCATGTCTGATCTTCTATCGATTCTGCAAACTGAAACTGAAGTTCGATACATAAGTTTCATCGCTCGAATGTCTTTAAACTACGAAATAAGCCGAGGTCATTCGCATTCTTATTTTCATCATATCTTTTCCGAAGCTCGAAATCTTCGAAAAGATCGCCTTCTCTCCACTGATCTCATCGCCTGTTTACATTGGTTCGATCGGCCGCATCTTTGCTCAGTGGAAACCTACCGTGAAATTTTTAGTCTTCCCATCGTGAAACGAGGCGATTTCATCGAAGATACATTTGGTATCGAGTATATCAAAAGCATGATGAGTTCCCCGACGAAAGAAATCGCGTTCGACCAATGGCAAAAATGGGGCGCTTGGTTATATTATCCCGAGAATGGTACAATTGTTACTGTCGTACATCAACATGGTCGAAAGAATTTATTAGGCGAACGAGAAGAAGAGAAAATTCAAAATTTGATCAAATCCAATCGAGAAAAACATACGTAGATTGTGTTTTTATTCATCATAATAAACATATTCGATATTACCCATGTTCTATTTCCTTTTCTATACATTTCACCTTCAAATACCAATCAGCGCTATTACCTTCACGCACGTGTCGTTATTCGGAGTAAATCACTTTCTTTCCGAAGAAAAACAAGAACAATGATCGGCAAACTCGAAGATCTTCCGAATGAAATTTTAGCGAATATTATGGAATATATTTCCTCACCAAATGATATTTATCAAGCATTTAACAATCTAAATCAACGTTTTCAAACAATTCTTCAACATCTGTACTTAAATATCGATATATCTCATGAAGATAAACAAATTTTACTTTCAAATCGACTGTTTGCATCATATTGCAATCGTTTACGTTTGTTCAACATCTGTCCTTCGATATCTTTACATAAATTTTCTCGACTACGATCATTGACAATGAAAGAACCAACGGAATCTCAAGTCAATTCCATTCGATCATCAGTTTTACCTTTACTGGAACATCTGACTGCACCTCCAACGATGGTAACGGCGTCTTTTTTTCTTCTCACTTTTCATTATCATAGTTGGATTTTAGATGATCTTCGATTGTTTATTTGGCAATGAGAAACAACGATGGAAAAGACTCCACTCTTGTTCGTTTTTACGTTCTCCTCTTCCGAATTGGAAGAACACATGGAAAGCAAACTCAACTCTCCGGAAACTAATGGATATTTGCTGTTCACGAGAAATCCTTACTCAACTTCTAACACTTACTCCTTGTCTTCAATATTTACATGTGGAAATTCCGGTTATCGATGATTCCACTTGGAAGTATCCATTGCACATTGATCATTTAACTTCATTACAATTCGAATTTGTTAGTTTGAATTATAACGATGTTTCAGCTTTGCTTAGAGGAAATTTACGTCGATTACATCTGCGTATTTATCGCAAAGATTACCCAACTGATTTTCCGTATTTAGGAGCGTTAATCGCATCGAATGCTCCAGAGTTGAAACAATTTGAATGTGATTATGAAGAAGAAGATCAAGTGGATATCAACGAGATTAGAAATGCACATCGAATTTTTAAAAATTGTGTTCTATTTCGAACAGAATTCGATAAATCTTGCAAATTAATTTGTAAAAACATTCAGTGTGATTAGTTATTTGAAGCAAATGGTAATTATCGAAAGACAGTCTGTTTGTTGCTCAAGGCAATGACTTTCTTTTTAATAAAGACATGTTTACGACAATATCTTCTGGAAAGAAATATTGGTTTTCTTTGTTTATATCATTCGTTCGTTCTTCTTGACAAAATCTCAATTGAGCATGTCATTGAAATCAATCTTTATTTCATAATTATCCGTTTAATCAATGTCAAACAGGAAAATTTATTACATTCTATTCAGATTCAATAGTACTTCTCATCCGTTAATAAATCGATACATTCTCGAATATCCCAAATAGATATTTTTGTCATTGTTATTATTTAACATATAAAAGCAGTAGAAAGGAAAGGAAACTGTAATACATTTATTGCTAATAATCTGATATGTGTCGAAAGAGTTTTTCTCTTTTTCCATACAAATGAATGTTGTTGATAAAACTTCTTCAGCTGTCTAATTTATCAATGAATCGATATTTTGTTTTCTTCTTATGCAGATGTTTCTATTACCATCTGGTGTTGCTTTTCGATAATATTTGTATAGAAATCGAATAGAAGAAGTTCTCAACAGTATTATCATGGAATTTCTCTCTCAACGTTGCTCGTCTTGTCATCTACCGAAATCCAAATTGAAACGAGTAAGAATTGCATCACTCATTTCATCTTCTCACTTTTCATACACTTTCAGTGTGGACTTCTCATTGGATTGCTCGTTCTCAATCTCATTGCCATATGTCTTGTCAGTTATCTTATTGCATACGTATGGGTTCGCGGTATTCGTCGTAATAATGTTGCACAATCAACAAAGACCTGGAATTCGAGTGATTATCAATCGAATAGTGAATATTATCAAAATTTAAAAGAAGTCTCGAATTTCCATCAAATCGATAATTTACGATTGGATCGTCTTCGTTCGCCTCGATTTCATCCAATCAATGGAGAAAGTGTCATGTACATTCGGAAACAATACCATATGCCTGATTTAAAAGGATCAACAACAACTTTACATTGGATTGATTTGAAAACAAACCAAACTATTCAACTAACACGACCGATTTGGGGTATACATGATCAACAAGTAAGATTGAACAAGTTTTCTTCGGAAGATTTCCAACAAACTTTCTCTTTAGTTTTTTTGGCTCGACGCGAAAACGGTTCTTTTTCTTTCCAATCGCGGATCATCTCGTTCATCACAGTTATTTCAATTGAATTTACCGGAGGATATATCAACGGTGAAGAATTATCTCGAGCCAATTCAAATAACCGATTATCCACTTCATATGGGCGATCTTTTAATTAATCGGCAAGCAACACGTTTGGCATTTAGTTGTGAAGTTTATCCGAACTCAACAATGCGTGAAACTTCGTATTACCAATCGATTAAACAAGAAGAAAAGAATCCGGTTTACAAATTTGATAAACTATTCGTTCGGCATTGGGACGAGTATCGGCTTGGCCTCCGCCGCCATCCATTTCTCGTTTCAATCCAACGCAACTCTTCAGGAATATTCGAATTGCAATCGAAACCGCAAGATATTCTCTTCGGAATCGACAGCGATGCACCGACAAAGCCATTCGGCAGTGCACGAGCACAATGGTCATTCAGTGCAAGTGGAAATTCCTTTGCTTATACGAGACAATATGACGAAACAAGCGCAGTGGCATGGTCTACTAATTTAGATATTTACACTGTTGATTTGACCGCAAAGACCTATGTGAGTGTCTGTGTAACATGTGATAATTTCGCTGCTGATGCAGATCCGAGATATTCACCAGTGGATGAACATGTCTTAGTTTATCGATCACAGTCTGTTCCTGGTTATGAATCAGATCAACACAAAGTCAAATTAATCAACGGTAAACAATTCAGGTTTTCTTCTTCTTCTTTTCGTTCATTTTCCTTCTCAGGTTCAAATCCTCCGATGGTCTTACTGAAGGATTGGGATCGCAGCATCAATAGTATAACATGGTCAAAGGATGGTCAATCACTTTTTCTCGAATTAGGCGAACATGCTCGACATGTTGTTTACAAACTAACTAACATCACATCTCCAACATCGATGCCCATTCGTCTTCTAACCAGTGGTTCTTCCAACGATATTCAGATTCATCCAATTAATGATAACATCTTTCTCTATGCTCATCGAAGTATTACTAAACCATTGAATCTTTATTTATACACCTCGCCACTCTCAATACGATCAATAACTGATCATAATACAAATCTTCTATCCAAAGTTCGACTTACTACCGCAGTTGATTTATTCTCATTTATCGGTGCACGAAATGAAACTATCTATGGTTGGCACGTTCCGCCTATAAATGGTACAAATAACAAAACTCCTTTAGTCTTCTATATTCATGGTGGTCCACAGATCAGTTCTTACGACACCTGGGGTCACAATTGGAATTTTCAGTCCTATTCCGCACAAGGTTACGCAGTCATTGCTATTAACTTTCATGGCTCAGACTCTTACGGACAAAACTTTACGGATAGTATCACTGGTGAATATGGAACATTGCCCTATGAAGATTTGAAATTAGGTTTAACAGCAGCGTTGAAACGTTTTTCTTATCTTGACAGCGATCGAGTAGTCGCAATCGGTGGCAGTTACGGTGGCTATATGATCAATTGGATTGCTGGTCATCCGGAAATGAGTCGACGCTTTCGAACATTTATATCTCAAGCCGGTGTTTTCGATTTAAGACATTTAGCTTATACAACCGATGAATTATGGTTTGCTGAACACGATTCCGGTGGTTTTACTCCTTTTGATAATCTCGATAAATACGAACGAGATAATCCGATAAAACATGTTTTGAATTGGACCCAGCCAATGTTAATTATTCATGGTGCACGAGATTTTCGTATTCCCGACACGCAAAGTATAGGTGCATTTGTCGCTTTACAACGACGTGAAGTTCCGAGTCGATTGCTTTACTTTCCTTCTGAAGGCCATGCAGTTGTTAATCCATTCAATTCACTTTTTCTTCACAAAGAAGTGTTTTCATGGATTAAAAAATGGACAACATAAAAACTCTCCGTTTTGTATATAATCTGACGCTTGGATTGCATTTTCTCCTTTGCCTTATCTATATGTATTTATATTTGTAGTATATTTCGTTTATTTAGTTTGTTTTCTATGAAATTTAGAAGGAAAATATTCATTCATTCAACCAATTGTTTACATAATCGGAAAATAACAATCTTGATCCCGGAAATTGCGCTGATTTCCGGTAGTTCTGCATCATTTGATAAACATCTGCAACTGTTTTGTTTTTCTCTTCCAATGACACCAATAAAGTTTTCAATTTCGTCGCTAAACTATCATCATGATACGCAGAATAATCCAGTCTTTGAAGTTTCTCATTGATAATCGTAGCTGCACATAACTGTTGTAAAAATTTGAATATCAAATCCCCGCCGAACACTCCACACCCCCAGTTTCCCGTTGCGATAATTGAATCTTTCGATTTTTCAAAACCAGCCCACGCTTTGCCTAAATCTCGATCAATATTCTCCTTGCTGAATTGTCCTGAATAACAAGCATCGAGCACGAGAATATCTTGAATGCGACCGGATCTTGTGTAGTGTTCCTTATAAGCAAATGTATCGGCATAACCCGTGTAATCAACAAATCGTTTACATCCGCGAAGAATAACAATTTCCTTGTCGAGGAGAGTTTCGCAGACAAGAATAGCAAGAAATGCTTCTGGACAGCAACTAACTAAAACATTAAAATATAGGTGAAGTTTATGAAAATTTCGCAATTGTTGTTTACATAGAACTTCTTCTTGCGTTGCGGATGGGATAATTTGGTGAATATGAATGTGTTTGTTAGCAAAATCAACAAAACCTTCTGCATCGATTGAATCTTCCATTCGATTTGTGTTGACACAGACCTTCGAAGATCGAATTGGAATACGTTTTTGACTCCAGTCAGGTAATTCATCTTGATAGAAGTATCTTTCAATAGAAATTTCTCGGTCCAAATCCTTTTCTTCCGATGATAAACGAAAATATTCAATCAAACAACGAATTCTCGCAATGGATAAATCTTCGTCGAATGAATTATACAGATGGTTCAGACTGATGTTTCCATATCCCGGTAATACATTGAGAAAGAAAGCATTGGCAAGAATATAACGAGCTTGTGCCGCTGTGTAAACAACCGTTCGTGTCGCACCTGCATGAAGTAGTTCGATGGATTTTGCCTGTGTATGATCCGATGCCCACTGGGCGATTTTCGGAAGAAGATCGTTGTAAAAATCGAAGTCTAATTGGCAAATCGTTTGTTCAAGCCGCAGAAAATTTCGATGGTCTTTTTCTTGACTAGAAAGGAGATTGACCAATGAATGGAAACCATTTTTACCTTCACAAATTGTAAATATCCGTTCTGGATCAGCAATGAATGTTGTGCTCGTAGACATGATAGTGTATCGTCAAAATCGTAAACGAATGAAACGTCTGTTCTTCCTACGTGTCGTTATTCATGATGACTATTTATTGGATGAATCATCACATATAAAGAAAAGCAACGTTGGCAAGAAGCGCAATTGTTGCGTAATAACGGTGACGGCCGAGAAAATGTTCGGCTAATTTCTGTGTTGACGTGACGATAAATGGGTTCAGCAGTATAAATCTGTGTGTTTGAGGGTGAACTTATGTAGGAAATAATGGTGACTCAGTTGGAGAATCTTTCGAATGGAATTTTGTTGATGATTATGGAGTTTGTCTCGGCTCCTTTGGAAGTTTATCAGAGTTTTGAACAGCGAAATCAAAAATTTCAGAATCTTTTGGAATTCTGTCATGTGAATTTCGATATCTTTTTGGAAAATCAATAATATTCATACCTGAGAGAACATTTCGCAACAAATTCTTATCGTTTACGTGTATTTAATATCTGTCCTGAAGTAGCATTGAATTCTTTTTCAAAACTACGTTCATTAACAATAACTCAACCCACTGATGCGCAAATTCGTTCAATCCAGCCCTTTATTTTACCCCACTTAGAATATTTATCAACGCCTGCAACACTCGTAATACCGAACAAAGTTTCTTTTCTCATTTTCCGCTTTATTTCTTCCTAGAACATCTTCTCGGCGATTCACAACATCAATGGTAGTTTCTTTCCTCGTGCAATTTCTACAACTTGTTTCTCGTCTCAAATACCTACGTGTAGATATGATTATGAATGACCAATCATCATGGATCATGCCAGTGAACAATAGAAACTTACTTTCATTGAAAATTAGTTTTTATGAAATCATTTGCATTTGGAAGTGTATAATGAACATTCCCCGATTGATTTCTCCTATCTTGGTGTACTGCTCATGTCATTTGGAAAAGATTTAATTGTGACTATCGAGCATTTGATGTTAATTTAGAGGAAATTCGCTGTTCTCATATTCTATTTCGTAGTATTCAGTGAATTCCTTCAATGTCATCGGATTAATTTAAAAAGATAAAAGTTCATAAACGTGATTGCGATCGATATCTCTGTGAATATAATCGACGATACCGACGTTTTGAAAGATTGACTCCAGGTGTGAGATCGATCAATTGCGAATTTATAGAAACAAAACTCGCAATTTGATTCGATAAAATCGAAGAAGTATTAAATGGAAGATATTTGAATAGTTTCGATTCTGGAAGAGGAAATGCCGAACCATTTTCACGATAGTTATCCAGCGTATCAATCACAATTCCTATTTAACAAAACCAGTCTGACACATATCATTAGAAGAGTACAAATTCATATTTTTTCTCTCATTCTAATCATCGTTGGAGACAATCTCCTTCTTAATTGAGTCAAAAACCTACGAATTGCTTCATTTAAACACATTGGAATGACTTTCTCCAGTGCTTGATTGGTCATATCCAACGTTGGTCCACTATTAATTTCTAATAACCAACAATTCAGTTTCTCATCGATTAAAATATCGACTCCATAATAACCAAAACAACCTTCCTGAATAGTTAATTGATTTCTAATCGCATAGGCCACTTGATGAAGAATATTCGTGATTTGTTTCTACAAACTGAACAACTCTTTTCGATTTTTCAATAAAGATTCTTACAGGTAATTGATGAATTACCCAATCTTTGTCTATTCCCATCGTATTCGGTTGAATCACATCGTTGAAATATTCATTGAACTCCTCTATAGTCATTCCTGTCATATTTTTCTTTGAAGGAAAGTTTTCATCTTTATTTTGAATCGTTTGATTAGTTAAATGAATGAATTTATTCAAATCTTCTAAATTGAATTGGTACATCGATAAACGAAGATATCCCGTTTGACAGGCAAAGCATAAAACATCGTTGGATAAACAAATACATAAGAAATATGTGCGAATGTCGAATTTTTGTTGATTGATAAGTAGAGGATTTTCGATGTACCTTTGAACGAGACGATTCGAATACAAATCTCTTTGTTGATACTGTTTGAGATGATTTTCGAGTTGTTCTTCTGAACGGAAGAGAAAGATTTCTTTTCCACAGGAAAGTCCGACTGGTTTGCATATCCACAATGAATTCTGCTGGAAATTCTTCTTGAAATTGATCCGATCGATCAGATTATCTAACAAATACGTTTCAGGGAGAAACTTTTGTAACAAAATATTCGATTTGCTTTTGAAGTAAGTTCTCAGGTTTTTCAATAATAGGCCTTTGTTTGAAACTTGCTTTTCGTTGAATATATGATTGAGAATTTGAAAATTGGAATCGAATCTATTCCAATCGATGTCACTTGAACGTGTGATCCAATTGAATTTCACGCCACCGAGGGGAATCGTGTCGTATCGATCGAGATCAAATTTATCAAGCAGATCTCGGACAAGTTTCGAATTGTTTTTACCGAAAACATAATAACCGTTGATTCGATTCGATTTTGATTTATTCAACATTGTTATCGGATAAAAAAATAAAAGTAAAATGATCTTCTTAGAAACCGATTTGAAATTGTGAAAATGATGGTTTGTTATTAAAAACTTGTTACTGATTTCGAACGATTAAAAGAAGCTTTTCGATATAAATTTGGAGATGAAAATGTGGAAAAACGAGTGTTAGAAGTCGAATATGTTTCAACCATTTGATGTTTTAGATTTTGACTTTGACGAATATAGAAAATGATCAAAATAAGTGTGAAGACGATTATAATTATATTCGGGAAAAGAGTGAGAGAATATTCATTGAGAATCGGAATAATAACATGTTCAACTTGCTTTTCTGTAATCATCGATAACCTAATGAAATTATTTTTAATACCGATTGTTAAAAAATGCAAAGATTTCAGCGCCAAAACCATTATTGCCTCATCCATTCACTCATATCTATATCAGGTATGTTACAGATTCTGTAACTTGATTGCAGAAGATATTTATCATCAGGTTGTCTTTGTATTGAGTAAAGTAAGGTAAATTCATTCTGGTGATCGGTGCCTCGATAGACAAACTTTCTGGTTGACAGCAGTAGTATTAAACTCGAAACTTGAATTCAAGTATTCCAGTATTCGATTTTTGGGTACGAGCGCTCAGACGGCCTTCGCTACCAACTTTCGCTATCTATGGAATCGCCCTCTCCTATTGGTCAGTTGCACAGCACGCTGCTAGCAATCGCGTGGTTCATTTTTTCTGCAACAAAGTAGATGTCAACCTTTCTCTGGGCCAAAGAAAGTGTTGATGGACACTTGCCAATGACAGCTATTACAGGCACTGAACGCACAGTGAAACCCATCGCTCCTATACATCGGACATTAGGGTTTCTGTCACAACATTTTCTTTTACTGAATTTAACACGAACCCAATTCTCCATGTAAAATGTCCCAAATAGTTATGCCTAATATTTTCATCTTCGTTTTCCCTCATAAACCAGGCAACTCACCGCTACTTACACCATAACCCCTCAACGCTAATACTCGAATTCAAGTTTCGGGTTGTATATGTATGGTTGACAGAGAAGTATCAATGTTTATAAGTGTCTTTTTACTATATCAAGCGGTAAAATTTGTGTCGTTAAATATAAATAGAACATGTTGCTTGTCAGAGCGAATTATCGAGTTTTGATTTCTTTTGAATGACTTGGTAAACGACACTCAATCGTTGACATTCTTTGTTATTCACAAATCATATTTTACGAAAACAAAAGTCATTGCTAATGTCTGAAAGCACAAAAAGAATCCATCATGTTTCTGTAACGTTCTTCAGTAAACAAGGTATTCATGTAATTAGTATAATCATTAATGAGAGGTTATGTCTGAAGAATTATAATTCAGCTTGATTATGTAAATCTAAGTGAAAGAATGTAGCTAGAGCAGAAGTTCAAGTACCAAACCTTTCCATCAAACGATTTTTTCACCGAATTGAGAAAAAGAAAAGAAGGTGTCAATGAAAATTAATAAGAAATATAATGCTGTAAGAACGTATAGACAAGACGAACAAAATCAGATTAGAAATCGAATAAAAGAAATGAACACGGTCATATTTTGATAATTAAATGAGAAAATATGACGTACGTGATGTCGCAATCAAATAAACTTCGAGCCGAGAATGAAAAACGATCGAGGACGTTGTAAAACAAATATTTGGCTATGCCATTATCTTACAGAAGTCGAGTGTGCTTATCCACTTTTCCGGTCTTTCTCTTATAATTAGTTTCTTTTAAACTGCGTTAAAAACTTGTCGTTCTGATGAAATTTTCCGATAAGAATGCAATAATTCTGTACTTTGCAACGATTTAGATCAATCAGATAATCAAAAATGTATTTGTATTCTCTTCATTATACTCTGGTTTTACATCAATAGCAAATTGATCCACATCGATTTGTCTCCGAACGAAATTCGTGTTCTTTTACATCGGTTGGAAGACCAAAGATCTGGAATCAGTGATAATCACGACAATAAAGACATAATCTTTCTCCACACGATAACATTTCTTAAGCTTTCCGGTGTAATGCAGATCAAGAAGCATAATCAGTCGTATAGGCTACTGAAAAACTCACGCAGAATATCATATAATCACTAACAACGTCACGAGAATGAAAATATGGATTTGATTCAGTTCATTACTTAGGAAGAATCATCGTTTGTGTGCTTTCTTCTCATTGAACGACTAAAAATGAGTCTGTTTGAGTAAAATGCAACGATTTTCCAGAAAGAATATAGATGAAATAAACAAGATACTTCTATTCTTTTCTTTTTCTTCATTTCTATTCTTAACATACGCATCTCTTCATGAGAAAAATATCAAGAGACATTTGTTTGATAAAATAATATTTAAATATTTAAGAAAAAGATTCACAAATGCGAACAATGATTTAATTAATTTGTACTCTCAAATCAAAAGACAGAATACATCATTATCAGCGATCATTGTGCCAAACGAATAGAACTGTGTCTCTGTGTGTTTTGTCAGTAATACGTGCAAATAACTGGTATTATTAGAGTAATTGAGGTCTGAAATATAGGAAGACTCACCCTTCTCCTTTTTTTCTGTAACACAAGAACCATCAATTGAGATAAAAGCTGAATGTCACGCGCTATTAGGAGGAAGGGTGAGTGCTTTTGCTGTAAGCAGACATTTCTTTCTCTTTCGCTCTTTCTCTTCTCTCTTGTATACACAATGAGAGAAAAAAAACTATTTTATCAACTCTGTTTCTTAATCAATGAAGAATCAAGAACATTACTTGTTCAACATTTACAAAAGAGAGATTTTTGACAATACTGAAAATGTTTGATTCACTCGGCAAAAACGACTCATCAACGTTTAATATCACTTCAGCAATTGGCAAAACTACTTATAATAATTGGTGTAGCTCATTAACCAGTTCGGTCTATTTATATGGACATTTAATACCTGGAATCGCTTTATTCGTCTTCGGGTTGACATTTAATCCCATTGCACTTTATTATTTCGCTACTTCACGTAATTTTCGCCGTTCAGCTTATTCCTACTACTTTTCTGCCATCGCTGTTGTCGATCTCGTTCGATTGACCGTTTGGTGTCTTTTTTTTCTACTTGATTTTAAAATTTTTAAACTGAATTTTCGTCCATTTGAATGTCCGTTTCAGTTATTTATCGAATCAGTTGCAAGTTCAATTAGTGCTTGGCTTGCAGTATCATTGACAGTCGAACGATGTTTAGTTATTTACAAGCCATTACAAACGCTTACAGATACTCGAGGAAAGCGTGCTCTTCGCTTGATATTCTGCGTTGTAGTATTATCTTGTCTTGTTAATTCATTAGTTTTACAACCTGGATTTTACGTGAAAAGGTAAGATTTATTAACCTTTGGAAAATTCGCTGGAAATGAATGAAGTATTCCATAGTGAGAGCATCGTTTGCTTATTGATAGTAATTAGCAAAGTATCCGTCGTTTCTTTTTAATCATTCGCTGTTCATTAGAATCCTCATAGGATTACAGTTTTTGCTGATAAGACAAAAAGAATAGGATGAAAAGAAGGCGAATTAGATTCAAAATCTCAATGAGAAATTCTTTTGTCAATAAATGTTTATTTAGAAACTAAAGAAAGAGAGACTTTTAGTATTATTTTGTCAAGTATTTCATGTGATTCGGATAAAAACTAGTCTATGGCGAAGAATACGACTAGTTCGAGTTTTTTTCTCTCTAATTATTTACATTGAATTATTGATTTTGCTCGTGCAAAGAAAACGACAAGTTCGAGAATTTTCCCAGATCGATATCGACTTGCTTTCTTGACATTTTCTTTCAGAAATATTAATTACATTGTAAATTTACCGTAATTATCGGTAGTCATTTGCCTAATTACAATGATAATAATGATAAAATATGGTTCATCTACAAGATAATCACATCTTGTTCCTTTTTAGAGCATATCGAGAAAACAGTCATTCCATAGTTTGTCATTATGAGCAATCTCCGACGGCAAATGTAACACTTATCAAGCAATCATCATTCTTAACTCCGAATGCTAAACGAATATATTTATTAATCATCGTTATTTTTCGTGTGGCTGTTCCGTTTGTTTTATTATTCACAGCAAATATTGTTCTCTTCATCAGTGTACGTCAATCTCGACAAGATTCATCGAAACTTTCCTCATCTTTGCTTATCCGTCATGGTCATCATCGATCCGTAACGCCAATGATCTTTTTCTCTTCATGTATTCTTCTTCTCACCATTTCACCTCGGTAAACTTCTTTACCACTCAAACGTTTCTCTTCTTCACGGTCACTTTTCTTTTAGATATCTTCTTCAATTTTACTTAAACTTTTATCAACGACTTCCCGATTGTTCGTTAACTCATTTCGCTCCACATATTCTAAAAACTTTAGAATTGTTCAACTATGCATCTAATGTCTTTGTTTCTATTGTCAGTGGAAAACACGGCCGATACGAATTATTCAACATGTTGATGTGTCGAACAGTTCCAACTCAAACCCTACGATTCACAACTCCGTCGAGACTTGTTGGTCTATCCGCTCCTAATTCGCTTCTCGCATCGAAGAGTTCCTATCAGCGTCGAACGAATCCGAAGCGTAACGAACGAAATAAACAATCCGAGAAGCTTTTACTTCCAAATCTGAATCATCTTAATAGTAATTCGTATCATGATCAATATCAATAAATTGACGATTGATTTGATATTTATTTCTCTAAATTGATTTATATTCTTAAAGACAAGACACACAAAACTATCTACCGATAATATACACGAAAAGAAAAGCTGAAGAAGAAATCCTACACACACATACCAACGAAAGATAAATCAACTTATCAGACTCCTCACTGTTTTTTGTTGTTAATTGTCTTTTTTTTAGTTAATGTCGTTTGAAAAGCGTTCAGACGCGCACGATAAGCTTGGGCTTGTTGTTTGCTTTCATGAAACTTTTTCTTTTGTTGAACTTCGGCTAATTGATCGTACAAACGTTTAGAACGTTCTTTCGATTCTCGAACACGTCGTTGCCGTTCATCCGAGTCGGTTTCAACTATGTTTGATGTTGCCGACGCTGGAGCCGATTTTGAGGTTACAAAACGTGTTGCAACAGGAATATGAGAAGATGGTGTTGTATAATCTTTAGCTTTAATTTCTTCAACACGTTTTTGACTTGTCGCAAGGAAATCAGCTCGACGTGTTTCTAATGCCGATTGAAGAGATGGTAATTGAACAACTTGAGCTATGAGAAGATGAAAACGAGTTCAACGGAAGATGAGATGGTTTATGACTTACGAGTAGAAGAATCTTGCTGATCTCCACTAATGAAAAACTCGAGTCCGCCTACGTGTCGGCGTTGTTCAGAATGTTCTGCATCATTATTGGATAATGATGAACAGGACGATGATGAGCCAGATGAAGTAGCTGGAGAAGGTTTTTCTAATTCTCTGGATAAACCTTCGCGTACAGTGACAAAATATGACCAGTCTGCATTTGTCGAAATGATTGGTGAATTATTTTCATTGGATTTCAATTCATCTTGATCATTGGTTGTCATTAATGTTGCATTTCCAGCACTCACTTCATGTCGCTCAAATGAAAGTAACGAAGCGTCATTACTATGTACGGGAGCTCCTCCCTTGTTTAGTTTTCGTGACGACAATTGAAGCGATGAACTAGTTGATACTGATGACAACAATGGAGAATATCGACTGACTGCTGGGATTGCTGAAAATACACTTGCTGATGCTTCGGACCGAATTTTTGTTTCACTTGTCGCAAATGGTTCGTTTTTTATTGGTGATAATGCTGGAGTAGAACAAGCACTTGTCTTATCATCACATGTCGAAAGTGGAGATGAACATTGTTTTTTCTTCTGTTGTGACCTCGATTGAGTTCCCATTTCGTTCACAATTTGATTTGTCGTCGCTGTTGCTGTTGTTGTTAATGAACGATAACTGTTGGAAAGAAGAGTCAACGATGGTTCATCCAGAATACCATGATCATCACCATCAATCTAAATCAATCACTTCATTAACAGATTCACGACGATGAGTTAAACTCACTTTAGAATTCAATTCAACTGTTTCAAATACATGATGTTCTTCAGCATGTAAAAGAGCAGATGGAAAATCAACTGTTGACAAAGATCCTGTCTCGATCAATGTGCTCTTCTGTTGTGTTTGTGCTTGTGCTCGTGACAATTGCGTATTTTCATGTGAGATTGTTGTCAGTAGTTGTCCACTCTCATAATCAGGTATTCGCATGGATGCAGATGAAAGTATCGTTGTTGATTCTTCATTCGAGTTCACTTGATGATTTGTGATGAGTCGCTGCATGGCACGTTGATTCTGTTCGATCAAGTAAGATAATGTATCGTGATGTTTGTTCGATGCTGATGATAATGAAGAGTTGGATGTGATCGATGTTTCGAACGTATTTGGAGAATTGGTCAAATGATGAATGTCACTGATCACACTACCTTGACGATCACTCTTCTCTTGTAAAACATGATTTAATGGTAAATCTGATGATGAATGTGAACAATGTGATGGAGTGGAGATGGGCTGACCACTGGCAGGAGCTTGTTTGGCAAGAGAAGAACGATATGTTACAGATGTCAATGTTGAATAAGATCGATGATGAACTGGTGGAGTTGTCGAAGGTATCATCGGATCAATAAGTGGCATGGCTGATGTTGTCGTTGCTACTGCCGTTGTTGGTTGTTGTTTTGTGAGATATTCATGAACTTTGATCAATGACATCAAATCACACTGTTCATTCGCGTATTGAGAACGAAGAAGTTGTTCTTGTGTACTTTGAGATGAAGATGAAAATATCTCATGTGGATGAGTTAATGATGATGATGATGGCACCAGAAGATCTACATAAAATCAATTCAGATCTTTCTTTTTTCAGAAATCTCCTGACACTTACCATCAATATTTGATGGTCCGAATCCGAGTGAATGTGTTAATTGCGGCTCATTATCTTTGTTTGTATTACTCAGTTGAGGTAAACATTCATTTGCAAGAATATCCCTCCATTTCTTCGAAATACTTGACAATGATTGATCATCAGATTCGGTATTTGATCGAGGCGTTGTTGTCAGCACAGGTGGATTTGTACTTGATGATGTATTTGTTGTTTCATTTGTGATCGTTCGAACACGTGATTGTCGTGTTGGTAACAGACTTTGAATTCCACTACTTGAACTTCTACCACCGCCACCACCATTTCCACAAGCGATCGTGGTTCGTGATGTTGCTGATGAGCGTGGACCATCGAACAATGAGATACCCGAATCATCTCGCTCCAATCCATTTGTCACAAACACCTGCTGCTGCTGCTGCTGCTGTTGTTGTTGTTGCTGTTGAGTTGCTGAGATCTGTGAAGACAGAATTTCATTGTGATCAGATTCCGATGATGATGACGAATCAGCTGATGAGATTCTTTCTAATTGTTGAAGATCATATGATGATTTCAATGGGCTACGATGAAGAAATACTGATGTATTTCTTGAACTGGCAGGTGTGTCGACTTCTTGAATTGTGCTTAACTCATGTGCTTCGTTTGTCACAACTTGATTCAATTTCGCTCGGAGAAGAGAAGGAGGAGGAGGTGGCTGAACTGGTGTTTGTTGTGCCATTGCCATTGGTACTGCTACTGCTCCTCCTGCTGACATCCTATATGGCGAGGAGGAATCGTAGAAAAGTAAAACTGTAAAGTCATAGCACTTACATTGCCTGTTGACGATATTTCTCATGTTCATGAATAAGATTTTCTCGTTCACGTCGAATCAGTTCCAATTCTTGTTCAATTAATCGCTTCTCTTCATAGAAACGATTTTCATCTGTTCGATTCACATGAAATTCTTGTGCACTTTCCATATTTCGATTCAACGACAATAACTGTGCCATTTCTGGTGATGCTGATCTGGGATCTACAGGTGTATTACCAGACAACGATGACATCGAAGACAAAACATCATCCACAAGATCGTCAATGATCAACGAACGATTCGTCACTTCGATTCGTGAAGGTCGTGTTTCCATGATCAGTTCACGGAATTGACTGTTCGATTGTTGCTGTTGCTGAGTGGCAACAAGACGTGAAATGAGATCTTCTAATGAATGATCACGGTCTTCTGATGAATGACTTTCATATTTATCGAAATGAACGCGTTCACGACTCGAACCATTCGACATTGTTTCATGTGATTTATCATCATCTTCAATTGCAATACCAGATGATGATGTTTGTGATTGGCATTCATCCGATGAAACAATCGCTTGAACTGCTTGAACAAACTGTTCATGATCATCTCGTTGTCGTTTACCAGTATAAACTGATGATGCTGCAGACGAAGGAAAACTTGTTGTGTTGTTTGTCATACGAAGATTTTTCAATAAACTTTCAATCGAAACATCAGATGTGGGTGAAACAATTGCAGCTGATGTTGTTTGAGGAAGAAGATTGGCCCGAGCAGATAAAAGACGAATCTGTTCTTCTAAAGCTCGTTTTCGAAACTCAAGATGATTGCGTCTCGCTTCAATGTCAGCTGTTGCTGTTGTATTCGCTGACGACGATGATGATTGTTCATCTGCTTGAACAACTGAAGAATTCGCTGATGTTGTACTTTCCACATAGCCAGGACTAACAACAAGTCGTTTTGGTGTTTTCATCGTTGGTGTCACAACTGACTGTTGATTCGATCGATTTTGTGCTGCTTGTCTTTGTCGCTCGATCTTCTCCATGAGACGATTGATGTTCTGCTGTTTGATCAGTTGTTGTTGTTCAGGTAATGGAGTTTGTAATGTCATTAAGGTTGGATCAGCTAATGTTGCTTCTTCATCTTCATGAACTTCTTCATTTGCCAATGGAACTGTATTTACCGATGGTGTCACAGTTGCCATTCGATACTGTGGTTGAACTTCTTCTTCTTCTTCATTGTCTGCAATCAATGTTCGATCACTCGCTGCATCTTCTTCGTCTACTCCTTCATCTTCGTTCATCAACACGATTGGAATTGCCTCTGAAAACAAATTCAAATCATAATAACACCACATCTCTTTTCAACAAAACAAAACAAACGTTTGCGATGATTATCTTGATAAACTTGTTCAAAGGCTGTTTCCATTTGTCGTTGTCTCTCTTCGCGTTCTTCTTCACGACGCCATGGTGGAATAAATATACTCTTCTACAAAACAACACGACATATTCTCGACTTACACAATTCATATGTCATTTAGATGAAATAATACTCACCGGAAGATTCTGAATCTCTTTCTGACGACGATCTCGATCTTGTCTTTCCAGTTTACCCAATTCTTCCAGCACATTATCATATGCCTATGAACATTAAGTGTGAAATCGATGGGAAAAGAAATGATAGACTTTACATTGTCGAGAACTTCTCTTTTCAGCGCATTTTCGCCGCGAACACGAGCTTTTTCTTGTTGTTCATTCCATAATCGTTGTTTATCACACACATATGCATCAACACGTTCTTGTTCAACAATCGCGTCTTCGGCTGCATCTCCCTACACAAACACATTATCCTCCTTCTCAGCCATCTTTCTCTTTCTTTACTTGTTGATCTTCTTCTCTCGTCACAAGTCGTTCTTCCAGATGATATCGCGATGTGGTGAAATTATACGGATCATGAACAGTCACAATTGTGGCTAAACACCAATGCATGTCTTCAATCTTCTCACTTCTCTTCGAATCACTCACTTGGTTTCGTTTGAAGATCACGTAGAGGATCTTCAGGCACAGGTAATTTCGCGATACGTTGAGCGCGCAGTTTCTCGAGTTCCAACGCTGCTTTTCTAGACGAAAGAAAAATTTAATTGATTTCTTTTGCATAAAATTCATCGAGTGTTGAACAAACCGATGAAGAAGATGAAGATTACGTTCATTTTCATTTTGCATCGTATCACTGTGAAGTTTGTCCAGTGCTTGTTGACCTCGTTCTACAGCACGAGCGTCATTTTCTGATGTCTTCTTCAGCCATTGCTCTTCATAATCAGGCTACAAACAAATCAAATCGACCTCAACAACAACCTCATCAACAGCAACTAGAGATGTTACTTGATCAGCTGCTTCTTTGTGACCTTTGCCCATTTCCATGAGATTTTCACGAAACTGATATTCGAGATTATCGTGCAAGTCGATCTTCTCTTGAACCCATTCGTCCTAGTCGAGAAGGAAACAGAGGTGATGATGAGAATGAGAATGAAGATGATTTACTTGGAGTCGATTGAGAAGAAGATAAGTTTGTTTCTTCTTTTCATCTGCTACTGATTGACGAAGTTGAGCAGCTCGTTCTTTTTCGATTTGACGAGTCTATTTTGAGAAAGTGTAGATGTGAAGAGGACTTTTGATGGAGGTGATGAAGTTACCTGCAGAAGACGAAGTGTTCGTCGACGTTCTGTTTCATTTTGAATTAGTTTTTCTTGTTGATTTGTCGAAATGACCAACGCTTTCATTTGAATTTGAAGAGAAGAATTGATTGAATTGTCTTCGTCGAGGTTAGTAGTAGAGTTCGACAAAGAATCACGTCATGGATTGGTGTTCAATGCCATTGAATTCGTTGAAGAAATTTTCATTACTTAGCAACAGTCGTAAGTGTTAAATCGCAGAATTCGAACAGATTTTAGGGGAAACTTGAAATGATATTTCTATTTTCTTGTAAAAGTTGTCTTTTCGAAGATTGATGTTGTACTTTTTCCGATGTATATTAGCGACATCTTTTTGGGGAGAAATTTCACGCGCACATTTTCCTCTTGTTGTGTAATTAGCGTTCGTCTCGTCTCGATGAAAAATTGCCTCAAGGCGTATTTATGAAATGTGGAGCGAGTAGAGTTCATGGAAGTCTACTTAGACTCGAGAAGGAAAGTGGAAAACTTCGTTGTTGAATGAGTTCTGGAAGGATTTGCTTACATTCGACTAACTATTAGCACAATGCTTTAGAGTATTTTGGATCGAGAAAAGGTGGAATGAGTTAGTTTCTTTTTTAGTTTACTGAATTCCTTGACAAAATCTCTGTATTATACCGTTCCAGATCAGAGCTGACAAGTACCAAGTTGCCAATGGGATGTAGTTGACACGCAATCTTTTGGAAAAAAGAGAGTACATTGTTGGATGCTGAACTTTTCGATAAAAAGAAAAGCTAGTTGAAAAAATATTTTTGAGAAAAGTGATGATAATATTGTCGACTACGTATGAAAACAAGATTTTTGAAAAGATCAAAAGCATTCAAACTGATGTTTCAAAGTATTTGCATTAGTCGTTATACATATCTCTCGGTTAAAATAACTTGTTGAGAACCCTCACTTTGACTTCTAATTGTATTTTTGCCGATGTAATGTTTCACTCTATTTCATCGTTTATAAAATAATCTTCGAGAAAATGACGGCGATGTCTAATTAACTCATGAGAAAAGTGAACTATGTCAATACCATGAAGATGAAGCAAATATTCTAATTCAAATGAAAGGTTTCCCTTTAATATTATGAAAAGATTAAAACGATTTGCCTTTGCGAATGGAAAATCTTATTTTTAAATAGCGTAATAGTTTAGATCGGATTCAAAATACTCGAATGCGGTACAACACCATCCGCGGGAGTACGTTTGACAGTCTTGTTTCCCATCCTCATATTCGGATATGTTCTGTATTCAATCATTGTTTTGCACGTCTTTCTCCTACTTGGATTTTCCATCAATGCGCGATTTTTGGATAGAATCACACCCTCATCCTCAGAATGTCTTCGATGTTATTCATCAGTTAATGATGTTGATTCATTTTTGACAAATGTTCCACTAAATTCAAACGTTGCTAAATTAAATAGAACCTCAAAATATTCCATTTCATTCCGCACGGTAATATGTGAAAAGCAACAATACACTAAAGAGTATGTATGACAGGTCAACTACAGTGATAAGAGATTTTTTCTTTCCTTTGAATTTGTAGGTAAAGAGAAAAAGGACTAATCATTGTTTTCTCATACAAAAAGCACAAATGCTTCACTTACCTGACGGATTAATATTTTTCTCATTGATCTGTTTGACAGATACCTACATTCATTAATTTATTTCAAAGTATATTTTTGTCATTTGGATAAGACCACAGTAATAGATTATATTGCGTCTAATGAAGGGTTTTTCATATTTCATGTACATGAAAACAACAAATACACAACACCTCTCATCTTCGAAACTAGTAATAGATACAGTCCCAATGAATGAATATGTCATTTTTCTCTATTCAAAACACAGTCTCTTCCCACTCGAAACAACATTTTTCATAAACAATGCACCGAGCCCTTTTCTTTTGATTCCGAGGTAGAGCTTGATGAGTATAAATATCCACAACGAAATGCATATCCTTATCGTTATTTACTCAATCGTTGATCTCCATCCGACAGTAAGTTAGCTTATCAATATTCATATTATTTCTCATTAATACTCTTTTCTTATTTAGGATTTATCAAAATGAATTCATCGATTCTCGCTTTCGTCGTTGTTGTCATTCTGGTCATCAGTGAAAGCAATGCACGATCGGCCAAACGCAAATTTCTTGATGAAGACTCTGACGATGATTTCTTTGCAGACAAACGAGCAACATCCAACAGTAAGTCAAACTGCACCATAAACTTTCTTGTGTTCATCGATGAATTGACCATTCTATCTTGTTTATTGTAGCTGTCCAAATAATAAGCAGATGTACAAGCATCATTGAGGGCAAGGATGCATTGGGCGGTGAAATGACTGGTGTTCCTACCGGAAGCGTTCGCAGTGCTGCTGCTTGCGCTGTATTATGCGAATCATTTTCCGGTTGTGATCACTGGTCATTTTCCAAAGAGAGTGGTGGATGTTGGCTCAAGGATAAACCATCACAAATACAAGACAATGCTAATACGTACACAGGCACTTGTACCAAATCAGCGTAAGCTTCAGTTCGCCAACATCAACATGCCGTAACTATCTGACTTTCATTAGAGCGTAATATTTTACATTTTAGTTTCAAATATTTTCCGCTTAATCTTGAAGTTTCATCAAACTAACCTCTTTTTAACTAAAATCCTACCTTTTCAAAGGATTCAGTGTTTTTCTTTATATTTTCAATAAACTTTGAGAAAAGCTACTGGTATTCATTTATTTGAAGCCGATCACCGGGGTAGTGGTAATACGAAGATGAATGTGTACAACAAAATACAGCTGAATAGGCTGCGAACAAAGAAAGATACCGAGAGTCACGAAACCGATACATTTCAGAAGGATAATTGGTGACGAACTTCATCAGCAAAATATGAAGTTAATTGTTCGAAATCTGATCGGTGTTACTTTCAGCTGCATTCTTTTGTGATCTTGGATTCTTCTGTTCGAAACTATGAAATCCGAACAAATATGATTGTGAATTTGATGGACTTCAGTAAACAGTTATACATTTGTATTACAAAACACAATCTTGAAGCGATGTTTCTAAATAACAAAGCAGAGCCGCTGAAACTGTCGCGAATAGTCGGATTTTCAAAGAATTTTATCGGAAATATTTTCAAGATTCAGCGACAGTTTTTGAAGAAGATCAAAAATTAACCTCGTAGTTGGATTCATGTTTTGCTCTCTATAACACATAAATACATTCTCGTGACCATTGACGGTTCTTTTGCTGTAATGAAACTTATCATTATTTGGATAGAAAAGGTAAATATCGATAGATCAAAAGAAGGGTCAACACATGCGAATATTTTATCCATCGTAAGACCAACTCTACTAAGCCAACATCAAACGTATTTGTTCGTGTCTATTTGTTTGAAGGAGACACGCGTAAAATTGTTGTTTTTTTGCGGTGATAGTTTTGCACATATATCCTCTACTTGTATTTTCCATCGATGCTCATCTGAGCGGGAACATTGATAATGAAATGGAGATGAGCATTGATAGAACGACGTATACCACTCAAAATATCACACATTTCAGTTGGAGATTCTCCGCGACTATTGACAACACTTACCAGCGGTTAACATCATTCTCTTCTCTCTTAGATGACAAGGAAATTGATGTAATTATTGATGACTATACATGTTATACAAATATTTACTTCTCAAAAGACACATAAAACTTCTAATTACAAAGAAACAAACACCAAAAAATACATCGATGAAACAAAACAACAAAATCTGACACAACACTCAAAATAATATTCGAAACACAACAAAGACAACGAAAAGAACGAACGAGAACAAAAAATAGAATCACCGGACATGCAAAATGTCTTCGATCTCATTAGTCAGTTGGTGATGTTGATTCATTTTTGACAAATGTTTGTTTAAATTCGGTTACAAATGTTTCACTAAATTCAAACGTCGCTAGACCGGATAAAATCTTAAAATGTCCCAATTGAGGAAATTCCAAATCACAAAAACTATGCGGATTGATTTCTTTATCAATTATGGCAAAGATATGTGCAATAGCGCTCATCAATTGTTCACGTGATAAACCTGATTGATTTTGTAATGAAATATAATCCAATGTTTGCATATTAAACGATGATAAAGTTGTATTGGGTTCGATATGTGTTGAATTTCCATTTGCTTGAAGAGACAGAGAAAGTGCCGAAGAAAGATTCGGTTTTTTAATTCGTGATAAACGGTGCCGACGAGCGAACGTTGTATCTAATACAAAAAATGGTTCTTTCAATTGGAGATTTGGATTATCATTTGATGGATAATCAATAAGAACAAAAGCACCAAGTTCAGGTAACAAACATGGTTCGTGATTGAGAAGTCTCTTTCGAATCATTTGAGATAAAAGTTCCCAAAGATGACGAAGATCATTTTCAATCAAATGGCCATTTGTACAAGAATTTGTTTGATCATGTTCATTGGGTGTTGAAAATGTTCGATACTCTTCTAAACGAGTAGTTTGATTCAACACTCGAAATAACGTTTCAGTTGTAAAACGACGCCGATGTTTCGATGTATGATTAGTCGAATTTACTGATCGCATAATCTAGAAAAAGAACAGAAAACTTAACAGAAAGATTTCCTATGAATAACAAAGTTGCGCAATTCTTTTCCTCTAATTCAATAACGGAAACAAAAACAACGGGGAAATCACGATTGACTTATTTCTTGTTGAGGAGTATCACTGAATTCTTCGTAATCAATATCTGTTTTTAGATCGGGCATGATCGATATGGGCGCGGGATATGCACGAGCAATAAGATCATCCGGTAATGTTTGACGACATTCTTCGAATAGTGAGAGAAGATTTTTCGATGGATCAGATAGAATTTGTGATGCTTTCGCGCAGGTTTGACGAAAACGTTCACCTTCCGATTCAACGAGATTTTTTGACGCATTCATTGATGGGACAAGTGGATTCTCAATGTAAATTGGCCACTCTTTGTCTTTACCGGCTTGAAATAATGATGATTTCGCTGAATCTTTACGATCGATTAGTGTAATCAATGACGATTCAAAGTCAAATTTTTCATAGAAAATAAAGAATTCCTTGAGTAGAACGGCTAAAATCGAGTACAAAAAGCCGCTTTATATAAAATTATATAAGAATATTACCCAATGAACTGTTATTGACTTTCTTCATTTGCACCTGATGAATGTTATTAAGTTCATTGATTAAGATCAAATCATCACGAAGATCATCTAAAGCAGATCATAAAAGATTTATTTGGATTCTCAATTGAAATATACTATTCAATGGATTCGAATCTTGTGGTATTGACACGTTTGACTGTTCATTGACATAATTGAGTTTTGGTAAGATTTCAATTGATTGTAGATAGAAGAGCACGAGTAATGTCATTTGGAAATTGGAGAACCATGGTCCGGGAGTACTTTGTGTTATGGATGCTTCACGTGCCCATCGACGAATGGCAAAAACAAGTGGTGAAACACGATTATCAATTGTGCTCAAACTCCACAATAGTTTTGACATATAATACGACGATCTATAAAACATTCGTTTGCTCAAATAAGAGTATCTTTGACTATAAAATCTTACTTGAATTCACTCATTGAGACATCACATTGAAGATCAGACAATCGATGTTGAAAACGGACGATTGGTACACGAGCTGGAAGAATTATTTGCACACTCGTGCATTCAGCCATGAAATGTTTCAATGTATCAGCAAGAATCTAAATCAATGCAGATATTACAATCAAACAATAGCCGGAATAATATACTTTTAGATACGCTTGCGCTTGGAATCGATCGTTTAAATAACTTCGTTTAGTCAGAAAACGTAATTGTTGTATTTTACCATCTGATTTGATTTGCTATAAATCCAATGGTTCATAATTGAGAAAGCCATTCGAAGAATTCTTACATTTTTCTCTCGGAAATCTTCGAATGTTAATAACATATCCAAATCGCACCGAGATTTACCAAACGTTGTTATCGATGAACCAAATGGAAGACAAACCGTATCAACAAAAATACCTCCAAATGCTTCTACAAAGAATTGGTCACACTGCTCTCCCCATACAAAATATTTCTCGTCCTTTTACCTTCGACGAGTGATGCAACAAAGAATCGAAGTCTTGTATCCAGTTCAGTTAGTTTGGTTTTCTGCCAAAAATGACGAATTTGATCACTAATTTCAAGAAGATCACACGATTTAAACTGGCAAAAACTGCATTCTTCTGTTCCTGCAAACCTTACGTTACGAATATCAGCTAAAGCTGTATCGAGAACAGAATCATCCGGTTGTTGAACTTCACGACCAAACGAATGATGTTTTAATCGTGAACCAGTTAGTTGAGACTATATATGAGATGAAGAAGTTTTTTGTTAGATTTCAATCACATACTGCAAAATACAAATTTCGCGACGCACACGGTAAACGATTTTCATTCGTGAAATGACTCGTGATATTCAATAATTTATTGACACTTTGTTCATTCGAGAATTCCAGTAACGCACATTCCTAAACGAGTTAATTACGTTCGATTGTTAATATATGATGGTATGAACAAACTTTTTTATTTGCAGAATAAAGTGTCATATTCGAAATCTGGCCAACGCGTGAACATAATTTGTATAGTTCGGATTCGGAATGAGATCGACCAAGCTAAAATTTGAGGAAATTAGATGAAAGGTTGAAAAAGGAAGGAAAGAGTTTACATGAATCAGCACCGTTCGTCGGGCTTGTTCTCGTCGAAAATCAATCATTGAATCGAAAGTTTGTGTGACATTGTCTACTGAAAAAATTCCAATGAGTTTTGCTTTTGCGTAAATTATTAATTAATACGTTTTTTCTTTGCTGAAGGTGAAAATGGCGGTCTAGGTGGACGGATTGATGATGAATAACGTTGGATAATAGATGTATAGTATGATTGAGTTGACAGAAAACGTAAAGAAAATGAAGAAGATTGATAGAACGATATCAAAGGTAACATCTTTACTAAAGAATACAAATACGAGGAAATTTTTACTTCTCCGTCGTCGATATACAATTAATTCTACCATTGGTCACATCTATCGAGCAATCTTTCGTCGAATGTCTATATAACAGATTCACATAGTTGTCGACACATGTCGATCAAAGCTTTTCACAATCTCAATATGCTTTCAACATGAAGAGTATCACGGCATTGTGAACGATAGACAACATACATTTTTACCATTCTTGAATTTACTCACCTCACATCTATTTATAAGAATAAAAAAAAAACAGAAGTCCAACTTCTCTCATGAATAAACTTCACTCAATTTCTTCATAATAGATGTCACTAATACTGATGAGAAAACTCTTGGCAGTCAACCTCCTTAGAAGTACTACTGTTGGTAACGAAGATATTTCAATCGTTTACATCTTCAGATGAAAGCTTTGGTCATTTCGACATGTCAACAAGAAAAATTGATTCAAAATGAAACTGAACGTCAGCAAACATTTCGTCATGAAATAGACTCGTCACCTCGAAAAAGAACGAGGTTTTAAACTTCGAATAAAGCATCTTCACTCTCACTCTCATTTCTATAGCATATCGTTCTTCTCTTGCCAAACAAGCTCTTGCCAGTGGTCAGCCCATCTCCACTCCATCACATTGTTCACATTCATCATCAGATTTACCATTAAATCATGTTTTACAAGAGAAGAGTGATCGTCAAGGTAGTGTGATCAGTGACATTCATCATTTGACCAATTCTCCAAATACGTTCGAAACATCGATCACATCCAACTCTTCATTATCATCAGCATCGAACAGAATCAACGTGCCATGCAGCGACTCATCACAAGGATGAATGAAATGGGAACTCAATCGAGATCACAACAAAGGAAAAACAATGTTCATCTCCACTTTCGACATGTGATGATAAGACAAGTGCTTGTTCAACTCCAGCATTATCACCGATCAAAAACGAACCATTTGCGACAAGTGAAACAATGATTCGATCGGAAACGAATTGCTAAAAAAATCTCGAAGAGTAATGTTTTGTACAGATGGAAAGACATATTTTAGAAAAATTGAATTTAGAATATATTTAATAAATTTTTGCTAAGATCATTTGCATTTGATATATGATTAATTACGACTGATTTATTTTCTTTCATTTATGAGGCGTAATACTTTATATTAATTATGATATCTAGTCAAATTGCAGCTATTGATTCAGGATATCTATCTTTCTTTTTTCATTTGTCCAGCATTTTATTCTCTGTTATCAATTGACATGTTTGAATAGTTTATCGAATTATTTGCCTTTCTTTGCATCGCTCCTACTTCTATAAAGAGATACGGATCGATTTGTTGCAATTCTCTTACCTTTCACCGTTTTACTGTATTGCAACTATCTCCTCCTGAAGATCTTTTCTGTGACTTTGATCTAAGTTTATATCGTCTTGGTACAACTGCCTGTATACGCATTAGCATAGTTTCGCATTTGCGATGGTTTACCCTTGAGCCAACATTTGCCGGTTTCTGCGTTAAATGTCCAATGATCACAAGCGGGAAATGATTCGCATAGTGCAGCACAAGCAGCAGCAGTGAGAACGCGTCCTGGATAATTACCATTCAGATCACCACCACCTGCATCTGGTTTCGGATTTTAAACCTGTAATAGAAAATACGATTTTTAATTCACTCATGATGAGAACAGTTTTATTGTCGAACTGAAAATACCTCGGAAGGGAACATCTCGTTTTCGATCAAATAAGTCTTCATCAGAATCGTCATCAGCAAAGTCTTGTTTGATTAACCGTGCATTGCTTTGGCTGATAACCACAAAGGCAATAAGGGTGAAAGCCAGAATTGATGAATTCCTTTTCGTAAATGCTAAATGGAAAAGAATATCGAATTTAAATAACATAGATAATCACACAATACTTTGCTATCAAAGGGAGATAAAGTATTGTATAAGTGATACTTAGGATAGGTATTTATACACATTGTATTGTGTGCAACAACCCGATACTGAGGGCGAAAAGGGGTCAATTCGACGCAATAGTTTTTATTTTATGTCATCTCATACTAGGATGACTGTATAGTTTGAATAGAAAAACAAGAAATATTTTTTCGACCGCAAGATTATATATAGATAATTAGACGTTTATTGTGAAGAGAAGAATATCCTAGATAGTACAGTAATCGACAAAGAACAGTAATTTTAGGGGAGGATTACTGTTCGTTTTTTATTTTGCCGCATTCTCTGAAAGTTTTTTTGGAGACGATAGTAATGTTCACCCTAATCGATTATACAAGGAAATGTTGTAGTTATTTTATTGTTTCAAATACTTTCTAGATTGGACACACTCACATGATGGGAGAGAGTGAAGCGAAATACATTCGGAATCCTCAACCGATCGTCTTTCAGAATCCCTGGAGATATTCTGTTGAATCGCTTTCACAGGTTTTTAAGAACAGAAGTCATGCAACGACATCTGATAGATGTCACTTGTGTTCATGTAAATTACGAGCTCAGAAACTCATGAATCATTTTGTATGTTTCTCATTATTCACCGTCATGTTTTTTTCTCTTATTGTCATTTGTTGTTATGATCAATAATAGTATATAACAACTCGTGTCAAACAAAAAATGCAGTTTTTCAAGAATCTCTTTGCTGTTTCATTTCTTTTTGTCAGTTGTTTTGCTCAAAGTAATTTTCTTGAATTTTTATTATTCTTGTTGACGTCATTTTCTCCTTAAGACGAAACTCCATCAACTGCTTTGGGAGAAACAACGACAGCTAATCCATTGACAAGTATGTCATACTTCAACTGAAATCGATTGTCATCTCGCTTTATTTAGTTAAGCCATGTCCCGGGGGTCAAATCGATGCTCCAAATTGTACAAAATGTTTAATAAATTTCGAACAGAAAAATAACCAATGTTTTGAAATAAAAAGTAAAACTAAATTACATAAACTCGCGTGATCTTTCTCATTCGAATGTGCTTAGATAATGTTGAGCCACCCCGTCGTACGGGTCGAACTGTTCTTCTGATATTTCTTGCGTGTCTTTTAACAATTGTATTACTCGTCGCAATGCTAATTGTCTATACTCGATTAAATCATCAGCATCGCCGTCATATATCATCGAATCCATCCGATTTTTCTGAAAATGCAAACAATCGCTTTAGCAACCTCCTTCGCTCAATTGGTTTGAACAAACGCAGTCGATTTAACTTCTTTTCGATTTCGAATAACAATTCTTCATTGGGGCAATATCGTCAACCAGATGCATCAAACGCGCATTTAAGTGAAAATCCCGATGAAGCTTTGTTATTTGATGATCCCTATGCTGATGGTGGCTTTCAGAACTCAGCAAGTAATCCATATCGTTCATTAACATTAGCAGTTACTTAATAATCTTTGATCTCCTCTTTTTTTTCCAAACGAACTAATCTCATTGAAGTCTGACTTTATTTTAAAATTCGTTTTGTTTTGTTGCTTTTATTGGTTATTGATCTGTATTAAATACATATTGCTTTGAAAATTTTCAATAAATATTTTATTCAAAACTTGACAACTCGACTCTCAAATAGTTTCTTTACTGATTTTCAAATGAAATATCACTATGAATAGCTTTTATATACAAATTAACTTGGCGTGTCATTATCGGAATGAGAAGTGATACCATTTTGTCGACAGAATACATCAATATGCTGGAGAAATTGGTATTCAGTTCGTTGCTTTGGATCAGTTGAGATTTCGAAATGTGTTTGATATGAAATGAGTGAGATATGCGATGATTGTAAATTGTTTTCTAATGTTTTATAGATGGAATTGGTTTGAGCTGGTTGTGGCAACAACGAGTGACGTTTTGATGCCATTCGATCACGATTTTTCAAGTGTTCTTGTTGACGATAGAGTGAATTTTCTCGACGAATTCTCGCCATATGTGCACGATTTCGTTGTCGTTCGTTTTCCCGATAAAGTGGATCTTCCAAACGTTTCCTTCGCATAGCACGAGCGTTATTTTCGCGTTCAATTCGACGATATTCGGAATCTCTTTCACCTCGCAATCGCACCATATACATAGCACGTTTTTCTCTGGTCGTTAGTACATCTTTGCTTCGTTCGTGATATTGATTTGAACAAATATTCAATTCGGTTGTATCATTCATCGAATTCAAAAGATAAACACTTTTCTTCTTTACTAAACATTAATCAACGTCATCAGCCGAGCTGAGGATGGTATATGTACATGCGTTTTAATTTGATAAAAGATGTCGTCCCGTTGCACGATGGTTTTCTCGGTAATTCTTATTAAGATGAAATCAACTTCTGTTATGAGACGCGAAACGTAGTGATGATGTGAGAATCTAATGTTGAGATGATGATCATCAATGTATGAGGACACAGTCGTCAAAATTGCCAACGAATGAAGATACGTTGAGTATCACTGAATGCATTCAATAGCGACATCTATTCATAAATCCTCCGATGTAATGAGCGAGTGGTATGATACATTTTTCTTGATTATGACTGGTATTTTCAATCCGTACTCACTTGAAAAAACGTGATCAAGGGAGATGATTTTTTTCTCGTTCTCATCGAGAATCTTATGATTAATGGGTACATCGTTCGAGGTCGGTCTTCGTAGCCTTTTATATGGTCCATTTGCTAAAGCAGTATCGAGTTTAAATGAAAAAAGTAGCTTATTAATTTCACATCAACATTTTGTTTCGCTCCACAGCAGAGGATAATTAAGATACTCTTGTTTATTTCGACGTACGTAGGTTATCTTTCGGTAGCGAGAGCGCCGACTCGATGTTAGCATTGCCAATAATAACATCGTACAGGAATATACATAACGATGTGACTTTTGTCTTCTGTTATGGTCGGTAATATTTTCCTCCTGTTCGAATATCTTTTCTCTCGTAAGAAAGCAACAGAACCGACTTTCTGCTCTTGTCTTTATATCCAAAGTCTTTTGATCTATTTATTCTCTCGTCGAAATCGTTGAGAAAAACAATAACAAGAAAGAAAACTGTTTGTTGCTGAGAGGTGAGTACTACATGATATTTACTCGTTGAATAGTAAATGAGGGGAAGAAGAAAGGAAATGGATATTGAAAATAAAGGAAAAGTTCATGCAGTGTTCTTTTTTCCATTCATCGTCTATTGTAGCTTTTCTTTCCATTAGGCTGATCAGATGACGGATTCGGAATTTCTAAAGAGAAGAGAAGAAAGAGAAAATAAACGAAATAATATCAAGATTAAAAGCAACGTGTTTTCCCTTCTCGTTCTTTTTTTCTCTTCGTCAAGATCGGTACCATTATTACTACCATCATCGATAACATCTCATTACGAAAATGGAAGAAAATCATCATTTACGTAAGTAGAACAGCTCTTCACCTGCGTTTTGTCTCCTTCCCGTTGCATTGTAGCATGATGTTCTTTCCCCGATGAAAAACACAACGAGAGTCAATGAGAAATTGTTTTTTTTTTCTTCATCAAAATGTTTTAGATGATAATGCATTGCTTCATCCAGATGAACATTATTTGAAAAATCGAACAGATTCGAATTGCAGTCAAGGTTCTTATACCAACTTATCAAGTATTTTAGAGCATCGTCCATCATTAGTTTCAAGGATGCCGAATATTAAAGTATTTGGTGGATCATCTCATCCGGAACTGACACAATTGATCTGTGCTCGACTCGGTCTCGAGCCAGGAAGAGTCATAACAAAGAAATTTAGTAATCGGGAAACAAGGTAAACGAAGTTGTTTAAATTGTCCTTCTGACTTTTGTTTAAAGTGTGGAAATCAATGAATCTGTACGTGGTGAAGATGTTTTTATTGTTCAAAGTGGTTGTGGAGAAATCAATGATAATCTTATGGAACTATTGATTATGATCAATGCATGTAAAATAGCTTCAGCATCACGAGTCACTGCCGTCATTCCATGTTTTCCTTATGCACGACAAGATCGAAAAGATAAAGTAAGACAATTGAAATGAACGTGGATCATGTATTCAGTGGGATTCTAGAGTCGAGCACCAATCTCAGCGAAACTCGTCGCCAATATGTTGAGTGTTGCTGGTGCTGACCATATCATCACGATGGATTTACATGCATCACAAATTCAAGTAAAGAAACCAGCACGAGCTGTGAAATTTAGGTTTTAATTAAAGCGTTTTTTTTAGGGATTTTTCGATATTCCTGTTGATAATCTTTTTGCAGAACCGGCTGTTATTCGATGGATTTCTTTACATATTCCAGATCATAAAAATGCTGTTATTGTCAGTCCGGATGCTGGAGGTAAACTAGTTCTTTATGGTTATCTGTGGCACATGTGTTCTATATCATTTAGGTGCTAAACGGTACATTAATGATGAGAGTTTTTTTTTCCTTTCTTTGACAACTATTGCTATTCGTATTCAGTGTGACAGCAATTGCTGATCGATTGAATATTGATTTTGCCTTGATTCATAAAGAGCGAAAACGAGCGAACGAAATTGATTCAATGGTGCTGGTTGGTGATGTCACCAATCGTGTTGCTATTCTCGTTGACGACATGGCTGGTATGTAAAGTGCACATTCTCAATTCGTATATGTTTCTTATGAAAATATTCGTAGATACATGCGGAACATTTGAATGTGCATCACAAAAGTAACGACAAAGAATTTTGATGATGTGAAATGTGTTTGTTTTTCTCGTTTAATGATAGATTATTGAGTGCAGGTGCAAGTAAAGTTTACGCGATTTGCAGTCATGGAATATTTAGTGGCCCGGCTATAGAAAGGATTAATAAATCTCCATTTGAAGCCGTGGTTGTGACGAACACGATTCCACAAGAAGAAAATATGAAGAATTCGAGTAAAATTCAGGTAAAAACCGTTCATTTGTCGATGTTTTATCACATGCATTTGCTTATCGAGATAAATTGTTTTTTACGCAGTTGGATATCGATCGTAAACACATCGTCTTTTGCTTTCTTGTATTAGCCAATATAATTACGCAGTTAGAGAAAGAAGAAAACGGCAGACGTGTCATGTACTCGCTTTGTTTTTTTTATCTTTTCATTGATACATCTTCATGTCCATAACGCTGTTGTTTCATAAGTAGAATTTGCAGTTATTTCGTCAGAAGATCTCGTCTTCAGGCTATCGAACTACAGCAAATGATGCTGTCATTAATGCGAATGAATGTCACTGAGTCAGAAGAATGCGAGGGTGGAAAAGACATGCGAACGAAACGATCCAATGTCAGAGCTGTACGAAAAGGACATGTTATTGCCAAGAAAGACAAGAATAATTGATAAATGACTGTTTTACAAATTTAGGTAATCGATGTTTCAATGATGTTTTCCGAAGCAATTCGTCGAACTCATAATGGTGAATCAGTTTCGTATTTATTTACTCAAATGCCGTTGTAAACACAAGCGATCAATTTGGAACAGAACAGCATTCTATTGTGATAAAAAAAAGAACACTATTTTTCTGCTGTTGCACAAAATGTCATCTTGGTTTTCTCAGTAGAACAACTAGAATCTCGCATTTTCCTTCTTTTATATACCTAATCTCATTTAATATGAATATTTTCGTTTTTCACGTCTTTTCGAAATTTTCCTTTGTTTCAATAAATCAAACAATGAAAAAACAAATGTTGACGCACAGCTTTGCATTTTATTTTCCACAAATCCAATTATTATTTGTGCAAAATCTTTTGTTTCTAATCATTACCTTGATCCTTTTAATTAAAATCACCTTACGTCAATAATTACGATGACTGATCAAATCATTTGATAATTTCGCCATCTCGATCAAGGTGACTTTTTGAAGGATATTCATAGGTATATAAATGCGCGCATACGTTTCTTTTTCATTTCATACAGTCAAACGCAACGACCCGATTGGAAACGCAAACACCATGTTTAAGAACGATCTTTCGTATTTATATTCTGATGATTTAATTACTTCAACTGTACAAGATTCGCCAATGAAAGTGACGAAGAGATGCGAAAATGAAGCAGTTCGAATTGGAGTCAACCGACGTGCAATGACGATAAATCATCGATCAAAACATTTATTAATATTTGGCGATGATTTGCTCAAACGTGATCGAAATCGATTAATAAGTAGAAAAATGAAAGACAAACGACATTACTCAGAAAAGAATCTCCTCAAACAAATTTGTCAATTGGAAAGTGGATCATCGATTATCGAAAATCAACTAAGGCAACTTCAACTACCAAAGAATACTTTAGAAGATGTAACAAACAACAACTTCTCATTGAAAATGACGATCGATTCAGACTTTGATCTGTCGATGAAATCTTAAATTGTAATGATTTATTGTTGTATATGGTTATGTTTGAAATAAATGTAGTTTATTATGGGTGAAAAGAACAATCTTCGGTTATTTTAACCTTTAATTTTTGGATTTTGCTTATATTCGTACGATTTTTCCGGTCAAGTTTAACGTGAAAGCATGTCATGAAGTTTTGCATGTGAATATGTTTTGACGAGATATGAATCATCGAGGAAAACGTGTATTTCTATCTAATTGAAAGTTAATTAACGGTTTTATCTATGAACATCATCGAAACAGGTTAAAAATGTCGTTTGCTCGATGATGATTTGTATGTATGAATAAGAAATATGAAGAAAAATTGTTCGAATATCACAATTTGAAAAACAAATGCTGGAATAAATTTATCTAAATAACACAAAAATTATGATTCGTCTTGTTTGAATTCTTTTGGAATTCGACAAACAGGAATTTCTTTCATTTTATGTAGATTTGCTCGATGTCGTTGTAAATAAATTTTCGTCACTTCTCTTTGTCTTTCATTCATTGATTGTTTATCTTTGTTCGCATGTGCCATTGCCCATTCAAGTTCATCATAAGTCGCACCAATCTGTGCTTCATCAGTTCGCATATCTCCAAAAAGACCATCCGTCGGTGCAGCTTCAATTATTGAACGATCAATTCCTAAGTCACGTGCAATTAATCGAACCTCGGATTTCAATAAATCACCAATAGGACTTATATCAACACCACCATCACCTGTTCAATTCAAATTAGTATGAAGAAAAATCACTCAAATCAAATTACCATATTTCGTAAAGAAACCGATGCCGAAATCTTCGACTTTATTTCCCGTCCCAGCAACAAGATATCCGTTGACTTGAGCAAAGTAATAGAGACTCAACTATATAGTTGTAAATGATGAGAAATTGAGAAAAAGAATGTTTTCATTTTACCATCCGTAAACGCGATTGTACATTTGCTAATGCTAATTCAGTTATCTCGTTTTCTTGTAGGTTTGTGAATGTTTCTTTTACTTTTTTATACGAATCAGTTAAATTCACATTCAATGATCGAACTTGTTCATTGCCGAATTTTTGCTTCAACCAATCGATGTGAACTGACTGACCTTTTTCCTTTGGTTTGGAATGATGAATAGGTAATTCAACAGCAAGTAAAGGTAAACCAGTGCGAGCACATAATGTCGAGACAACGGACGAATCAATTCCATTCGAAATTCCAACAGTAAAACCTTTAGCGCCGGCATTTTTAACCGTATAATCTTTTAGCCATTTGACAATATGATCGATAACTTTGCCTGTTTGCATTTCGATTGCACGATGATATCCTGGAATCTGAAGGAGAAAAACAAGTACGATATTTGTCAATGAAGTAAAAGCTCACATGTATAGACACGATACGAAGAAAAAAAAAGGTCGTAACTGTCAAAAGGAAGGAAAAAAACATAAGCAAAGCATTAGTTAACTATTGAAAGAGTACACGATTAAGTTATGATAGTTGTCGACAGTTTACACCCGATTTTCTGCGAAATTCAAGTCAAGGAATCAATGAAGACAATGTTGATTAGTACTTGAGCTGAGGGATGACAGTATAGTGTCCAACTTGAAACTTGAATTCAACTATTATACCATCTTGAGGGCGAGGGTGATGGTATAAGTATAAGCAAAACTAAATCTATTTCTACTCCTATCTAGCCGGTTACTGTAAGACTGATATAGACATCTACTTATATTCGAATTGATATTAGTCTTTCGAGGGTCGAAATAGGTAACTGATGAAATTGACACAAATCAATATCTTATTTGTATTGAACATTATTTTGAAATCAACGAAGATGAAACTTGTTCTCAAGCAGCTATATTTGGTTTACAAAAACTATCCAAACGAAAGGCGTTATTACTGGTATTGTTGAATTAATATTAACAGATAATTTAGCTTTAAACGATATCGAACGATTAGAATGGATATAACTAAAGATAATAAATCATTAAAAATGGATCCACTGTGTAAGTTTTCAGAGAAAAAATTTCTTGATCATCTTCTTTTTTGTTTCCGATTTTCTTATAGAAAAATCTCAATCGAAGATGTGAATATTGCTTTAAATCCAATGCAAATCCGAACATTCCGTATAACAGTGAAATAAAATGATATTTTTCTCTGATAAACAAAAGGACATTCTATTACATTAATCTTGCTTTGCGTTTTCTTCTAGCTAGATATTTATTTTTAACCTTAAAAGAAATTAATCAATCTAGATCGTTTTGATTATATGATATATAGGAGACAATGTTTTTTCATTTATTTACATGAAATCGTTGATTAATGGCGATAAGATTTACTGATGACAATAAAAAGCCCGATAGTTAAATAGATGAAAAGTGAAATGACAAATGTTGCTATCGACCATGAAAATGATCGAGTTGAGTAAATCAATGCTCGTTCATATTGACCATTAGTTTCACATTTCCAAGATTTCGAAGCATAATAAAGTGCTCTAATACCTAACATATGATCAAGAAAGAAAAAGTTAATACTGCTGCTTTCGTTTCACAATAATCTCACTTTACCAGTAGGAAAAAATAATATCATAGAAATTAATGCATATATGACATGTCGTTTTGGATGCGCTTGTTTATCTATTGAAAATTGTACAAAATTTTGATGCGGATTTTCTGAACAGATAATTTGATTTATTACAAAATCAATTTTACAGTTTATCTTACTGAATGAAAAACTACCGTCTTCATTTGTTATTTCACAACCCGCTGATGTCCAATGATAAGTAGCCAATTTTGGATTTGAATGAAATATCCAAGATGCATTTGCCGAAATCATAATTATTTCATTCAAGTAAAACCTGACGTCATTCTCCTACAAAAACATCTGAATATATATTATAAAACTATTACAAACAAAGAATAAGAAGAGATTATTATCAGAACGCCAACGTATAGAAAATACATGTTTGTATATTTAATCTAACGGATAATGTAGAATAGATCGATCATATGATGGGTTCTCGATTAGTATGCTGTTAATTTGTTTATAAGCAAACTGAACTACGTGTAAATGAAAAAATCATTTTTAGGAATGCCAGAAAGAATAGAAGTTTTTTCTTCAATATGCATTTTTCTTTCCCGTGCATGATTGATCAAGAGCAAATATTATGAGTAAATGATTAACATCAAATATTGTGAATTAATATAAACCATTCACATGTTAGCGCTAGTGATGATTTTCTCTGACTAACGCTATACTGAGATCGGGTTGGATTTTCTCGTCTAACTAGCTTACGACATCTACCCGGATAGCAGAAAGTGTGGGTTCGAGTTCCACAAAGGTCACTTTGTCTCATTTTCTCCTTCTTTCGCTCTCGTTCGTTGATATACCTTTTCTTGCTTACCCATGTTCCAGTGATTTCCGGTGCTTTCCTGTGGGAACCGGTCCATACTCTTTGACTTGGGTATATATGAAGCTAACATTTTTGTTAAATCAAAAAGTTTTGTTAGATAACCATTAAATAGACATTTAAAAATATATATCTTCATTTTGAAAAGTTTATCGAACTAAATATCGATGTTCCAGAAATCGGTTATATGACCAATGGCATGTTAATGGCTTTTCGTCGACAGAATCTTTCCATCATTGTCATTTCACCTGCATTTACTCAATGTTATGATGGAACATCGTTAGGTTTATTAGAATTCTATGGTCAATCGCCATCAAAAAATAATTTATTTTGTCAAATATTTCAAATCTGTGATCCGATCGATCGAGAAGATCCGAATGGAAAAGGTTGGTTCGTAACAAAGGACGGATTTTCCTTTACACCTGATTTGTTGAATTTCGATGAGCGAATGCCAAACCTGGTTTCATATCTCGACTATGACAAACTAATCAATCGAACAGTAAATCCAGTTGAATGGTACTTTCCAAGTCGTTCATGGAACGACCGCAAAGCTTTCGCTCGTATCGACCCGTGTCCTCAAGCAGGTTCGAATCGCACCGCGAACTTAATGTCCGATTATGTCAAATACATTTCGATCATGAATCAAAAGTTCAACTCAACAAAAATTCCCCAAATTCAAATCAATTGGA